TGACTTTGAATGTCGGTTGAGCATGTGCTTGGTCCGAGTGTTGTGGCAACTACAAGACCAGTTAGCAGCTGTCAATGAACAAGGTGATCCTTACCTTGCATAAGGTGCGGAGGTAGGCGCCCTCCCATATTCCACCATACATCCTCTCAATAATCGCATCATCATCCCATCCAAATTGCACTCTGCAGAAGTCTGCGAGATCTGCAAGGTGTGGCTGGCAGGACGACACATCCTGTACTGCGAGTGCACCGGTAGCTGAAAAAGATGTCGTAGGATGGACATACTTGCTGATGACTTCACGTCGGGGAAAATTGAGTGGGATAGAATCTGCGATGGCCTTGTATCGACGTCCAAGGAAATGGTAAGGGTCAGTTGCAAGCATGGAGCGCAGTTCCCTGACAAGGTCCTTGGCCCGCTCAGAGAACTCCTCTGGTGCCATTGAAAGGAATGCACGCAGCATATCCTGTCCGATTCTGCTCTGCTGTGCGACCTTGTGTGCGATCTTGATGCCACAACCAGACACTCCTTCATCGTAATCTCCACCTGCTAGTAGGGCGATTAGTAATCTATCTCCTCGGGCCAAAGAGGCACCATGCTCGAGACCATCTTCTGTATACACCTCGACATTAAGGTAGTCTTTGTCCTTTTTTGCACTACCAGTACAATGTATCAATAATAAATACCTTTACACAAAAACAACCACGTACCTCCTAATGACACACGGAGCTCCAAAGATCAATATATCACTATCTTCAGTCATCGCAGCGTCAATAACACCGTGAACATTCATCACAGCCAGCTCAGCTTCAGCCTCACCAGGGGCCTATACACTAGTGAGACAAGTCACAAGGTGAAATATACTGCAGAGCGTACCTCAGTCCACTGAAAGCCAAACAGCTCCAACATGTCCTGGAAGTCATGAGTGAGCCAGTGGGGGCTGTTTCGGACCATGCGTCCCTTTTCTGGCAAGCGTTTCAAGCCGTCAAACACAAAGACCACATGCAAGGGTAGCTTGAGCAGTGTGACCAGCCGAAAGAACAGTGTTCGCAGCTCTGGCGACTTTCCAGCTCCTGCATGGTTGAACTGAAAGACAGCACACACGCTGTGCATCCAAGCGCTATCAACAGAAGTCAGTTCAGCTGATGGGTAAGAAAGACAAGTACTGTACCTAGCATCGATTCCAATCTTTACCAATTTGACCTTCCGTTCACCATCAATCTCTTCGGTCTTCAATTCAGACACTGCAAGCTGTTTCAGTGTTCTGTTGTCAGCAGCTAAAGCAACTCGCTGCAGAAAGCATCAATATTGAAGCCGGCTCCAAAGTTGGTGGCTCACCTCCCATAGCCCTGGGATTCCCATTCTGAAGTGTGAAGGTAGAAGATCAGGACAGGAGGGGCTCAAAAAGGAGACAGGTAGAAAGGGGTCAGACGAAGTCACCTGACTGCTGGAGAACCTCCCAACCCTCCAAAAGACAGCACCATATTTGAGCGTGCTGTAGAACAGGTCCATGCACAACTCCTCAAAATGGGCATGAGTAAGGGAAGTATAGAAGTCGATACCCTTGGAGAGGGTGCCAATATTGATGAAAGTTTGGGTGGATGATGACAGGGTATGCTTGGCACACTCACAAGTAAGGGAAGTATAGAAGTCGATACCCTTGAAGAGGAAGTCAATCTCGATGGAAGTCTGGGTAGCCGACGACAGGGTATGCTTGGCAAGCTTGTAAGTAAGGAAAGTATAGAAGTCGATACCGTCAATTTCAATGGAAGTCTGGGTGGCCGATGACAGAGTGCGCTTGCCAAGCTCGTGAGTAAGGGAAGTATAGAGGTCGATATCCTTGGAGAGGCCAAACTCAATGGAAGTCTGGGTGGCCGATGACAGAGTGCGCTTGCCAAGCTGGTGAGTAAGGGAAGTATAGAAGTCGATACCCTTGAAGAGGGAGTTGATCTTGCTGGAAGTCTGATGGGCCGATGACAGGGCACACTTGGCAAGTTCGCAAGAAAGGGAAGTATAGAAGTCAATACCCTTGAAGAGGGTGTCAATCTCAATGGAAGTCTGGGTGGCTGATGACAGAGTTCGCTTGGCAAGCTGGTGAGTAAGAGAGGTATAGAAGTCAATACCCTTGGAGAGGGTGCCAAACTCGATGGAAGTCTGGGTGGCTGATGACAGAGTACGCTTGGCAAGAGGCTCGCAAGTAAGGGAAGTATAGAGGTCGATATCCTTGGAGAGGCCAAACTCAATGGAAGTCTGGGTGGCCAATGACAGAGTACGCTTGGCACACTCACAAAGTGCACAAGGGTTGGAGGAGAGATCTATAATATTGTTAGCACCACAATTGACAGATAAGAAATTACTTACCCTTTTGGTGCTCGCACTTAGACTCTTGTGCAACCACTCCTGTGTGGGACCAATGAGTGATGTGAGTGTGAGTGCGAGTGCGAGTGCGAGTGTAGCATCGCTGGTGCCACATGAAGTCCTGAGGCCCTGTAAATTATCAGTGTCACAAACAAATGCATGAATAAAATAAAATAAAAATACCTCTCCTCCAAGGGAGGTGTCGTTGTTGTCCACCTGCGGCAGTGTGCATGGCAGTGACTAAAGAGTAGAGCAAGAAGAAAATTGAGTCATGTGATCGAGACACCTAAGCCACCCATTTACGGTAACCATGTAGGATGAGTCGGCAGAGGGTAAGGTAGAGTACATGTAAAGTGCTGTAAAGTGCGATTTTGAGTGGGTAAAGTGAATAAAGTGCAGGAGAAGGAGAAATACACGGTAAATTTTGTAAATTTTGTAAATTTCAAACTTCCAGGTGGGTTCAGGGCCTCCCTGCATGCGAATGCACCCACAACAATGGTTAATTTTGTCGCTTCCACCTCAGACAAAGCATGACACACAGATTGGGATAATTTATATATAAATTTATATTAACTGCAGTCTGCAGAACATTGACTTGGATGGCTGTGAGGACCGCTAATGTTAGAACTTGAGGAGTCTGCTTGGTCTGTCTGCCAGTGATTTTCATTGATGCTTGCAATTCTTTATACTAGTAATTCAACATTCAACACTAGGTAATTCGGTCCTTGGCTTTAGCGCAACCACTTGCGTTCCGAACCCTGCCGCATTCCAACCATGTGCACATGACACATGGTTGGAATGCGGCAGGGTTCGGAACGCAAGTGGTTGCGCTAAAGCCAAGGACCGAATTACCTAGTGTTGAATGTTGAATTACTAGTATAAAGAATTGCAAGCATCAATGAAAATCACTGGCAGACAGACCAAGCAGACTCCTCAAGTTCTAACATTAGCGGTCCTCACAGCCATCCAAGTCAATGTTCTGCAGACTGCAGTTAATATAAATTTATATATAAATTATCCCAATCTGTGTGTCATGCTTTGTCTGAGGTGGAAGCGACAAAATTAACCATTGTTGTGGGTGCATTCGCATGCAGGGAGGCCCTGAACCCACCTGGAAGTTTGAAATTTACAAAATTTACAAAATTTACCGTGTATTTCTCCTTCTCCTGCACTTTATTCACTTTACCCACTCAAAATCGCACTTTACAGCACTTTACATGTACTCTACCTTACCCTCTGCCGACTCATCCTACATGGTTACCGTAAATGGGTGGCTTAGGTGTCTCGATCACATGACTCAATTTTCTTCTTGCTCTACTCTTTAGTCACTGCCATGCACACTGCCGCAGGTGGACAACAACGACACCTCCCTTGGAGGAGAGGTATTTTTATTTTATTTTATTCATGCATTTGTTTGTGACACTGATAATTTACAGGGCCTCAGGACTTCATGTGGCACCAGCGATGCTACACTCGCACTCGCACTCGCACTCACACTCACATCACTCATTGGTCCCACACAGGAGTGGTTGCACAAGAGTCTAAGTGCGAGCACCAAAAGGGTAAGTAATTTCTTATCTGTCAATTGTGGTGCTAACAATATTATAGATCTCTCCTCCAACCCTTGTGCACTTTGTGAGTGTGCCAAGCGTACTCTGTCATTGGCCACCCAGACTTCCATTGAGTTTGGCCTCTCCAAGGATATCGACCTCTATACTTCCCTTACTTGCGAGCCTCTTGCCAAGCGTACTCTGTCATCAGCCACCCAGACTTCCATCGAGTTTGGCACCCTCTCCAAGGGTATTGACTTCTATACCTCTCTTACTCACCAGCTTGCCAAGCGAACTCTGTCATCAGCCACCCAGACTTCCATTGAGATTGACACCCTCTTCAAGGGTATTGACTTCTATACTTCCCTTTCTTGCGAACTTGCCAAGTGTGCCCTGTCATCGGCCCATCAGACTTCCAGCAAGATCAACTCCCTCTTCAAGGGTATCGACTTCTATACTTCCCTTACTCACCAGCTTGGCAAGCGCACTCTGTCATCGGCCACCCAGACTTCCATTGAGTTTGGCCTCTCCAAGGATATCGACCTCTATACTTCCCTTACTCACGAGCTTGGCAAGCGCACTCTGTCATCGGCCACCCAGACTTCCATTGAAATTGACGGTATCGACTTCTATACTTTCCTTACTTACAAGCTTGCCAAGCATACCCTGTCGTCGGCTACCCAGACTTCCATCGAGATTGACTTCCTCTTCAAGGGTATCGACTTCTATACTTCCCTTACTTGTGAGTGTGCCAAGCATACCCTGTCATCATCCACCCAAACTTTCATCAATATTGGCACCCTCTCCAAGGGTATCGACTTCTATACTTCCCTTACTCATGCCCATTTTGAGGAGTTGTGCATGGACCTGTTCTACAGCACGCTCAAATATGGTGCTGTCTTTTGGAGGGTTGGGAGGTTCTCCAGCAGTCAGGTGACTTCGTCTGACCCCTTTCTACCTGTCTCCTTTTTGAGCCCCTCCTGTCCTGATCTTCTACCTTCACACTTCAGAATGGGAATCCCAGGGCTATGGGAGGTGAGCCACCAACTTTGGAGCCGGCTTCAATATTGATGCTTTCTGCAGCGAGTTGCTTTAGCTGCTGACAACAGAACACTGAAACAGCTTGCAGTGTCTGAATTGAAGACCGAAGAGATTGATGGTGAACGGAAGGTCAAATTGGTAAAGATTGGAATCGATGCTAGGTACAGTACTTGTCTTTCTTACCCATCAGCTGAACTGACTTCTGTTGATAGCGCTTGGATGCACAGCGTGTGTGCTGTCTTTCAGTTCAACCATGCAGGAGCTGGAAAGTCGCCAGAGCTGCGAACACTGTTCTTTCGGCTGGTCACACTGCTCAAGCTACCCTTGCATGTGGTCTTTGTGTTTGACGGCTTGAAACGCTTGCCAGAAAAGGGACGCATGGTCCGAAACAGCCCCCACTGGCTCACTCATGACTTCCAGGACATGTTGGAGCTGTTTGGCTTTCAGTGGACTGAGGTACGCTCTGCAGTATATTTCACCTTGTGACTTGTCTCACTAGTGTATAGGCCCCTGGTGAGGCTGAAGCTGAGCTGGCTGTGATGAATGTTCACGGTGTTATTGACGCTGCGATGACTGAAGATAGTGATATATTGATCTTTGGAGCTCCGTGTGTCATTAGGAGGTACGTGGTTGTTTTTGTGTAAAGGTATTTATTATTGATACATTGTACTGGTAGTGCAAAAAAGGACAAAGACTACCTTAATGTCGAGGTGTATACAGAAGATGGTCTCGAGCATGGTGCCTCTTTGGCCCGAGGAGATAGATTACTAATCGCCCTACTAGCAGGTGGAGATTACGATGAAGGAGTGTCTGGTTGTGGCATCAAGATCGCACACAAGGTCGCACAGCAGAGCAGAATCGGACAGGATATGCTGCGTGCATTCCTTTCAATGGCACCAGAGGAGTTCTCTGAGCGGGCCAAGGACCTTGTCAGGGAACTGCGCTCCATGCTTGCAACTGACCCTTACCATTTCCTTGGACGTCGATACAAGGCCATCGCAGATTCTATCCCACTCAATTTTCCCCGACGTGAAGTCATCAGCAAGTATGTCCATCCTACGACATCTTTTTCAGCTACCGGTGCACTCGCAGTACAGGATGTGTCGTCCTGCCAGCCACACCTTGCAGATCTCGCAGACTTCTGCAGAGTGCAATTTGGATGGGATGATGATGCGATTATTGAGAGGATGTATGGTGGAATATGGGAGGGCGCCTACCTCCGCACCTTATGCAAGGTAAGGATCACCTTGTTCATTGACAGCTGCTAACTGGTCTTGTAGTTGCCACAACACTCGGACCAAGCACATGCTCAACCGACATTCAAAGTCATTTCTCAGTCAACCATTATGGCATTGCGGTGCGACATCGAAGTCTATAACGTTAAAGTCAATTGTCAGCGCTTGGCACGTAGCACTCTGGGAAACGCTGCTCCCAGCCAACTATCTACAATGTTTGTACGCATTCCAACAGTGATACTCAGTCATATGGCACCAGAAGCAGCTTGCCAGTATATTTGTCTTTGATTTTTTGTATGATAGAAATAACTATGAAACTTTTGCTTAACTTCGCTCCCGCAAACTGAATTGTGTGAAATGTGAAATGACATTAAAAGTAGTTAGAGGCCCCTGACATGATCCCCACTCCGAAATTGCAAGCTATTTCTATAGCTCCCACAACCGCTCGCTCATTTATTTTCACAAATCATGGTGCAACTGAAAAAGAGTTCAGCAAAAGCTCCCCAGTCACCGAATCATACTCAAAAGAAGGCCACACGAAAGAAAGGACCAGCTACTCCAAAGGCGGCCCTAGCAGATGTCCAGAAGTGTAAGGACCTTGGGATAGAAACACACCTACAGGCAAACAACACCAGGGCAAACTATGCCGGTCATGTTCGTCGAGGACGAGAGTGGCTGGCAAGTTACTTCAAAACACCTGCCGTTAGTGACTCGGAGAGAGGTGACATTGCATCAGAGGACTCACTTGCCAGTGTTGGCATGCACGGCGACAATGATACACACGATGATGTTGCTTTCAAAGATGCGTTTGACCGGATACCAAACAGATGCTCGGACAAAGCACTTGCACTTTTCATGTCCCTGAAGGGGTTCCACGAGAATCTAAGTAAAACTACTGTTGAGAGCATCCGCTCAGCATTCAAGAAGATGTGGGACCTATCGTGGGTGTCGCATTCATAATTCGGAATAGTACTCAAACACTGACCTGCTCATTCCAGAGATGGTGACACCTATCATGGCAAATGGCACTTTGATGAGGCGAAGCAGCGTTGGGAAGGAAACCCCGCTGATTCGGCAGACGTTTATGATGTGCTGTCATCCGTCAAGCACAAGGCTAGTGCAGAGGGTGGAGATCGGACTCACTCGATGGCAATGACAAAGGATTACATGGATCGGGTACTCCGATGGCATCAGGCTGCATGTCCGCTGGAGATCAGCCTGCACATGATTCAGAAAACAATGAGTGGTGCTCAGCCTTCAGATGTGCATCTGGACCTTGAAACAAGGAAGCGACTCACCCAACATCTTGAACAAATTACACTTGCAGCCAATGGATGGACACTGTGGACGAGGTGTGATCCAACTTGTCCATGTGAAGTGCATGATCTGACGTACCGTATCCACAGGTGTTTCGAGCTCATTAAACTGCAGCGAAAGGACATCACACTCGATGCAACAATGTTGGACGGTGTGCTGGAATCATACCTTGCAAATGAGACACTAACTATGAGTGATCGCGCGTCTTACTTTGAGATCTTCCTCTCAAACCGGAAGGGATGGCAAAAGAAAGTTGACAAGGGCCAGTGGGAGGTGGATCTAAGATGTAAGTTGTTTGCATCAGTTCGAAGCCAACGGCGCGTGACTAAATAATATTACCAGCAAATCACTACAAGATATATCCACGTCCCGAGATGCTGGCCTGCGACAATTTCTTCTGGATGTTAGTATGGATCAAGTGGCTCGAATTTTTTCACTATGGACGGACCCTTCACCCAAATGACTTCCTGTTCCCCGCGATGGGTGCAAACGGTGTTGTCCACCCCGGACAGCCAATCTCTCACGATACTGTACAAAAATGGATCAATGAGTCAACCGCCAGTGCTGGCATTCTTGGTAACTTCTCGACTCACTGTTTTCGTCGCGGGGGTGCACAGTACTGGTTCATGTTTGCTCCTGTAGGCCAACGATGGACACTTGCTAAAGTCCACTGGTGGGGTGGATGGGCTGAAGGCGAGCATGTACGTGCTTCGTGTTCTTAAGACTGACATTGAACTAACCTTTTTTTTAAATTCCTTGACTTGAAGCGTGATACACTCGTTCGCTACCTCCTCGACGAACTACATGCATATGAAACTGACTACAGCGATGCTCTTGCCCCCATCTCCCGTGGTGCTGATGTCTCCCTCGCTGGTGAACATGCTCTTGTGAGACCAGCATCCACCGAAGAACTTCGCATGGTCCATGCATCTGTTGCAGCAGATGTCAATTGCCTGCGCAACGACATCAGTTTGGTCAATAGCTCACTGCGCTCACTAACGAATGTAGTCATGCAGGCTGCCTGCACCACAGCAACTGCTCCACAATATCCTGATTCCTCACGATTCTCTGTAATATCCAACTCATCCCACACACCAACTCCACCCTACACTCCACCTGTTGGAGGAGCGAGTGTCACGACTGCCAGTGCCCAGCCACTTTTACTATCTCGGCCTGTTGCCAGCGAAACCCCTACCTCACATCCGCCATCAGCCTGCGTCAGTTCACAGCAACTTCCTACACCTGGCCTCGTTATTCCACGAGTGCCAGTCTCACGTCCAAATAGCCTTACCAACCCAAAGAGCAAGTCCTGGAAGGACATCGTCACACATTGGCTTGTCGGTGATCCTGACCGAGGACTGACAACACCGCTGAAGGATTGGCCAAGGGAGTGGTACCAAGGTGTCAATCGACGGTTTGCATCAAAGTATCACCAGAGGGCAACCATTGCATTGGAGTTCATTAATCAGTCAGTTGATGCTGACACTCACTCTGCTGGCACACACGCTCACCCTTTGTTTCATCTCCAGGTACGACTCAAATGAGGTGCGCTTCCTCGCAGCCTATCCAGAGGCTGAACTGGGGCACACACAATTGTTAAAGGCCATGAACAAGGCACGCACAGCACGAGGGGAGCGCATCTCTCGCAGCAAGTGACATTCAGCGCTAAGGTGGGTATCACCAGCAGTTGCCAAGACCTCGAAGACACTGTCGTCGATCAAAAGCAAAGAAACATCGAAAGTTCCTCCTCCAAGATCTATCGTAGATAATTTGAGACTCGCCACCCTTCTTATTAAGACCATAGGCACTAGCAGCAGTGGTGGACTTGTTGATGACGCGAAGAATATTTAACCCAGCAATCGTACCAGCATCCTTGGTGGCTCGATTCACTACTGCATGGGTGACCTTCTCGCCGAGAAAGGCCTCCGTGGTCTCCTTCGTCTTTGTCAGAATCATGGCACTAATCTCCTCCAGAGCAAATTCCAAGTCGTCCATTTTCGCCAGGCAAATGAGTCGAAAACAGCGTTAGTTCGTTTGGTGTCGAAAACAGTGTTAGTTGGATTTGAATGGAACTGATGAGTTCCCCCCCACTCGTCATAACTCACGCCGTCACACGAATCTGGTGAGGTCAGCGAATCCCGGCTCGAAAAGGTAATCGATCGGTGTCACGTGCCCTCGCGTGGCATTTTGGCTGAGCGCCACCGTAAATTTCTCGACATAAGTAAAGTTAGATCTCGTCTCGGTTTTAGTTTACCTTCCATAATCGGACGACCTCAAACCTTCAGTCACATCTTTCGCTCTAACCATCACTCATGGAGAAGGACGCAGACGGGTTTTATGATACCCCGAAACTGGAAGGTTTGTGATATATCGCTACTAGGTACCATAAACTTAACATTTTGCAGCTTCTGCGCCACTTGCACAGGCTGAAAGCAAGGGTACGAAGGAGGAAGAACAGCCTGAGCCTATTCCATCTTCAAGTTGTGCGTGCAGGTCGCGTCGTTGTCCCGCAGCGAAACTGATGCTATACTATTAGCTAGAACCGACTTGATTTCGTCGACATTCGAGGTCACGGTACGTTTAGGAGCCGCAATACTAAATTGTTAAATAACTCACTACATTTTTAGGTCACACTTGCAGACCAGCAGGCCGACCCGAATTCCCCTTTATTTAGCGCCAAGACATTTGAGGAGCTTGGACTGTGCGTTGTCGTATCCTACCATCTTATGCATCTTTAACGATTGATCGTAGCCATCAAGATTTATTGAAGGGTCTCTATGATCTTGGTTTCTCGAAGCCATCGAAGATCCAAGAGCGTGCACTGCCGTTATTGCTTGCAAATCCGTGGGTAGATCAGCTCGTGTAACATGGAACTATTTTACTGATCACTACCTCAAGTCCTCAGAACATGATCGGACAATCGCAATCTGGCACAGGCAAAACTGCCGCATTTGTGCTTACCATGCTGAGTCGTGTAGATTTCTCCAAGAACAAGACACAGGTCAGTTCTATGTGCATCTTTACAGCTCTCCGTTAAGACTGGTTGCAGGCACTATGTCTAGCTCCTTCACGAGAACTTGCACGTCAGATTATGAGTGTTGTCGTTGCTATGGGAAAATTTACTCCAGTTCAAACGGAATACGCAATAAAGGATAACCTTCCCAAGGGTACATCACGGATAACTGCACATATTGTCGTCGGGACTCCGGGAACAATGACAGATCTTTTAAGACGAAAGGTCATCGATACATCTGAAGTCAAGGTGTTCGTTCTCGATGAAGCAGATAACATGCTTGATCAGGATGGACTCGGTGACCAAACACTGCGGGTAAAGAAGTGAGTATGCTTTTCTCTCGTTTGAGCTACAATTCACAAAAAAAATCGATGTAAGCCTCATTCCCCGAACAGGCGTTCAAATTATCCTATTTTCGGCAACATTCCCCGATCACGTCCGCAATTTCGCTAGTAAATTTGCTCCCAGTGCGAACAAGATCGAGCTTCAGAGGGAGGAACTCTCTGTGGAAGGCATCCGGCAATTTTACATGGATTGTAGAAATGAAGAACACAAATACGATATCCTCGTGTCCCTGTACCAGCTTTTGACGATCGGTCAGAGTATCATCTTCTGCCAGGTTAGCAAGATGGCGCCCGCCTGGTCGTACCTTACTGACCATTCCCTTTACTCTTCCTAGCATCGCCATACAGCAGATAGAATATCACAACGCATGTCAGCCGAGGGTCACAAAGTGGCATCACTGCATGGTGCCAAGGACGCCGCAGAACGTGACGCTATTATTGACAACTTCCGTGAAGGACGGGACAAAGTTCTTATCACGACAAATGTCATCGCACGTGGCATCGACATCATGCAGGTCAACATGGTAGTGAATTACGACCTGCCATTGATGAATGAGCGTGGAAATCAACACTCCCATGACGCAAGACCCGACGTTGAGACGTACATCCACCGTATTGGTAAGGAGTTTCCAAGATTTGTTCCGTGCCTTACTAACAACTCTGTAAGGCCGCACTGGTCGCTTCGGGCGCAAGGGTATCTCAATAAATTTTGTCCATGACCGCCAGACCTGGTCACAGATGGAGGAGATTGAAAAGACACTGGGCAAGAAGATTATCCGAATAGAGACCAACGATCTGGAGGAGATGGAAGAGGTGCGTAGATAATCTTTGATTCGCCTATTGCTACTGATTTCATTGCTCTGCAGAAAATGAAGAAGGCGTTGAAGTAATCTGTGCTTTTGTACTCGGATGTGGATTCTCTGTTGTATTTTCTAATCATGTTATGTCTCCCTTAATCGGCCAAATGTTCATGGCTGGATGGAAGTTTCAATTGTGTGCAGTTTTGTACTGTGATTTCTCGATCTGGGTGTGGACCACGGATTGAGGAAATAGTAGAAAGCGGGTGCATGTGGCACTCGGGAAAATTGGCATATATGTCTGCGCGAGGCCTAGTAACATGCTTTATGTAACAATGGCAAACCATTGGAAGGATCGGGTATTGACGTTTCTTTTGGGTACCAGCAAGTTGATCTCGATATGTGATCGAGTGAGCAGCCCAGAAGAGTCCGAAATTTCATTGACATATTGAAGCTACGAGTGACTGCCAGACGTAACGAGTGCGCTAGTAACGTGATATAGAAATCCTAGACCAGGAATAAGGACTTCTTTTGATTGCCTGCAAAATGTTGTGAGCGGCAACACAGAATTATCGGAGCAGACTTACAGCTCGCGCACTACAATGAAGAAATCGTTAAGAACAGTGAACAGTGAATGCGTGATTGGTTTATGCTCACCTCGAATTACAAAATTGGCCAAGACTGCGAAGAACAGAAGTGCGCTGATAAGGACAGGTCCAACGATGTGGTCTAGGAATTAACAGTGAGCTGGGATCTACTATGAAGTTGTCAGATTAACCGTAATGCCCAGGGTCGCGTTTGCGAATCATAGTGATCCTATTCTGATAGATTACAAAACCGTAGACCTAAATCTCGCAGCATGAGCATCGGTTTATTGAAAATAGCAGACTTGGGGGTGTTTACCAAAACACCGATGCTAATCAAGGCATAAGTATATGCAAATCTTTGGGCTACAATGTCTTTGGACGCATTGAAGAGGGCAAGCGCCAAAGTTCCCAATAGCACAGCAAGATTCAGCCAGGATATCCATGCTTTAATTGGCGTTAGAAAATGATATGAGAGGAAGAGGATAAATGCTAACTCCTTTCATTGGCGAACCATACCTTTCCCTCGATCTTCAGGGACGTCGCCACCTTCTTCGGAACACGTATCTGAGGCGGAACAGAGTTGATGGCATTGTAATCTCTGATGGTAGGTCTTTGCCCATCAATGTCGTGCTCCATGTCTGGAATATCATCTTCTCTTGTGTAACGCACGGGCCGTTGGGTGTTTTCGGGAAGAGTGGCTAGCGCGGATGAAGAGAACGGAAAAACTGCAGTCCATGATCGCCTAAACAGGCCAACGTGCGCGTTATCTTCGTCTTCGGGCGGTTTATTAGAGACCATGGTTTACACAAAGCACTGTTAACTTGGAAGTTAACGTTAACGTTGAACGTTGAGACTCCCGGGCCAAGGAGGAGCTTGATGACTAATAATCCACTTGACTTCCGTCGAGCTCTTTGCTCTCGACTCTCGAGTCGCAATTTTTTTCGACTTATATAGATGGATTCTGTTCACAGCGGGGCAAATTACAATGTCTTTTTTCTTCGTCAACAGATCACAGAGGACAGAACATTTCCTGCCTTGAAGGGTTTGACATGCGGTACCGTCGGTACGTCGCACATTTTCTTTCAGAAAGCCAACTTTACACTCCCAAAAGTTAGAGGAGAGGCCTTGATATCATTTTGAACTACTATTCTTAGGATGCAAGTAAAGGAAAAACATGAAGCCTCAGGCCAGGCCTGAACTCTCGTAGACTCGTGACGAGTCTGGAACTTGTCCAAGGCAATTGGAATTTTGAAGGAAGGGCCAAGGCCAAGGTCGTTTTATGAGTTCTGTGACCATGTCCTCAGAAGAGCCTCCGGTCTGAATTAAAGGGTCTGCACATCGTTGACGACCTGAATGTGTACGACCGCAACTGCAAGGTTGAGTACGTGACTGCGTAGAACACTCCAAGCCAGGCAAATGACACCGACTGCAACAGGCATGACTACGACAGTTATGTTTGGTCTACAGTCTTCAATGTCAACCTCGATACACACAAAATTCAATGGTATGATTCCACACCTCTATGTGCCGTAGTCTGCCCAGGCCTTAATCATATGTAGAAGTACCGCCTGGATCGCAATGCCGTTGGTCAAGAGTACAATTGAATTTGACTATGTAGATGATCTCGAGTTGAGTCCACTACCTGTTTCTGATCTTGCCGAGATAGGGCGGCACGCAATCCGTGTTGTTACCGCAAGGGCTGGCTTGGATCGTAGCCTGCCAGGAAGCAAGTTCTGAGACGGTCCGAAGTCAAAACCCGAAAAAGCATCGTTGCCCTAGTGAGAAACGAGCTAGTCCCACTCAGTTACTGATTCTGTTCACAAAACTTGCAATGCTAGTTCACTTACAGCATAGCAAGGTATCGACGAGGCGGGTACGTCAAGCTCGCTGGCGAGCTTCTGGCTTGACGTTATGTTGATAACGACAACTGGACACTGGCCGCAGGTGCGCACTACAGAGTCTGTACCGCACACGGACGGGTCACAAGCACTGGCAGGAAGGTTATATCAATAAATTTTGGGATGAGCCTCTTTTTTTTGCATCAGATTTAGTCCGTTGGGGTCATTGACCCTATGTTGGACGTGTTTCGTCATGTGCATCTTTTTCTTTATGGGACGAGGCATGTGTATGTGCTGGCGCTGTGTATGATACTGACACGTACAGGGATGAGCCATTATACGTGCGAGGCTCTGTAGTAATGTAGCAACTCGAGCAAAACTCGAGCGCTGAGGAATTCTTTGAAGGAGATTGAAGGCCAGCGCCAGCAAATAAACAATGTCGGATGGGTGTGCATGTGTTTTACTGAAGGATACCAGATTTTAACGTTTAACGGTTGACTGACTCTAATCAGGCTGTGAAGTGGCTGTGAAAATCGGAACTTTCCCTTCATGATCTACCATGCACGCAGCCTTGGGAAACCTTGAAGTAATCCACACGATCTGTTCATACACTCAACTGGGGTCACTTCCTGCGTTTGCATCCGCATGCCGCACGTTTGAGCGTCTAGCACTTGATATTCTTTGGAGGGATCTGCAGTCCCCGGAGCCTCTTATTAAATGTTTACCAAGTGACTTGTTTAGCACTGATCGAGGACGTATGGTGGGTGTCCAGGTTTCGTATGATTTGTGGGCTTCAGACTGAGTTCACTTCTGAGGTATTACAAAAACCTCTTGACGGCATGATGTGGGATACTCTTTGCAAATACACGTCCCGCGTACACTCAATCATTGCAACACAATCGCGCCGCTTTGAGGCCATCATCGAGCCTCTCAGTTCTCTAATGTTATCCTTTCCTTCAACACCTGCATCCTTGTTTCCGAACCTTCGCAAATTATCATGGTCTGCCAATGGAACCCGCGGCGCTACAGAGTTTTTGCGCATGGCTTTGGTACCCTCCCTATTGGTCTTGGACGTGCAAATTTCTTCAACTTCTAATGTCTTTCTCTCGGTCCTTTCGTCTGTCGGGGCCTTGTGTCCTCATCTCCAGGACATGGCTTTGAGAATTCGACCTGCAACCGACGAGTTCTTTCGTAAAATCTCACTCTTCGTCACACCACTTATTTCCCAGCTCCACCATCTTCACTCGTTATCGGTATGGGATCCAGGAAATCAAGGCATCGAACATATTATGCAGCTACGAGCTCTGCGCTCACTATGCTTGGACTTGAGGACATTTTCGACTTCCGAGAGAAAGTCGCGTTTAGAATTTCCCGGCTTTCATGATTTAGAATTTTTGGGCCTTTCTACCGATACGTTCGAGCGTGCCTCGAACTTCTTGAGTTCACTTCGGGTCATAGAAAGCAAAGAGATCCAGGTTTCTTATTCCTCCCCAAGTGGATCCACGACGCTATCCCAGTTCTTCACCATTCTCCAAGAGAGATGCGACACCGACAGACTTGAAGGGTTTACTCTTCTTGGAAATTCTGGAAAGATACGCGCAGAACCGGGTGTCTTCATGCCATTGCGGGCATGCCGCAACCTAACTCAGCTGTGTGTCGAGAGGGGTTGTGACATTTCCATATCTGACGAGGAACTCTGCCAGCTGGTGAGAGACTGGCCAAAGCTCGAGGTGCTCAAAATCAGCTGCTATAATCCCGTCGGTAACACCACAATGCCCACATTACATGGGTTAATCGAATTACTTCGGCTCTGCCCCGTTCTGACTTCTCTCGCTCTTGTCATTGACGCTACCAAGCTGGACGGAATAGATCTCAAAACTCCCGGCGGTGGAACCTGCAACAAGTATCTCAAACACCTCGTCTTCGAAAATTCACCGGTCGAGACACCACTAAAGGTGGCTCTCATCCTCAGCGGCCTCTTTCCTAACTTGGAGCAGGTCAACCTTGATTGTCCGGATACAATGCAGACAAAATGGACAAATATAAAACAATGGGCGTTAGTCAACAGTTTCCTTGATGGCTTTGGCATTGTACGGAAGCGATGCACCGAAGTATGATGTTGGATTCAACTTCGTCAGCATTAGTATAGAATTCCTTTCTTCATCATCTCGTGTCTCATAGCATATAGTCCCGCATCGTTTTGTCACTCGCACTCCAGTCGTTGTTCCACAACACTGAGGTATGTTTTCTTCGTCTCTAGCTATCACGCCGAGTCTTACGATAGTACCTTCGGCATGTCCGTTCCTCAGGTCAGGTACTATAATCGAATTAGTCGACACTGAGCGTGTCCGTTCCTCAGTTCCAATTATTTATGCCGAATGTTTTTGTGTTGTTTTCAAGTCATTATATGAGTAGTGGTTGAGTTGCGTTGAGGGCTATGCCGTTGTGTCACATGCGGGTCCATGGACTTACCTTCCCACGTATGCCCCATACCATGAGTCGGAGTTGACGTCAGTGACTCGGACGGTTCTGGGTTGTTCTGGGGAAATCAAAACAGAGATCTTGAACTTTCCTGAATTTGAGGAATATTTCACAGCCGCAGGGACTATATAGTGTTGAACTTCCAACTCAAGTAAGTTACATCTAGTACAACGACCAAGTACATTCCCAAGTATGGGTGCCGACTACTACAAGACCTTGGGTATTTCTCGAGATGCTGGGGAGGATGAAATCAAGAAGGCATACAAGAAAATGGTATGTGATGCTTTTCACATGCTCGCACCTGTTCAAGTTGACATCTTGTTTGCAGGCTCTGAAATGGCATCCAGACCGCAATGGAGGGTCTGAAGAATCCTCAAAGAAGTTTAAGGAGGTAAGTGGGACATCCCGCTTTATGCTCCTAGCTGACGGATTATTAGATTTCAGAAGCATTTGAAGTCCTCAGTGATAAGAACAAGCGAACCATATACGACCAAGTTGGTGAGGAGGGTCTCAAAGGAGCAGGAGGGTCTGCCCCTGGCGCTGGATTCCCTGGCTTTGCTGGTGGTTCAGGCTTCCCAGGGGGGGCCACATTTACATTTACATCTAGCCCCGGGGGTGGTGGGTTTGCGCCAAGTGACCCGCAAAAAATATTCGAGTAAGTAACATGCATTCATTGTCCAGCATTCAACATTTAGTAACTAAACGTTCTTATAGACAAATATTCAGCCAATTTGGCGGAGGTTTCGGAGGCATGGGTGGCTCTGGAGGTATGGGTGGTATGGGTGGTTCTCCAATGTTCGGTGGCATGGGCGGTCCTTCTGGCATGAGCAGTGGCAGGAGTGGTACGAGTGGCATGGGCAGAAGTCCAAACATTTTTGATGACGACGATATAGGTGGTGGCGGGTCTTTCTTTGGAATGCCGGGGAGCATGCCATCGGAGCGACCATCTCCTAGACATCAATCATCGACGTCAACGTCAGCCCCAGCCCCAGCCCCTTCAGAAACTACTCGCCCACTGAAGCTCTCACTTGAAGAACTATTTACAGGTACGACCAAACACCTGAAGGTCGGCAGACGATTATTGGGGGGCTCTACGGAGGAAAAGGTGCTTGAAATCCAGGTTCTCCCGGGCTGGAAGAGCGGCACAAAGATACGTTTCCCTCGAGCCGGCAATGAGCAGCCGAACGGCGAGGCACAAGATCTAGTATTCGTGGTGGAGGATAAACCCCATGATGTTTTCACACGGGAAGGGGATGATTTGATTTGCCGTCTCAGGATACCCTTGGTGGACGCACTCACAGGCGTAGACGGAAAGAAGACCATCGTGGCTCTGGACGGCCGAAAATTGCAAATCCCATTGCCTGGTGGCGTGGTGAAACCTAATCAGGAGACAAGAATTCCGAACGAAGGGATGCCGATTAGAAAGCAGGGCAGCATGAAGAAGAAAGGAGACCTCGTAGTACGATGGGATGTCATATTCCCAGACCGTCTTACGCCCTCACAGAAAGAGGGGCTGAAGAAGTTGTTGGGGTAATCATTTATTAGGGCATCATCTACCTGCAGTCGACTCCACTCGTTAGATTAGCATATCAACTGTACTTTTTAATTCATTTCACGATTAGTTTCATGAGATATGATTACTGTTACACCCAACGCGTCATACGATAAGCGTCTAGATAGTGACATTCAAGAGTGTTCAGGAGCAGACCACGAATCAGGAGACTAAATAACTTACATTTATTGAGGTACAACGACAACATCACAGGGCGTGATGATCATCGAATTGCAGTGCCGGAAGCCGGTGACATTGGAGAGTCCACTCCGCGGTCGATAGAACAATAGTATGACCCGGATCATAGAGATCAGTACAAACATAGAACAAGCATGGTTGACAAATAGACAACTCGATCAACATTCCCGCGAATACTGAGGGTGATTCTCCCGCGAATTAATTGTATAGACTAGCACTCACTTTGACTGTGGAGCCCGGGTGGAGCGGAAATCTAAACACCGATGAGGATGCCCGTTTGACAGGTTGACCTAGAATAGTTATGAGCGAGACCAGTAATAAGCTAGTACCTGGGGCATGAGTCTCGAGAGAATGAAAGAAACGCTGGACGTGTGCGATGCCTACAAGTTCACCGCATTCTGTGATCCTTTGGAACGGTACATTGTCAAGGGTTGACATGGACATCCCGGGCCTTTGCGCCAATATACTCCACTAAAGTGTGTAGGTGATAAATAGCGAACTACCTCGCAGCGATTCGAAATACCGCGAGGAATATATCCGTCTTAATACGCGCCCAGGATTGATGGACGCGGAGTCCCGATAGCATTGGGGTAAAGCTATGAATATAAGAGACACGAGGTGGCACTACAGCGAGCAACTCGGAGCATTCATGGGTGACCGACGGGGTATGATTCGTAAAAGTCTTAGACTTACGGCCTTCAATATGGTGTGGGGTAAAATTACTGAGGCCAGTAATCTGAAACTAGAGACGGTGATGAACGAAAGGTCCTCGGAGGAGATTGTGTAGAGAGAAGCTGCTGCGTTAAGACTCAGCTGAACTTCGCTGATCCAAGGACGTTAACTTGAACTTTGAAGCTTATGAAAGCAGCGGAGAACCGAACAAAACCTTGTCACACACCTCGAGGACAGATGACGTTCCAGGAATTCACTGGCCAGGCCCTCCGGGAAATCTGTTGTTCAATTGATATAACCACGGATTGATGGAGTGATGATGGAGTGATGACGATTCTGGTCAGCTGTCGACCAACTTGATTTTTTCCAATGATCGATTGTCGGCCTCTAGTGGGCGAGATCCTGATCAAGGCACGATGTCGGATGGAGTACTACTTATTATACTAACACCGTGTAAAACCTTCTTAAAGCTTACGCGCACCGAAAAAGGAACGAGTTCAAGTAAGTAGAATTAGCCGTTAGTGTTCTTCTGACTACTATCTAGTGCCGCTAGCTGCGCCGCATAATGAAGAAACGCGATAAGCCAACAGGCGAACAAAAAATGCAAGCTGTAGTGCAGTCCAATTATCATGTTGCACAGCAGCGCTAGCGTCCGACACAAATTGATCATGCTTCGGGCGAGTAAATTACTCATAACAACACGCGGAATTTCCGTGCTGAACATGAGGCAGAGTTGTTTTCAGTATGTGACCTGCAGGCAATCTGCGTTTCATGATCGCTTTAGAAGCTATCTACAAGTTGGAAAGTACGTTTCGGGTCGTTTTTAACGAGCCTTCTCTCTCACATATAAATGCTGCCCTGCGTTACAAAAGAATGACAATCCCTCCCCCACTCTTGCAGCCCTTCCTGCTTACCTCCCTGTGCAACTTGCGACCCACTCTCATTACTCTCCGATGATGCCCGTAGCTGCTCGCCGACCAGAATATTATAATGCTCTTGGTCTCACTTTCGACGCTACAGACGAAGATATCAAAACTGCATACAAGAAACTGGTATGTTTCCAGCTTTCATTGTGCATAAACAGTACTCATCCTTCCAATAGGCCCTTCAATGGCACCCCGACCGTCATCAGATCGGGAAAGAACACGCAGCGCAGATGTTTGTTGAAGTAAGCGATGTAGTCGTCGTGTCTTCTAGTCCAACATTCAACATCATCATTGCCAGGTCAACACTGCCTACCATTCCTTGATGGATGGCACAGAAGGCACGGTTCCTTCCTGTGGAGACAGTGTCTCACCGTTATCTACGCCCACGGAAAGTGGCACAGCCAAAAGCTCTTCCGCGGAGCCACGACCACAAGCCAATGCACAGTTATCCCGTCATACAAAGTCGTCAAGCTCACAGAAGAGTGAGCAGACACTCAATCAGTTCTCCTCCACTTTCGTTCCTGGCTCTGACGCCGAAAAACTTTCTCAGCCTTGTTCGTCAGACGACAAAACCACTCATTATGCCTCACACGATCATCACTCCAATCTAAAGCACCACTCCCATAAGCCTTCTAGCACAGGCAGCAATGGCTCTCGTTCCCGCTCCCGAACAAAATCATACGATAACTTGCGTGATTTACCATCTGTACATGATCAAGCGCCGTCGTACGCCACGAGCGCTAGCCGCTCTCATAGTAGTCGCACGAACATTCCCCACTCAAAGTCACATGACAATTTGCGTGATCCTGCACTCAATTCGCACGAGCCGCAATCAGGACAAGCGCCTGCTCCGGTCTCACGCGACCCGAAGTCGGAGACTTCGAACCGGTCTAAAAACAACCAAGGGGCTGTATCTACCTCCATATATTCCAAAGGTCGCACACGCGTTCCGAACGGTGCGAAATCATTGCGAAGTCAAACAGGCAATTTCTCGCGGCCTGTAATTCCACCGACATCATCTAAGTTACACAAATTGTCTCGGCGCGGACTGGGAGAGTAAGTGATCTGTTTTCAACACTATCACATTAATTTATTGTTCCATAGGGAACTACTCCAAAAGCTTTCCAAGGGGTCATCGAAGTACAAAAAAGAAGAGGGTTCAACTTACTCAGACGACGCTCCCACGTATGGTTCCCCGTTACGACCCCTTGGTGCGCCTCGAGGCACATCCAAGGAATGGCTGTTTCCACTTCCGCTGACCCTTCACGAGATGTATCATGGGACGGCTTTCCAATTTCTCATCACACGAGAGTTGTTATCCCGCAAAACAGAGCAAGTCGAGATCTATATCGATGTACCTCCGGGTATTCGAAGTGGAACTAGGATTGTCTGTCCCCGTACAGGTCACCAGCGGAAGGACGGGACTCTTCAGGACGTAATCTTCCTGGTTGAAGAGGTACCTCATAGCGGTTTCACTAGGGTGAAAGACGACCTGTTCGTGGACATTTGCGTGCCCTGGGTGGAGACTCTCGCCGAGCTAGGGGCCGATATTTGTATAGACGGCATGGATGGGGAAGAAATTGTTTTCGCACTGCCTTATCCAATCTACGACAAGTCTACCGAAGGGCAATTACTGGTTAAAGGAGCGGGCATGCCGATTCGGGAAGGTCGAAAGACGATGGGACGCGGTGATTTGATTGTCAGGTAAGATCGCAGCTGCGGATATCGTGCCGTTGTCGTTGACAGTTCTTAGATGGCAGGTGGTGTTCTCGCACCCTAGCAAATGGGAGAACTTCAAGAAAGCTCTGCGCATCAAGGTTTAATCAATTGGGAAGTACATTATGATTGCGATGAACATCTTATGGGAATATGTATACATATTGCATTGAACGCATGACGGCGTTATATGTCAGGAGGCATCGGAATACGCAACTAGCAATGTATAGTATTCATCAAGTATATGCCATGGACATTATCATTACGGAATAAAACACTCATTGTATCACTTCAATTCACGCACAGAAAGCACAGTACCAGCCACTCACGTTTCGGTCCAACAGCGGAACTGAAGTTAGCTTACACCGTACGGCGTATACGTAAGAATGACTGCAACTTGACGCCCTTAATCTCGCAGCGTCCCCTCGACTCATCAATCTTAGGGTCAGCGGCCCAGCTAAAGTTCACAATAACGATGTGCTCGGCACTCAGCTTGCGATTTCGCCATCCTAGGGGTTCAATGAAAATACCACCCGTCATCACAATGTGGCTGTGCACGCCCCTGAGCTCAACGCTTTCATTTCCTGTCTGCACTCTTTACAACCCTACTACATCCAACAATGAACCAGTTATTCACAATTTACTTTGTATTCGCTTTCTTCGGCGAGATATTTGCTGCAGGCATGGTCGGCTTTTTTGCCCCTGTTGGATTCCTGTCTCCATTCATGCTTAGCATAACTCTCTTATCCTTCCTACTTGCACTGCTTCATGTTCGCCTGGTGCACACAGTGTTGTCAGCACACAAAACCGATCCCCCCGTCCGCAATTGCCTTTTGTCTCATGCAGCAATGGGTTCAGGATTTCTGGTCGTCTCAATCGAAGTTCACTCTTACGACAGTGAGTGTGTCCTAGTATCTGGAATCTGGATGACACTGATTGCTGTTTGCTGTAGTAACACAAACCCTGCCGCTCAAAGGATGTTTGGGATATCTGATAATACCAGTGTTTGTCTGCACATTACTTTGCACAATCATCTTCTATCGTTGGTCGCTAGGCTACTGCGCTGACAGGCAAGATTTGGGGTCGCTGGGGGATGTTTGTGACTTGTTGCTCTCACGGGTTTCATCATGTATTGCGTCCCATACCAACACTCCGGAAACACTCCCTCAAGCACTCTCCGAGCCATTCACCGAACATTACTTACGCTTCGACACTCCCATGTCACCTGTAAGTCACACAGCGGCGGGTACCGACGTACTTCCCCAACCTTATTACCAGGTATGACCGTATGTTGCTGTTCTTCTTGCTGATTCAAGACTAAATTTATTATTCTAGCTTTCAGACCATGACCATAGAGAGAGGAAATCAGATGAAGAATCTTGCATTGGTCTCCATGTGTAGAACTTGTACAACTACGCATGAAAGTGCCATTAGGCATCAATTCAATGCTATTGCCATTTGTATCCATCCATGCGGTGAATGCGCTGCCAAGCGCTTGATAGTTGTATTGTTCACTTTCAAGTCGTCTCTTTTATGGTGATGACCACACCACAACAGAAAGCGAGAGTAACGTCTTTCAAGTCTCCACCTCGTAATGCGTATTCTAGTCTTGGTAAGTAGCCGCTCCAAGCACTTTTGAGTCACGCGCGTATCAAGATCCAACTTTGATCCTGCTACCAGGGCTGTTAGATTGGCAGATGCAGGGAGAAAAGGAGGACTTCTGTCAACTCGCTCGAGAGCTGGGTGGGCTTAGATCGCAAGAATGGAACAGCCAGTTCTGTCTAGATCAGATACGCGGTCAGAGAAACCTTCAGAATTAAATTATGTAAAGGTGCAAGCGCGTCGAGTCGTCGACTCATCGAGGCATTTATTTGTTACGTATATAAGCGCCACACGTGACACCAATGCTATATCTTCTTCGAACACCACCTGGCACCTACCAAGGTCGCGATCGATCGACGAGCTGTGTTAGACGAATATTATGTCCACAGGTATACTCTTCGCAGGAAGCGCAACTTGAGGCAGTTCCACTGCTTCAGAGCCCCGGTTGGCGTGCCGTCTGAATCAAGTCGGAAAATGCGGCATTACCTGTGTAATGCATTGCAGGGAAGGGCTGTCAGAAGGAGTCAGGTGAGTCGACTAGTACTGACTAGTGGTGCTTCCATTCCTCAGTGACGTGCAGAGACAAGATCTTGCCAGCAGCCACGTGACAAACCATGCCCATCCAACGCGTTTCTGACGCGTGTTTGCCCAGCTTACTAGTGGACCTACATAAAGTCAGCAGATCTGACGCCTCATTGATTGCAAGCCCTTTCTTTCAGTTCTCCTCCATAACACCAGAAATTCAATAATGGAATTCTTTCGTCGTCGTCCCAACAATTCGTGGGCCGACCACCTACTTTTAAAAGTAAAGCAAATATATTGATGAAATATGACCATTTTTGACGTTATGATGCTCACTTCCAGATGGCCAATATCGTTGGAGCGCTCTTCGTCATGGGAGCAAATGGCTACACAGTTATTTCTCCTCTGGATGTCTACTACTCAGGGAAAGAGACATACTTTACCCCTGCTCCCTGGGCATACTTCCTTTGGTGAGAAACATGCACGCTTCACGTGTCAGCCGCTTACCGCCAATAGGCCTGTCATTCACTTGCTGGTGCTTGGAACATGCACCTACCAGTTCTCAGGACGGGGTAAGGAACTCATTATCGACATCATCGGTTGGAATCTCCCGCTTCTCGACTTCCTGAATGCTATGTACATCTATTCCTGGACTAACCAGGAGTACAAATATGGTCAGTCATCTTGATTTCTCAGTCATACAGTTTACTGACGTACGTCATAGCTTTTGTTTTCATCGTCTTTACTTGTTCAGTCGCATCGGTAGGTCGTTATTTGCCACCTCCTAGTCGAACGACAACAACTTGATTGTCTGTCCAGAAAATTTACCGGCTTGTGAAATTGAGCACTGTACGCAATATCTGCGACGAACTCTTCCTGCATCTTCCATTCTCCCTTTACCACGGCTGGACGACATGCTTGATCTTCACCACCGCCTTTGCGGCTTTCGGTGTGGACGCTGAAATCGAGCCAGTGAGGATCTGGACCAAAGTTTTCGTCTTCCTTAGCCTGTACGTCATACTCCACTTGATCTGGGTAATGTCTGATCCCGTATTCCCAGGTTCACCCTCCAGACCATTGCATCCGTCTATGCGCACGCGTCCGTAGAAGGCGACCTTCCTGCTTGTCTTGCAGTCTCCTGGTTCTTATGGGCTGAATTTGTGAACCAATCGCCGGAAAAGTCGCCATTTGTGCACTGGTGTGCGCTTGGAGCTGCTATCCTGTCGTTGTGCTGGCTCATGCGTAGCGCAATCGGGTTGGAGCTCAAGATTAGGAACAGAAACGCTAACAATGTTAGGTTTGGATTCAGCGGCAATGACAACGAGGGCTCTCGGCTTTTGGGGGGACATTAAGCGGAGGCAATGGCATCGCAAGTGGAATGAGGTTGGGGCGTTGCGCGAGTTGGTGCCCTGTGGCGAGGAACACGTGTAGTTCTTTCTCTTTCAACCCTATCTTTGTACATCATATGGGCTCAAATATATGTTTGTGTTTTTAATAGCGGACAGTCCCTATCGACATTTTATCGATATTAATTTATTGTGTTTTGTGCACCTATTCCAGGATGAGCAAAAAAAAAGCATGGCTAAAAAGTACAACAGCAAAATGAAAGCCTTAAGATAAAGATTGATATACACCGCTGTCATGAAGCTTCCAACTTCCCTGCACAATACTTGCATTTATTCAAACTTGATAGGTTCAACCTTCTTGGGAGACGGCAGCCCAACAAAACCCGGAGGTCTCCTGGTCGGCGTACCCTGTGAGACTTGGGCTTGTCGCGTTGGTCTTTGTTGTTGACTGGCAATCAGCTTAGCTAATGCCAATGGAGGAGCACCGATCAGCCGTGATACAGTCCATGGCAGCTCGAATTTTGCAGCCCCTGCCCAGGCAATATACCGGGAAAGTTCGAGATGCAATGTCGGATAATACGTCACAGACGTCTTGCGCGATATCTATAGAACCAAATATAATGAATGTCCATTCAACTATCAGGCCATTAACCTCACCAAAATAATACGCTCAAATCCAGAAGCAAATAGGTCAGAGTGGAAGCGGTGCGCAGACATGTCGTGTTCCTTGGGCAGATTAAGCTCATGAACGGACTTGGCAATTGCATTGAGAAGTTTGAGGTGCATCGTCTGCTCGGATAGGAATCGTGAGTCAGTTTCAGTTGTCGTGTACTTCATCCACTTACAAAGTACCCCATAGCTTCAAATTCGACACCTCCCGTCATGCCTCCAGGTGCTTTGGGCTTCTCCACCTTGCCCTCATCTACCTCTTCCAAGTTCCAGACTGTGTTATTCGGGTGACAGAATACCCAGAAGTAATCTCTGCAAACGTCCGAAAGCTCCTGAAGGTAAGTTTTATAAATTCTTGGGCGATGTAGTGATTCAATAAAAGCATGAGGTGACACAGGCGAAGCAGGTGATTCAGTTGCAGGAGGCGCGGGCGTCAGAAGGAGAGCACGAATCAGCGAGTAGAAATTTTTGTGTGGTGCTGGGAAGGTGATGAGAGTCGAGGATGAGCGGCCCTCGGGTTCCCAAGCTTCACGACGTGAACGGTTACCAGTGGATGGGAGCGATGAAGAAGGATACAACTCGAACAAGATGAGCAACAATTCGACAATAAGCTGTCTCGTTGCCACATCTCCGGGCTTTTTGTCGGAGTAAAGCAAGGAGACTAGTTGCACGAACGGGGTCGGGCACGAGCTACGCAAGGCAAAGCAACCAATTGCAGAGGTCGATAGGGCCTTAAAGCATCGAAGTAATTCGTATAATATCTGGTCATCATGTTGCTCTTCTCTGAACAAAAGATGAGAATATGATTTGAAGGTTGGAGGTATCGACTCACCGCCACTCAACTTCGAGTATTTCGTTCAATCGCGTGAGCATAGCATTGTAACCACCCAATTTCAGGAAATCTTCCGACCAACTGATCAAAGTTCAATCAGCTAAACATAGCACAGGAACTTCAAATCGCTTAGCACTCACATTGCGGACTCATTCCGTAGGAGTAGTCGGAGCTTCTTGACGATTTCTACTTCTAGCTGAGTGCTGGAAGTTGATGCCAAGATACTGCATAATTTGACGGGAGTTATGTTCTTCACGAAGCCCTTCTCTTTGGATTTGCTCGTAATGAGGTCGCCTGAGATAGCCGGGGAATTCTGGCCCTGAGAGAACGTCCGCGTACCATCAACCGATAACCCACGGTCATGTCCTTGCCTGTCACCGAGTGTGTGCAGATCTGTCGTACTCTTTCCAGAGAGACCAGATATCCAACTGCCTTTCGTAGGCATCTGGTCATAGCTCATAGAAGGCGGAATAGGCGAGCCCATAGATTCGCTACTGCGGGCTTTTCTCAACGTCAATGGGGTGCTTGGTGGCCCAGATGTGGGGTTTGATGTTATAACGTGTGATGATTTGAGCATGGCCGCTTTAACAGTCGCATCCATGCCAGCTAGCTTTACCCGAACGGTAGAGGGAATTTGTAGCTCGTCCTGTGCGCATGTGCTATTAAATATCGTCAATTGAAGTCATCACTGCAGACTCCTACCAGTAATTTGTCAAAGGCTTGGTTCATTACCACCGGCTCGACCACAAGATCCTGCGAGACCTTTACTGTCTTCATCTTTTCTTGCTTCGAATTACCCTTGTGGGTTCCCTTGCCTGATTTCGTTTGTGCAGGAGTGACGACATGATTGTCAGGTAGATTCTCCTTTCCGCTGAGTGGATCTCCAGGGCTCGTGACCATAGTGAATTCTGAAGAAGATATTCTTTTCGACGAGGGTAAAATTGCCTTGAACATGGCCGTAGATGCTTAGGTGTGTGTGTGTGTATGTCGTAATCGTGGTGGTCGTCAATGTAGAAATCAAAAGTAAAAGGTTTGTTGTGGCTGTGCCGTGACAAGCACACGGTTCGTCTTTTTGGACGCGACTGTCACGTGCATTTATTTTATGCTATTTGGCTTGACTTTTGACTTTAAGCGCCGACGCCCATGAAGTCGTCGCTATGAAGTTTTTTGGACGGTCCCGTTAGGAACCTCAGGCAGTGATGGCATCAGGCCTTCAGCGCCCTACATGACCGCCGGCGCTCGAGCCTCCTCACGTTGCTCCCACATGTGTCATGCCATCAATTTTCACTGCATACGTTCTTTAAGCAGACTGATGCGGCAAGTTTTTACCATATTATTGGTCCTTGTAGGTGCGCGCCCATGCCTTACATTGGAAATGCTAATTTCCGGTCGTCGGTATATAGCTTTCACTCTTTGTTCTTGACGTGAACTAACTCTCCCTTTGTGCACAGACCCATTCCCCTGCTTGCACGCACACATCTCGTCCTAGCGGCCCAGCGAGTTCTCCTTTTCTTTCAAACTCATACTGCTAGTCATCAGGACATCGTTCTCCTTAGAGACAGGGCGTTGAAATGTGAGTCAAATTAATATTCCTCAAATTCAAAGCTCTACATTTTGTTAATCCAAGTACTGTGGGATGGTATCGTACGACCGATGCAATGGCCTTAAAATAACTAGGTGTGTATGGTATACAAAGTGAAAAACCGTCAGAACTTAAACTAGTAGGACCGACTGGCGCCCTTGGATATGGAGCAGGTCTTGCCATTGGACTGCTCCTCCTTGACTATCCCGTTTTTGCCATGCAGTTTGCATGACTCGCAGAGCCTGATTGATGTTGCCAAAGCCATTGTGTTGGCCTTGCAACCGTGTTTTCAGAAACTCGCGCTTCATGGGATCGTCCACGAGACACCCAGCCAGACATATGGGGAACACTAGGCAGCGGTCGATATTTGACACGGGCAGCCGGTTCAATAATTGTACAATGACATCTATCGAATTCACGATCTCGGGCACTCCTGTGGCAAAGTCACGAACATTGCAAAATCACGTATCAATTTCGACGCACCTGGATTAGGTTCACTGAGCACTGTATGTAGGTAGAGGATGGTTGCTTCTCGGAAGATATCAGCTACTATCCTCCGAGTGTCATCCGCAGGAAGGGATGTGCTTGCGTGTCCAGTAGGTGAATTTTGTGCATTGCCATGCTCAACAGTCATTGACGATAGATCAGGATGTAATGACGTTTGGTCCGCTTCTGTCGATAGCATTGTCTCTGTTTGGGTACGAAGGTGTCGCTCGATAACGTCCCCTCGCCGAATGAGCTCTCTCATGCTCAAAGAACCTTTACGAAGTTCTTGCATCTTCCAGCATGATAAAGTTGCTATCTCCGCGATACCAAGAAGTACTTCGTCTGGACAACCAGTTAAGCTATCCATACGAAGGGCTGACTCGTCGATGCCCTGCTGCGTTAAACCCCAGTAACCCGATCCTCCGCGGAACAGTCGCCGGTAGAAGGATAGATGCTTTGGCGTCGTTTTCAGGGTCAAGGTTGACATGATATCACACCACTGCAAGCTTCAGGTGAGCTTAGTCTGCGCATAGTCGCTGTAAAACTCACCATCGTGGCTTTCAGTGCCAGTCGCGATGCCTCATTCATGTTTATCATCATCAACTTGGGGTTATCGCTCGTTGTTATCCCCGTCCTTGCAAGCCATTCGCTCGCGATATCCAACATTGGGCGCCAATCTGTTACTCCACCTGACATGAGCGAGAAGCTCAACATGTGGATGGCTGCATTCGCATCGGACTCGCTTAGCGTTGTTTGCTTGTTTCTGTAGAGTTGTTGGTGGGCACTATCATAGAATCGGATTGCCGGTGAGTGCTCCAGGGTGGGGTTTGGCGCCTCGAAACCGTGGGCGATACGAATCAAACTGAAGTGTAATGATGCCAATGCGGAAATAGCGTTTGCCACCGAGCCCTGTGGGTGTTTCAATACGAGCTAAATAATGGTTAGCAACGAAGTATCAATTGCTTGAGAGAAAATCTTACTGAATATGTTGTATTTGCTACAGAATTGCCAGCAAACGCATACTGCAACTGCCGAACATGCTCGAAGTAATAAAAAATGTGCTCCATTTGCAAGCCATCGTCTGGTATCGATGTCATTGGAGAATTATACAGGTCTTGGGTGGCGGTGTCGAAGTCAGGATTAAAGTGCAATTCTGCCACGGGCGATGTGTCTGAGGGAAGAGAGCCGGAAGGGCTGAAGGGGGAATTGTGGTTTGAACGCTGAAAGCTCCCATCCCTCGTGTACAGAGGGACAGAAATAATCTGAGGTGAGTTCAATGTTGAACCTGAGGATGGGGCGTCAGTCGCCATAGATTCAATTCTCTTATGACAAAAAACGCACCAAAAACGGACATTCCGGTTGGGTCGCTCAATGAATCGACATACGCTGGCATTCCTAAATCGTTGACTCGAGAAGACCCCGAAGAACTTGCAGATGGTTGAAACTGTCGCGAAGGGAACACGGAGGATGAAGAAGCTGGCGTAGATGATGGACCCGCTGAACTGGCTTGCAATATCGAGGATTTTGGCTGACCACGGATGAGGCCAGCCCGTGTTAGCTGAGCTTTGATGCCAGCCTTGTAATCTTCGACGGCTTTCTTGTCCTGTAGGACGATAAGGGACGGTGGCGAGAGGGACAGGAACTGTACTCACGCGCATCCATTCTGGGCGTCTTGTTCCCCACCCGAGACAATCTATTCTCAAGCGTTTACAGGTATGACAGGAGTTGCCCTCTCGTTGTTCGTCACATTTCTATTATAACATGCATGGTCAAGAGGCATGAAGGGGTTTGTTTGAGTCGAGACGTACCTTTCTTCGGAGGCGGCATGTCCTACGATTGGAAATTGGAATGGAAGCGTTAGCAAGTGGAACGGTCTGGGAAGAAGTGATGCGCACCAGCATCCCCCCCTCCCTGTCAAGCTTGCACGAGGTAAATCTACTGGCATTCTGTTTGGAGTTTCTCGTGAATGTGTACTTTGGGAATCTGCTTCATCCGAGGATCTGGATGGCCAGAGGGGGGCGGAGATGTTGGCAGGAGAAGTATTGTTGGAAGGCGTCTCAGACGGGGGCGATGAACTACCGCTGGCTGACGAACTATAGTATGGGTTTGACATTCACGCCACGATTGGGGGTTGTAATGATGAGACAATATAATTTTGACTAGGGGAAGATGTTTTAAGAGGAGATTACAGCCACCTACAGGAAATACCGATGGGGTGATGGACACTTTGGTTCAGTCGCAAAAGAAAAGACGGCGTGATGTTTGGTTCTGTCGCAAACGAAAAGACGGCGATGTTTATGGCCTAAAGAAGTATGTAGAGTGTAATCCAAAACTAATTTGGATTCATTCATGAATTGGTCTCCAAGTAATTAACTCCGCAAGGGCTATGGGATCCAGTGTCGGTTGGGGCATCGGTGCACAACATGAAGCGATGAGGTGAGGGGTCACCATACATCCTCCGTCTCATTAGCTCACAAAACACTAGGAAAACATTTTTGAAGTTACTTCTATCAAGGGTGAAATAAGACCAAGCTTTTTGCTTATATAATTTCCGATTTCGATGGATGAACTCAAAAAGTGTACGTGTAAGCGCAGTCAACGATTCTATCTTTACCGAGTCCCGAGAGAACTCCGGGGTACCTGAGAATAAGCTGGATATCAATGTGCCTTGGTCTTCTTTGAATTGAATTGTTTACAATGTGTCAGGTTTATTATATAATGCGATACATCGGTATATGTGGCCCTGCATGTCGCGGTCAAATCCCTCGAGGTATATTTGATCCGATTATATCGTCAATTCTGGGGGTTTTATTAAATTAAACACCTTCAAGCCTTCCGCGAGTAGAACGTTCATGGCCCAGGCCTGTCAAGGCACACATTCTTATAAAGGAAACTCCCGCCGAATCTCCGACGATCCCCCATGTCGGTACTTGATAGTCACCGGGACGTGCCCGAAGGATGTTTCCGCATGGTAGGGCACCTCTTGGATACCCCCATCACGGAACATCGCAGTGCCCGTCGTTGCGACGTTTGAGTACACCTCGGTCGCTGCAACCACTCCATAAAAGCTGTGAAAACATAGCACTCCTCGATCGATTGGCACTTTCCCTATCTCTCGAGTCTTGACGTCGTTCGTTAATTAAAGTTGCTCAATCACATTTCAGTGGCGGTGCCAAGGCTGTATCAGCATGTCTTGCACAACAGGCTTGGTGATCTCTACAGGAAATTGACCAAGATATCATGCATCATCTTCCGTGGAGTTCGCTCATCGTGAATAACTAGTGTGGGATGACTGAGCAGTCTGACGCACCATGTGCGTGGTACGGTGGTACTAAAGCCAGGATGGTCCCGAAGCTAGTGACCGAATCGAGAACAAGTTTCAGACTGCACGTGCATGTGCAGATCTGAGAATGGTGTCGTAATGAGTAAGATGCCAGCGGCAGTGCTGAAATGGTCCATCAGAAACATACCGACGGTGCATTGAATATTGATAAGGCCGAGGAGGTGGGTGTCTAGAAAATAACGCATAGCATTCGGAAGTTGTGCAAGCGCAGACGCGATTTGTTCACCGGGCGTAAATAAATTACTGCTTGTAGGGTATAGGAACGGAGAGCCTCGGGAAATAAACAACCGACCTACACACTAGGGGCGTGCCGAATACTTTAGCAAATAATGAAGCGCCAGGAAGTAAAAGCCCATGTGTCGTAGGATAGCCTTTACACAAGAAGCATCTGGGATTGTTGCATCACGACACGCCAGTCCACGGGCTCCCCTTGCTCTCGGCTCCTCCACACTTCTTTCATAAGTTCAGCGACCTGGGTACAGTTCCCCACTGTCTCCGTCTGCTGCTCCTGCAAGCGCCGCAGGAAGTATTCGCGGTAGTGAAGAACATCCGTCAAGCAGCCACATATGCATATGCTGAACACGACGCTGCGCACAACATGGCGTGATGTGTTGGCGCTGACGTCGTCAGCACGCCTGAGACACTTGACTGTTTCTGCGATGTTGCTCATGATCTCCGGACATTGTGGATGATCCCCAGAGACGACGGAATGAAGATAAACAAGGGCAGACGCGCGGAATACGTCAGATGTGAGGCGCCGTCGGCGTAACTTCTCCGATTCAAAGCCCTGGAGGTAGTCAGGGTCATTGGTGATCTTCAGGATGGCTTCGATATTTTGCCCGCGTCTGACAAGTTCAAAAACGCTGAGTCCACCAGCACGCCTGCATTCATCCTTCCAGCATGCGAGATCAGCGATTTCAGCGAGGGCGAGCACGATGCGGTTCTCGCATCCCATGACACCCATCATGGAAAGCTCCGGTCTACCATTATCAACGGCAGTGGCGGGGTCATAGAGCGAACGGAGCACGTCAAGGAACTTGGGACGACGGATCAGCGTCACAGAGGCGAGGACGTCAAACCACATGGACGTCTTGATGACAATTTGCATGCTGTCACTGCATAAGCTCAGCGCCCAGTCCGGCGCATGATGTTTCCGCTGGAGAAATTTGATCGAAAATTCGCAAGCGCCGTCGAGGAACGCTTGCCACTCCCCTTGTCCTCCAGAGAAGAGGAAATATGAGACCATGCAAAGGCTTGCAAAAGTGTCTCCTTCCGTCACTGGTATCACTGGTGCACTTTGGATGCGTGCGTACACATCATGGTCTGTTGGCGCAGTAAAACCAATTGCACCTTGGGTGCTCTTGCGGTGCAAATCCGCAAGCAAACATGCAGCCTCTCGGGCTGAATCACTGGAATGTATCAGATTCCATATGAGTTTATCAATGGACCCGTCGGCATGCAAATATTGGATACGCAGAACATGTTGCATATAGTGTTGCAATGATGCGTTTTGTTGCATGTTCAGGTTAAACCAGTTGTATTGGATGGTGTTAGTGGGCTGGGGCAAGAAATATCCAGAGGGTATGATGACGTTATTATCGTCTTCGTCCGGGAAGGATGCTTGGTACATTGCAGAGAAGTCGCTGGTGTGCGGTCGAGGCAGGATTGATTGCGTCCCTGAAAAAGAGGGTTTGAGGATTATGATACGCATGATAACGATACGGGGTCTTACATGATGGATCTAAGCTAGTCGTATAAGTAGTGGAAGGATACGCAGGCAGCATAACCCCAGGATAATTTTCCCGAGCGTCCAATGGTGAATCAATGTCCTGCATCACGGGAAGTCCTACGACGATATGAGAAAACAAGCAAGGGTATTCCACGATAGGAGTCTTACGAGCATCAGTGTCCCCCCGAAGATAATCATTCCGGGCTATACCCGGGTGTCGCTCGTCGCTGGAGATCGACAATGTGGGGGTCTGCGGACTTGTGTTCGGGGAAGCATAGTCCGCCGAAAGTGATAGAATAGAAGGCTCCTGGTCGTCGATAGGAGTCTTACGAGCATCAGTGTCCCCCAGAAGACAATCATTACGGGCTATACCCGGGTGTTGCTCGTCGCTAGAGATCGACGAGGTGGGGGTCTGCGGACTCGTGCTCGGGGAAGTACAGTCCGTCAGAATTGATGGAGAAGCGGCGATAGAGATTGACAAACTCGGGGTCTGGGGGCTCGTGCTCGTGCATAAAGCACTATTCAAAAATTGAACTGCTTCCTCGGCAGGAGGACGATTAAGGGCTGTAGTAGACCAGCAACGGGTCATGAAATTCCATTGCTGGTCAGTGATAGAACAGTTATCCGGACGAGGATGTATTGTCCCTGAAACCACTTTCAGCAAGAGTGCAGGGATATTGGTCAGGTGAGACCAAGGGGTATTTCCCGTTAAAACCTGCAGGACAACTTAGTAAGTTGCATTAGCAAGAGGACCACCACTGACTTGGAGCATGATGCCGCCAAAGGAGTACATATCACTTTGAGTGGTGGCTGCACGAGCTGATTCTTCAGAAAAAAGTTCAGGAGCTGTCCATCTCAGTGCTCCTGGATGACAGTCCATCTTCATGAGGTACGTCATGCCGGCCGGCTTTATAAAAGTCCCGGAAAGACCAAAATCTGCAAGATACGCCTTTCTATTACTGTCGATGAGGACGTTGTTCTTGTAGTTGATCATTAATATGCGAGGGATAGAATAAATAATGATCTTACACCAGTGAGGTCTCCATGAACGACAGGGTTCAAGTCCGTATGTCCGTCTTTTGTCAAACTAAACGTATGAACTGATCTAAAAAATTATTCATTTTCCTTTGGACATGCACGTTTTCACCCACGATAGTTGAGGCCGGCAGCGATGTCATGAAGCTTGTGCACAAAACAATGAACTCGACTGTGCAAACCGGGAACATATTTGAAGTACTCACCAAAAGCAGACGATCAGGCAGCCTGAGAGTCTCATTGTTCTGGAGAAACAAAGTCAGAGTGCCATTGGTCATCCACGGAGCAACCAAAGCTACTGAGGGACCAAAGCCCAAAGTTGTACCCATGAATTTCAAGATATTAGAATGCTTCAACCTCTTCCAGATTCCAAGCTCTCTCCGAAACATCTAAGGAAGCTTAATGAGAATATGACGATTCCCTCAAATAGAACACTACCTCAGCATTAACGCATCCTGGTCGCATTGCTTTGACGGCGACCTGCGGGCGAGTGTTAAGTTGATGAGCTTGGAAAAACTGTAACATCCGCACGAACCTCTATATCGCCCTCTGGTCCGTAGTATGTACACCGGTAAATATCTGCATATGCGCCACCACAAGCTGGGTATGGGTTGCATGATATGATAAGACCTGTTGAGACTGGGTTGGAGGTTGAAGTGATCGGCTGAGTGGAGGGAGCGACAGTAATAAGTGGGTATGGTTTGAGAGTACCAGTGAATCTTCGCTGATTTACGGTCAAATGATCGTTAACTTCAGCGTGCGTTCCAAAACTTGAATTTTCCGAGTCATGGGCTGTGCGAAGCTTTTGGGTTGACGATTTCCCTCCCGGTATGATGTATGGATGTTGACGGCGTTGCGCTGTCGAACAGGAAGAACGGGAACGATGCTGTGCACCAAAGTTGGTCGTACTGGAAGAAGAAACCGTATCTGAAGGGGAAGCACGACCAGAGTCTGGTTGTGTGTCCATCTCCTGTTGCATGACTGAAACGGCCGTTGTAGTTTCTAGTGGTGGTCGTGTCAATGTTATCAATGGGAAGGATGGTGCATGTACATGAGGGCTGGGGCGTTGAAACGTTGAAGCCTCGAGGTTTTTGATTAATACAGGATTACACAACGAGAAATGAACTAGGCCAGATTGGTACTTTCGGCATCACTGGCATACGTCGTGACCGAAGTGATATTGAAACTTTGCGCCGTACAATACAGAACGAAGCAGGTGGCAGGGAAAGGCGCAACCGAGTGTCTCGCTGGACATGATCCAATGATCAATCATAGTCAACTCAGTCCGACAATTGTCGAAAAGGAAACTCTGTTCTGTGAACGCCGTTCCGTAGGCACCAGAATAGTGCAAGAAAGATATCAGGTGGTCTATTACAGCCGTTCGCTGCAGCGCTGAACACTAAGTCAAATTGCCAATCGTTAAAAACAAAACAGTTGCCGGAAGTTGCCGTTTTCTTTTTTGGGACATTCGGCTCAGGCTAGCGTTCCGCAAGCTGCTGTAAAGAACGAAGATTGTCTATGACAAAGTGTTTGGTATTGCTGAGCCAGCCTGATGGCTCAGGGTAACTCTCTGAGTTGTCTCTGAGTTCAAGGATTTGTATTAGTAATACTTGTTTAGAATTAACTTCCACCCCTTCCAATGAAACACCATCCTAGCCATACATAAATATCATTAGAGACAGATCAGTAAATTATTCGTGGGGTATGTATGGATTACAACATATAGGGTATGAAAATAAAAAGCTTCCGGAAAAAAATTGACGCGCTACATGCAGCACAGGGCTAGGGGCGTGCCGAACACCTTTATAATTAGCAAATAACGAAGAGAGGTAACGAAAGGACCAACATGTGTCGTAAGATGGCATTTTAGACAAGAAGCATATCTCGCATGACAACGCGCCAGTCCACAGGCATCCCTCCTTCTCGGCTCGCCCAAACTCGTCTCATGAGATCACAGATAAGAGCGCAGTTCCCCGTTGTCTGCATCTGCTGTCCCTCCAGAAGCTGCACGAAATAATCGCGGGATTGAGGGTCATCCGTCAGGCAGCCGCAGACGCATATGTTGAATACCACACTGTGCAGTACATGGCGCGCTATGCCAGCGCTGACATCTTCAGCATGCCTGAGACACATGACTGTTTCTGTGACGCTGTCCATGATCTCTGGACATAGCGGGTAGTCCCCGGATAAAACGGAATGGAGATAAACAAGGGCAGACATGCGGAATACGGCTGAGGTGAGGCGTCGTAGGCGAGATTTTACTGTTTCAGCAGGGTGGGGGTGATCATCGTCGTTGGTCGTCTTCAGCACGGTTTCGATAAGTTGCCCGCGTCTGACGAGTTCAGGAACGCTGAGGCTACCAGTGCACCTGACTTCTTCCTTCCAGCATGCAAGATCAGCAATTTCAGCAAGGGCGACGATGTTGCGGGTTTCGCATCCCATAACATTTATCATTGAAAGCTCCGGTATGCCATCAATGAGGGCAGTGCCAGACGGATCAGAGAGAATCCGGAGTACTTCAAACATGGGACGACGGATCAAAGTTACGGAGGCGAGGACATCATACCACATGGACGTCTTGATAATAAACCGCATACTGTCGGTGCAGGATATCAGTGCACTGGCTGGTGAAGAGGGGTTCTGCTCGAGGAAGGCAAGGGAAAATCGGCAAGCACTGTCGAGGAATGCCTGCCATTGCCCTTGGCTGCCGGAGAAGAGGCAGTAGGAGATCATGCAAAGACTTGCAAAAGCGTCTCCTTCTGTGACTGGTTCTATGGCCCTTGGGATGCGTCTGTGCACATCGCGGTCTTCTGGTGCACTGTAACCAATCGGACCGCCTTGGGTACTCCTGCGGTGCAAATCCGCAAATAAGCAAACAGCCTGTCGGGCTGCATCGCTGGAATGTATGAGACTCCAGACGATGGCGTCAACAGACCCATCCGCATGAGAGAACTGAATAGGAAGAACATGTTCCATATAATAATGCAATAAGTTTTGGTAGCTGTTCAGGTCGATCCAGTTCTGATGAATGGGGTTAATGGAAGCGGGCAAGCGATATCCTGAGGGAATGACGGTGTAGTTGTCGTCGTCGTCTGACCAGTGTGTATTGTACATTGGAGATAATTCGCTGGTGTGAGGTCGGGGCAGCATATTGGAGCCCTGCCAAAGGAGGACTAGAGTGTTATATATACCCGGCAATGATGCGGCCTTACACGATAACCGGCATATAATTTCTGAGCGCTGAACCCTGCTATGGGTACCCTGTCGCACTCAGTCGAAGCAGGCCGGTCCCGGCTCGGTTCGCGGCCTGACGCCGTACTTTGTATAAGGAAAACTTGAATGGAATTTTCGAAGAATCCCCAAGCTGTGACCTGGCTGTTTTGAGGCCTGTGTAAGTCAAGTGAGGGCTGTAGCGAGAACGGACTGCAGGCAGGGGACGAGTAGGCTATCGTCTGATTGCAGCCCGGAGGAAACGAGGCTGAGGTGAGTTGACATAATTGGATAACTAGAAATTGAGTTATGTTGCAGGCTGAATTTTAAATGTAAATAAACGTCAGTTTAACCGTAAGGCCTTAGGGCCGAACGGGCATAATGATTTTAATGCCAGATGCCAACTTGCGCGACACCTTGTACGCTGTCGGGAGCTGTGACTGACCCACCTAGAATGAACGAGTGCATTCCCAGGCCTGACTAGGATCAAGAACTCTACAGTTGAATGTCAATATCAAACTCAAACTCAACCAATGTGAAAAACCCGCCATCACAATGGAATGTTCCCTAATTAACATTTAACCTTCGAAACCACCGACGTTGAAATGATAACTTACAAGAAAATGTGCTTCATCTTGGGAGAAGTATTCGGGCCAAATCCTCGGCACCTATCGCGTCACGGTCACCACAGACCGTGCAATCTTGGACATTTATCAAGGAAGCTGAAGTTTGATATGATATTCTATCTGCAAACAATGGCAATAATACTCTCAGGGCGAACCTATTTAGAGCATGACCGTGGAAGGCGATCACGACAAATGCCAATTGGTGATTGGTCCGTGCGGGTAGGGCCAGATTTACTATAGGACGTCGCCGAATCAATTTATGGATACATACTGCCAGGGTCCTGGATAGTATCAAGGAGGGTCGGGGTTGCTGCGACGATTTGGTGTCGCTGCCAGAGTAAAACATGATTTATGTAACGGACCGGGAAGCTATAAGCGGCTACGGTCCTAGATTGATTAATATTCAGGGCACGACTTCTGAATGAATTTTTTTCTTACAAGTCGACGCAGGAAAGGTGTAATCCAAGGCGAATGCTTAAAGGAGACCCGCCACTGCGCTCTTTGATTAAGTTCATGCCGCAGCCAGGGGATCTCTAATACAGCATCCTGAATAGGACTTACTATGTTCCGGATAGTTCGCAGAAGACTGTCAGCTCGAGAACGTTATGACCGAATGACCGAATTTCAGTTAGAGGGCAATTTGATTTGAAACTACATGCATGAGGAAAGTATTACACAATGATAAGAAAATTAATTCGGCTCACCCGGAACCAGCGGCAGTGCTGATATACACCCATGCGGTAGCTAGGAGACATGCGGTGCCCCTCGAGGCTGTGGAGATATTATGTCTAGAAAAACAATACATAGCATTTGTATGTCGTGTGTAGTATGGTTCGTCGTGGCATGTAGTGTGATATACAGCTTGTGTGGTATGAAAATGAAGAAGATCTTGAGGAAATAATTCGGCGCGCTGCACACCAGGAGGGCGCCCAAATACTTTTAACAGATTATGCATAGACCAATGAAGGGAAAAAAGTTCATGTGTCGTAGGATAGACCTTAGACAAGAAGCATCTGGGATTGTTGCATCACGACACGCCAGTCCACGGGCTCCCCTCGCTCTCGGCTCCTCCACACTTTTCTCATAAGTTCAGCGACCCGAGCACAGTTCCCCACTGTCTCCGTCTGCTGCTCCTGCAAGCGCCGCAGGAAGTATTCCCGGTATTGAAGAACATCCGTCAAGCAGCCACATATGCATATGCTGAACACCACGCTGCGCACAACATGGCGTGCTGTGCTGACGTCTTCAGCACGCCTCAGACAGTTGACTGTTTCTGCGATATTGCTCATGATCTCTGGGCATTGTGGATGGTCCCCAGAGATAACGGAGTGCAGATAAACAAGCGCGGACGCGCGGAATACGTCAGATGTGAGGCGCCGTCGGCGTAACTTCTCCGATTTAAAGCCCTGCATGTAGTCAGGGTCATTGGTCGTCTTCAGGATGGCTTCGATATTTTGCCCGCGTCTGACGAGTTCGGGAACGCTGAGTCTCCCAGCACGCCTGCATTCATCCTTCCAGCATGCGAGATCAGCGATTTCAGCGAGCGCGAGGACGATGCGGTTCTCGCATCCCATGACGCCCATCATGGAAAGCTCCGGTCTACCATCATCAACGGCAGTGGCGGGGTCATAGAGCGAACGGAGCACGTCAAGGAACTTGGGACGACGGATCAGCGTTGCAGAAGCAAGGACATCGAACCACATGGACGTCTTGATGATAAATCGCATGCTGTCAGTGCACATGCTCAGCGCCCAGTCCGGCGCATGGTGTTTCCGCTGGAGAAATTTGATCGAAAATTCGCAAGCGCTGTCGAGGAACGCCTGCCACTCCCCTTGTCCTCCAGAGAAGAGGAAATATGAGACCATGCAAAGACTTGCAAGAGCGTCTCCTTCCGTCACTGGTATCACTGGTGCACTTTGGATGCGTGCGTACACATCATGGTCTGTTGGCGCAGTAAAACCAATTGCACCTTGGGTGCTCTTGCGGTGCAAATCCGCAAGCAAACATGCAGCCTCTCGGGCTGAATCACTGGAATGTATCAGATTCCATATGAGTTTATCAATGGACCCGTCGGCATGCAAATATTGGATACGCAGAACATGTTGCATATAGTGTTGCAATGATGCGTTTTGTTGCATGTTCAGGTTAAACCAGTTGTATTGGATGGTGTTAATGGGCTGGGGCAAGAGATATCCAGAGGGTATGACGACGTTATTATCGTCTTCGTCCGGGAAGGATGCTTGGTACATTGCAGAGAAGTCGCTGGTGTGCGGTCGAGGCAGGATTGATTGCGTCCCTGCCAAAAGGAGGGCTTGAGTACTATGATACATACATATACTTAGTAACGATACGGGGTCTTACATGATGGATCTAAGCTAGTCGTATAAGTAGTGGAAGGATACGCAGGCAGCATAACCCCAGGATAATTTTCCCGAGCGTCCAATGGTGAATCAATGTCCTGCATCACGGGAAGTCCTACGACGATATGAGAAAACAAGCAAGGGTATTCCACGATAGGAGTCTTACGAGCATCAGTGTCCCCCCGTAGATAATCATTCCGGGCTATACCCGGGTGTCGCTCGTCGCTGGAGATCGACAATGTGGGTGTCTGCGGACTCGTGCTTGGAGAAGCATAGTCCGCCGAAAGTGATAGAATAGAAGGCTCCTGGTCATTGGGACGAGGCCCAGCACCAGAATGCCCTTTAATCATTCCTTGTGCGGCAAGAAAGTTTTTAATTTTTTCTCGTAGGTCGACAACTTTGTCGCTTGCCTTGAGGAAAAGAAAAAAAAACATCAAAATGATAAGAGAATGATTTAAATAAAATGACATACACGCAACCATTCTGGACGCTTTGCGCCAAAACCAAGACATTGTAGACGAAGACGAACGCATGTTTGGCAGCTGCCGTCGTTGTTGGGCTGCTCGTCGCATTTCTAGGAAGGGGGGGGGGGAGGGGGAGAATGAGCGCCTGATGACAAAGAAGCGACGATCGAAGATCGAAGGAGTGACGTGCAAAGACCTACCTTCCGACGGATTCTGCACGTGTAACAACCCGACTTGGCGCGCACAGCGCCTTTAGCCTTGGGCGCTCCGGTCCGTCTAGCCTGAGTAGGAGACTTTGGTGTGGGGGGCATGATGATTATGAAGATGAAGGTATAAGGGGAGAGTGTGGGGTAACAAAGATACAGGGAGAGAAATGATGTACAAAGAGATAGAAAGAAACAAGAGGAAGCGACACAGGACGCATTCTATGTACGAGAGTATAAGTAGCAGCATAACGTTCGACGAGAACGGGGAACGACAACACCTGTTCAAACGAATAAAATAACCAAAAAAGGGAAATAGTAAATCTATTAATATAAGTTCAACAGAAGGTAGTTTCGGGGTCTTTCCTTACCAAACATCCACCCCCATACCATGAGAACTTGGCAAGGGGCGCTTTTGCTTCCGCGCGTTAAACGGCACTCTTGCATCGCGGCCTTCCAAATCAAGGCGCTAGCTGATCATCATTCCATGATCAGTGTACGGCTTGTGTACGACAATGTACGCTTGTGTATCCACCCCTCAATTCGCTTCGAACCTTTCGACACTTTGTCACAAGTATGTACAGCATGTAGGGCTGCATGGTCATTTCGTTATTCCTCCAAGTACACAGCAGAACCAAGGGGCAGTGTAAACCCAACCATACCTACTCGGGAAAACATGTGCTGACCTGCCTCATGATCCCTCGCAACAATCGTAGTGATTTCCATCAGACAGCCGGAGAAGACTGAACCAGACCGACCCTCTCCGGTTCTCACTTTGAATACCGTCGGGAGACCCCATGGACAAACAATAACACTCAAAATGGATTCGCTTGTCAAATCCTCCGCGCTTGTCGCCCAATGATTATCAAACTAGCCTAGTATTGTATATTATATATGAAATGAAATCACAATCGAATCTGCCGAACAATCATACTGTCAGGGCCTATACGTCCAACACAAGCGAATAGAGGTTGTCTACCAACACCAGACTTGAGACATAGATATCACTACAAGAGGAATAGAACTGATGCCCGTGAGGCAATGAATGATGACAGTCGAGGTCAAATACACCCGGGGAAGCATGATTGGAAAAATAATGACGTGAGAGTGTTACTGAAGGACAACTGAGGTGACTTGGAAGAATGCCGTTATCTTGCGTTGTTTGTACTTTGTTCTAGTCCTCCGAAATGGGCGCTGCGGCAATGCCACTCGGTCCGCTTATACTCAAGTTCCTGACCTTGTGTCTCAACCCGCTACTCGATGCCGATCCTCCCCCAGCTGTGCCCTGATTGGCGTCTGTACCAGAAGCCGGTTGCTTCGAGGCGCTGCCGACATTTCCACTCGGGTCTCCTGGCACGACACCAGCGCCTGATCGGCGGGCTATAAGAGCACGAATGGCACTAAGCCATTTAATTTCTTCTTCCTCGCTTGGAGCACATAACAGTAGCGTCCTTTTCGTAGTGACTATCTTGAACGTAAAGTGGCCGTGTGAGTCATCGGGTACTGTTGATGATAATGGCGAAGTGGAAGGTGGAGGAATGGGTGCACTGTGCTTGTGACCCCGCATATCGAACTCCAGGGCATCGAGAATCTCAGAAAATGAAAACTGCCGATGGGGTTTTGTGTCCTGATAGCCACATTCAATTGGTCCCGTGTCAGCAAGAAATCGGACATGGCAAGTACAAGAATACCCATTACCATGTGACTTCCCGAGTAGACTAATTTTTCACCGTTCAACACGAACCACCGTTTGCGCCAATTATGTCGTTTCGAACCGCATTTCATCAAATAGCCAGATAAGACTATCTTTGCGGCTTCTTTTGGTATAGCTTGCATTCGCGTGGGTGAGGAAGAAATTGCAAGGCGATTCTGCGAGGACGTCGAGTAGGTTCGCTGTGCGCTTGGCGAGGCATCATCTGAGTCCGAGGAGGTTATATTTTGAGCGTGGGATACTTTCGGAGGCGAGGTCGAGACCATAATGCGACAAGGTGCTGATTGAGCCCCGGGTATCGGTATAGGGGGTGTCAGTAGCGATGTTTGGGTTGAAATGGTCAGGAGAGCCTCCCTCGCGTCCTGTATTGCCTGGACCCACCGCTGGACCTCCACTGGGCTTTCGGCCTGGAGATAGAACGTTCTAACAGTAGAGACAACGCCAAACGTATTGGAGTGTTTCTTGAGCGTGACTGGGGTGCAGGAATGTACATCGGAGAGATCCAGCAGGCGTAAAAGTTGGTATTCCGCGTTGGTCTTGTAATACGCGATATGTGCAGGTCGAAGAACGAACCATCGTTTTTTCCAAGTCTGTGATAATTGCTATCTACACCAAATAGGAAGAAGACGGTCTCCGATGTACTAACCTTGCGTCGCTCGCCTTTCTTCCATAGATAGCCCGACTTGATCATCTTCTCGTCGAAAGAACTTTGCGGGTTTTCAGCCTTGGTTGCGGTTCTCCAACCACCTTCCTCCTCCTCCTCTTCGTCTTCGTCAGACTCCTCACCGCTTCCTGATTTTCCCTCTGCAATGGAGGATAGTGGAGGCTGAGATGTGCCAGAGACCGCGTTAGAACCATATGACTGTGATGTTGGAGAGACAAGATCGGGTGACAAAGCCGAGTCTGAGTCAGACTCGGTACCAGAAACGTGTGGTTGTGACACTGGAAGGGCCTGCAGGGTTCAGATCGATCCGGATTATGTGACAAAATCAGGAGAATTGGGGTGCATGTACACGAACCTTCTTAGGTCTAGCTGTTGAGTGAACGGATAATTTTCTTTGTACTTCTTGTAGTGACGGCGGTGGAGCTGAACGTGAAGTACTACTAGTCGTCATGGGTGGGAGTGAGACGGCGTGTGGGATTTCGTGACGAATAGGTCACAACAAGGCTTTCGTGACACAAAGTCACAATGCTCGACGTGGCCTGGACTTGTGCCCGCAGTCGACCAATGAGACTTTTGTAAAGGAAAAAACGATTAACAGGTGAATGCAGTGAGTACTTGTTGCATAAATGTGCAGTATTTTATAGGCTAGACATGGCTTTGTTGAGGACTAGAGCGATTCAGATTTCACGTCTGCTACAATAGTAGCAAGTGCATTGGCCTCATTTTTTGTTCAAAGCGAGCTCTGAAACAATGCGATTTATTATATCGCGGTGGTCAGCTGATAAGATCTCGAAGAAATAAATGCAGCCGGTTCCAGATCTGGCAATTGTTGCTAGAGAGCTGCGTTTTGTCTTCACCTTTTGTTCCAGCATCTTCATCTCTGACCTTTGACGACGATGTCCTCTCAATTCGAAAAAGCTGTGGCGTACGTCCAAGGTTTGGACAAGACGGCATCGGGGCCGGATGCTACTGTCAAGTTGGAGGCGAGTGATGACTCCGTTGAAGATCGTAGATGAACCATACTGATCGATACGGATCATCCACAGTTTTATAAATTCTACAAGCAAGGTTCCTGTGCTTCCTCTGTAGAAGAAAGTAAAACTGACTTTTCCCGGCGATCAAAGCTACTGTTGGAGATGCAGATCCGAGCAAGGAACCCAGTGTGTTCTCTTTTGTCGAGCGTGCTAAATGGTGAGTGGAAACAACGCTGGATAAGTTGACCTGACCTGACCTGTCTCGCAGGAAGGCTTGGGACAGCATCAAGGGAATGTCGAAGAAGGATGCTGAGGAGAACTATGTGAAACAGCTTATCAAAGTTCGTGATACATTTTGCGCGGTGATATTGTGTCTGAAGATGGAATCAGTACCTCAAGGAGAAGCACGCTGATGAGCCCATCCTGAAAGAGTTGGAGGGATAAACTATGTGCTCGCTGTGGGACACGTGGATAGTAGCAGGATACTCGTGTATTGTAAGAAGCAATCGGACTGGAACTTGACCCGAACGTATAGGAGCATGATGATATCAACAAGCCATACCCAAATGAGATTGGAACGCCCAAGTCAGCAGCACGTTCTAAGCGAAGCGCTTTCTGATAGGTGCCTTGAGTGGCTACCACAGGCTACCACATGGGATCTCCGATTAAAGATGACATAAAATGATGATGAAGGGGTGTTCGAGGACCTGGGTGGTTTGCTGTGCGTCTGTTGTGGTAAGTTTCGGCGCCCGTTTTTCATACCTGCCACAGAAGTCAGAGAAGTAAAATGCAGAACCTTGCAATTCATTCAAGATATGATCGAACGGATATGACGAAAACCCGGATACCTATCTATCATCGCATCTTATTCATTTACTTTGGCAGATGGCCTAGATCAGTGGAGCCAAGTCACTCGTCCTCATAGTGCGGTACACAGTCACAACCGATTGCCGGCACACCGTTTGGCTGCGGAGATAAACTTACTGGAAGTACAGCCCAGGATTCAAACAAGGTTCAAACAGCATCGAATTAATGACCTTCGAATTCTTCGCAGGTAGTAGATGCGAACACACAACGTAGGTAAGCCTAACACAATTGAATAACTCTGCGATCATCGTTATGCCCTGGCGATCAAAGCTTCCCGAATTTTGAACTCGTAAAGTTCAACTCAGAAAATCATTTTTGGGGCTCAGCGAGACGCGCGGTACTACAGCGGTTGACACGTTGTCCTTCCACTGAGACTGCATTTGCCTTGGCGCAGTGCATTCATTTTTAGTAAGTACAGTTGCCACCATCTATCAAGGATTTCTTCAACAGAACTCTCACTGAACCGAGCAGCAACCAGTCAAAATCCTTAAGTAAACCCACAAATATAGTGTAGCGTTCTTGGGGCGCTTCCCTGGTAGCGGTCGTTCTCGAACCTATCAATCTGATTGCACCAAATGACAACCCAAAATTTGTGAATTTGTGCGTCCCTACACTCTAATCGCTTCAATTCAAGTCTTCGTTGATGTAAGCGGTTGGTTAAACAATTCAATTCATTCAAATGTTTTTCGTAGAATCCGATCAAGGAATCGTGCCCCTGATAGATGTCTCAATAATGCCTCAAGAGCCGGAACTACCCTGTGTGAAGTACTCTCCCGACGGCAGTGTGACCCTAGATCTAACTTCGCACTTTGGTCACCATGGGCCCACTTATACCCACACGGAGTCACAATCAAGCTCACACCAACAAATCAAAGCACTGATATTGATGTCACATATATATGTACATATGATCCAGATAAAATAACGGCACCATTGCTAATTGGTAACTGCGCTCCTGAACTATGCGGTCCCATAAGTGCCCGCCGGTCTCTACCTACCACTGTCCCCATCCGGCGCCGTTGAACTCTATGTAGGTGAGTAAGGTTGTGACTTGGCTTATCAACTTCCTCGGAACTTAAGCGCCCCTTTTAGGATGGGCAGCTAAAAAGCCATGCTTTCCCCTTATCTTTGGCGAATTCCATCTATAGGCTCTCAATCTGGCACAAACCCTGAACCTTCTGCCCCGGTCACCGGATTCTCTGAACCCCAGCCATGACATGCTAGCACTGACGAACACTAATTCAAATTTCGCCTCGTGTTCGTGGACTTACTATAACGGCCGTAGCACTTTGTCTTGTTGCTGTCGGGGCGCATGACAAGCACATTGACAGGTGCACTAAGCTTTACAGGGACAGGGGCACCCATAACAGGTTCATTCAGTATCCCGTCACTCTATCAGGGCGTGCTCGTCGTGATCCGTCACTGTCAGCGACAAAAACTACCATCGTGGCGGACGTGCCCTGCCCCACAATAAAACAATAACCGAGTTGACCGTCAAAATAGCGGTGAGGACGTGTTGTCTAATGATTGATTGTACGTTGGCATCGTTCAGCACAGGAACATGGGGTTCGATGGCTTACAGATGACAGGACGTGGGCAGATCCCCTCTATTAATTCTCTCATAGTTGCTAAGAAGCACTCGGATTCAGTATATCGTTCTGGAACGGTCCTTGTGGTCTCATGACACTGACCGCGTGCTAGAAGGTGGGGGCAGGCTCGTGTTCAACTACCGAGCTTCAAGTTGGCTGTTCAAAGTACTCGCGTACTCGTCGCCATCGGGTCTTACTATATGGACCGATCACAAATTACAAACACCGTAATCAATCATCTGACGTTTCCCTGCCATCATCTTTGATCGTGGCACGCCGAAATGATCTACCTGCCAAGGAGACAACGCGCAGTGTTGGACACTACCCCGATAGTTGAGGTCATAGTCTTATTTTTTCAAGTACGTTCCTAAAATGTGTTCAGGGTGCACAGCAACTCCCTTTTCTGGTCTGTATGATAAACATACAATCGCCACTTCTCCAACCACCGTGATACATTCCGGACCATAGTATATGCATTTGAAATAAAATAAAATACGCATTGGGCGACCGTGTGGAATAATTGCCGGTCAGATAGTATATCGTGTTACATCCACTCAAACAACCGCAGTAAAGACAGGAGGATAAGCAATATATTTCCTTCCAGAGATTAACAGAGGGGCAGAAGTTAGGCACACTGCTTGTCAGGGTTGGCAACATACAACGATGCTCGTGGAGCTAGACCATACTGAATGCTTGGACGGGTACGGGAAGGCACTTCTTCTCGCTTGCGAGTATTCCGCGGAGGTGCAGAACCTGCCGCCACCAGATTGTTCGTCATCTGCCGTTCGATTTCCTGAACCCTGGATGTCACAGCATGACCTGCGGCCCTGGTGAACCGAGAACCATGTGTAGTGGGTCCAGTCCTCGAAGGCTCTTTTGAGGAAGAAGAGGGACATGATGCCGGAGATATAGGTCGGGAAGAGGTAAGCCTGTTTTGATCGGATGATAAGCCACCCAATATTCCGTGCTCATTTGCACTAATAGAACCAATCGAAGCTGTTCGATGTGACGTAGATCCGTCCGAAGCAATTCGCTGTACGACATCATAGCTTCCACCTAGCCGCTCTGCAACCTCAGTATTCGCTGTCCGGCCACTATGGACAGATGGAGAGATCAGGCGAATATGTTTGATTGATTGCTCAGGTTCGGACTCAACAGAGTCCCGGGAAGCATTCGATTCGTTGATCGACATGAGTCGCGGAGCTGGGTTAGGGTCCCGTAAATCTAATGGCTTCTGACCGGTAGAATTTCGTCGATCAAGTAGAGATGTCTTCATAAATCGCCCCCACCAGCTGTCTGATCGACGAATGGGGGTCGAAGGAGGTGAATACGAGTCGAGGATGGATGAGTGGCGTCGTGAGGGTGCAATGGTAGGAGCAGAAGAGTGCAATGTGGAAGTCGTCACAGGACTATAAGGCGGCTGCGAGGAAAAGCTTGGTTGGGAGGCATAAGCGTTGCTGGAAGAGTTGTCGTTGGAGAATGAATTATCTTGTGACGGGCTGGAGAATGATGCTATGGTGTTGGTTGAGTCGGACGCGACCTCATGCAAAGGACTGAGGGTTGAAATGGGTGCGGAGAAAGGTAGATGGGTCCTCAGTGGGCGAAGGGGAGGCGAGTCTCGGCTCCCAGCATCAACATTAATGTTGTCATACTCGCCATCAGGCTTGAGTGCCCCATGGTCTGGCTGATACGAGTCGTACTTTCCACCATGTGGCACAGGATCTGAGAATGGATCTATGTACGACCCTGAGCTACCACCTCGGTCATGAGAGTGTCCACTGTTGGGTATCCCGTTGTACGAGTTATTTCCCTCATTCATCAGGCCCTCGTGATCACCTTCAATTTTTTCCCAATCATCCCAACCTCGGCCGCTATTGCCTGCACTGGACTCCCTGGAAATCATGCCGCGCACCATTGCGCCCATCGAGCGCATGGACCATGAGCTGGTTCCGCCACTGCCTTCCCTGCGTACCGCATCCAGAGAACTGCCCCACCCAAATTGTCGCGTATCTTCGTCGGCAAACATGTCACGGCGCGGGTGATGTGGCAGGGGGGAACAATGTCTGCTTAACCTAAAACGAGCGAGAGCTGCAGCCAGCGGGATGACGCGTGCACCTAGGAATCCGTAACTCGTTCGCTCGGAACCCATGGACAAGAAATCAGCGGGACCACCTTCGGTACTGTCGTACTCATGGTCACCACTAAGAATAAGGAACCTCCCACGTCCCCGCGAGCGTTTGATATACCAAACAGTTGCGAGTCCACCAGCAATGAGCCCAATGATGCCGAAGGTGGTACCTAGAGCGACAGCAGTTATGTTATTTTTACTAGAGTTGGAGCCAGCACTGGCAGTGCTCGTTGGATACACCGCTGAGGATGCACCTGTACTCCCACTTAACCCAGAGTGGCCAGTTTGAGAAGGTGCAGGGAGAGAAATGATGGCTGGGGTCGAGCCTGCAGGTGGCGGGCTGTAAGAGGAGACCATGGACGAGCTAGAAGGATTATATATTTCCATAGTGGCAGACGCAGGTGCAGAAGTTCCGTAGCCTTAGTTGGATCAGACAGGAACAAAGAGCTAACAGGGAGGGACTCACCAAAGGCAAAGAGCACTTGACCATTACACTGTACTGCTAGATGGTCCTTGCGAGCACCAAGTTGCTGAAGAGACTGCACTTCTTCCCAGACCATGAGATTTTGGGTGGTATTTAGTATCCATCCATCGCTATAGGTTGTCTGTAATTCGCCATCGCCTCCCCCATGAATAAGGATGTCTCCCGTGGCGAGGACAACAGCTGCGAAGTCGCGGCGTGGGTTTGGCATGGTGGAATTCGAGAGGGATATCGTATCCCATGCGAGGGTTGCCTGTGTCGTGTCAAGAGACCAGATGGTATTCAGGGGTATAAGCCCCCCGCATGATGCACAATATCCACCCAAGACAAGGAGTCGTCCGTCAGGGAGAATGAGCGATGCATGCCCATAAATGTCAGGCGGTGCATTACCACCAGATGGAAGCTCCACGAACTCTTGTAAAATAGGGTTGAAGAGGTAGTGATCAGAGAAAGCATTTCCGGATCCATCGGCCTTCTCACCGCCAACAATCCAGATCTTGCCGCCAGTTGACGATGCTGAATGACGGATCCTCCTCATTGGTTCGCCAGCCCAGTTCTGAGGCTCAATGAAAAATGACGGGGCCGTGCGGTCGTAAGCGGAAACAAGTGTGGCAGAATCATTGAGGGAAGTAAGAACTGTTTGTGAATTCGGTCCTGGTTGACCTCCAAAAAGCAGGAATGAAGTAGTGTTGAATGCTGAGAGGGTGTGCCATCCTAAAGTGGGAGAAGAGCTCGTGGTTGTTGTATTTGAGAGCAGCTGCCACGGCGGGGAAGTGGCGCTGAAGGATATGGAAAGATCAAGTAGCAATAGTTCTGATGTGGGCGGTGCAGATGTGTACGAGTATTGATCATACTGATCTGTCAGACCTCCGTGAACGTATAGAAGATTTTCCAATAAAGCCACCGCCTGTGCCCATCTATTGTACCGTCACTGATAAGTGCCCGTTAACAAACATAATTAACGTACCTAGGTAGTGGAGTATATTGACATAGGGCAAGCGGTATCAAGTAGGGCAGCACAACCGCGGCGCGCCAACCACTAGCCATGACACATATACAGGCTTGTACAAAGAATTGACAGAAAGGTTTGAGAAATGTATAAGTTAGTCGTAAGAGCGTGATATAAGTCGTTTTTCGTGAAATGTCGTCAATAGAGGAGAGTGCACAAGTGGAGAGCAGAATGTTCGGTCACATATAGCCATAACTTGAACCGCAGTGGGCCGAGGCCCACGTGAACATCGGACAAATTGTTTTTGAACATGAAGCCCAGTGAAAATCGACAAGAATGAGGTAGATACGCGTAGATAGATGTCTAACCACAAATTGAGGTAGATACAAATCTAAGAAATTCGAGACAGCAAAACTCTAATTTTGTGCAAAACACAAAGAATCTTTGCAAAGGAAAAAAATGCAAACATTGTCAGACTTCGATCGCGTAGTTTGCAACTGTGCAACGAACTTTCGGCAAACTTTGTACAAACTTTGCATATGCAGACGTTCAATGCAGCATGCATATGTGTGTATTTGTAACTTAGCCATGTATGTGTGTTATATTTATTACGAGTCAGTGCACTGGTTGAACCATGTGCATCTTCTCATCCGCTCACCATGTCAAAGTTTGTCCCCGCCACGACCGTCCGGCTTGATACAATCATTCCCTCGCGTTTCAAGTTACTACTAAGCCAGGCTGCCCGCAACTATATCTCTTGCAGACTACAACATGACAACCACAAGCCCACTGGCAGAGCGGCGAGCAGTTGATTTATTCACTGTGACTGCCGTTTCTAGTACCCCGGACGAACTTGCTGGAATCTCAACCTACATATCTGATCCTCCCGCTCCCACATAGAAAGTGATCCTCTTCCCGGCAGCGTGTGGGGCCCGCTTTAAATGGCCAACTAACACAATCATGGCACTCAACTGGACACTTATGCGACTTCCATGCAGCTTTTGGATGCTTAGTACATGTCTAAGACGGCTTCAGTATCGTCTCGTCACACTATCACGAAGGAGTTCCCAAGTACACTTGCTGTTGATGCTGCATTGTGTGCTCTTCGTAGTGGTGATGTCCGTCATGCTATTGAGATGTACAGCCATGGTGCTAATTCAAGATGTATCGTGCCATTCGAGCGCCGTGCTCCAGTTCATGATGAAGAGATTCATAGATCTCAGCTCCCGCCTCGATAATCCTCCAAAGCTTTGAGACCACTTCACAGCGGTATATCTCTTCATACACGCCATCTGTTACCGCGCTGATCAAGGCTCGTGCAAGTCATGACAAGTCCCTGTCGTTTCCCTTCGTTGCCATTGGCCAGGATTGCTCAGCTGGTGCCTCGTTCACGTTGGATGCTGTGGAGCCTGAGCTGGAATTGGTGCGAAGACGTTTGCCCCCTCCCCACTGTTTCCTTCTCCAAGATAACGAGCGTTGATGCCACCAAATCAAGAGCATTGCGAGACAATACTTGGCTCCATCTCGCGTGTCACAGGACACAAGAATTTGACGAACCCTTTAAGTCGGCCTTTCTCATGCGCGATGAGCCACTTTCGCTCAACTCGATGTCACACAGAGGCTCTGTCTTGGCAAGAATTTGCATTTCTTTCTGCCTGTGAAACCTGTCTACCAGTATCAAGGAGGTACGTGCCACGTCAGCGAAAACCTCCCGCGCTAATGCAGTACACTAGGAATACAAACGAAAGGCCACGGCGCAGGTGAGTGTCATCATGCTTACTGGTTCTACAGGCCACTGTACTAACTGGGTTCTTCTACTACTACAGATCAGCTCTTCTTTGATGCTCCAAGGCAAGGACAGTGGGAATGAGTGTGATGACTAGCGGCGGGACCCCGGTGTGTGCGTGCATGATAGCATTGGTGTCGGGATAGCAGGCAGGGCGGAGGCGGGCATGGGCGCAGCGATACCACTACCTAACCATAGCGATACCTATGGATACATCATTCAATGGCATTAGATACCTCCCAAATGGAACATTTTCAGCGCATATATGCATCTAAAAGTGATCTAAAGCCAATGAGAATCGTATCAAAGCGCTAAATGTTTGTTTCGATCTCTATCTTTTTTCGTCTCGAAAAGTCCCACTTTTCTAAGGAAGTCGAAACATAGCGAAAAAATCCATTCCCTTGTATTTTTTTCGATCTGTATCTACATGTATCTACCTCATTCTTGTCGATTTTCACTGGGCCTTAGGGACATCTGTGAACCTGTGAACAGATGAGAAAGTTATTTCAAGTAATATATTGTAGAGCATTGCAACAAGCTTCATATATCTGGTGACTGCTTTGACATGAGAATATTTAGCATTGTCAAGGAGAGACAAATTTACTAGGGTACTATGGTTGAAAAGTCAATCTTTTTCAACAGCTGTTTAAAATCTAAGAAGTAAAGTAGAACAGGTTCGCTAGCTCACGTGGCTTTCGCTTACATCAGGTAACTGACCCGAAAAAGATAAATTCTTAGAAAGCTTTATCTAGCATAAAATTCGTATAAAAACTATCAGAATGGTACTCCATATGAGAAACCTTTGGATACACGGACTTACTTAGATGAAATCCACCAAATGTGTAATTGTGACAGTCTTGTTGCAACTTATCACCAAGATGCTGGATAAGGCAACATTGTGACAGGAAGACGAAGATGTTGAGAGTGACCACAGTCACCTATTTGAAGATCACTGGCAATACATTATAATTCTGCCCCGCGCTGGCTGTGACATGCAACTGTGGACTGTCTTTACTTCGTTTGCAATCACTGAACAAATGTTAGCCTTGGGTAAATATCTATATGGCTGGACTGTGTTGGACCAATGCTGCCTACAGCCCAACATCAATGAGTTACGATAACAAAAGACAAGGTTAGTTTGTCATTTTGTGCATCGCATCTTCTGTCGATTTGTTGAAATCTTGTGACGCTAGCCTGCGATGTTCGAGCCTGCCAAGTGCACAGTTCAGGCTATGAGCGGCAGCAGATTGACATCCAGCCCAACCTCGATAACAAAAGACAAGGTTAGTTTTTCATTTTGTGCATCGCATCTTCTGTCTAATTGTTGGGGTCTTTCAAGGCGAGGCTTTTTTAGACTGGGTTTGCTTCAGTCCCATCGTGCAGAGGCATGACAGCGTGGCACACTGCGTCAGCTAATTGGTAAGGTATGTCCATCGCATGCAAGATTAGCCAGCCAAAAAATAATCTGCAAACTCTCCAAATGAACGATGTAGTCAAACAGAATATTCGAACACCCTACAATCGCAAACATGATGTTGGCCCAAGGTCTCACGATATCATCTTGCATGACGTGCCAATTGCAGAGAGGGTAGATGGATGCGGCACACTACTACAAACTATTGTGATGTTGTAAATTTTGTCCCGCATTCACCTCAACTTTGAAAACTTTGAGCTAGCGTGTTATTATATTGCATCATTCTATTATAGATGGATAGATATATTAAAATAATCATTAAAAGGCAACATTGCCATGTGTAGCTTGTTTGAGGGCAATGCGTCATTGTCAGATCTTGGATAAGGCACTATTAGCACTGATAGGTCTCTTGGCAGCAGAGGAGGCGGGAAAAACTTGGCTGCATGAGTGGCAATGTTGATAATCAGCCTTAGCAACATGGTGAAGGATGATAACAAATACCGGTTCCACCAAGTCAGTAACTCATCAACTTCCTTACATTCCTCCGGGTCTTCCAAGAGGTCGAGGAGGCTATGGTAAAATGTTTTGGAGTCAGTGGTTGTGTCGGTCCACGAGAACACGAAGGACGAGCTTAGAGTGAATCGCACCTTCGGCCTTGCGTCAGAACCATCCTATTGCAGAAGTGTGATTGCTCGATGAACCTGAGTTGCGATATAAGCCAGGGAAGCGATGGTGACTGAATTCATGCCATGGAGGTGGGCATTTCCAGATCGCGTAGCTTTTGGCTCTCTGTCAACCAAACTTGGAGACATGAAAACATGCTTGTAGGCCTAGTGTATTACCATGTAGTGAATGGATAATGCGAAAACATGAGTCACACTCACATATACTAGCAAGCGACTCCTAAGAAGACCGCACCATGGGTCTTCAGAGTCATAAACGTGGTTGGCATACACAAAAATGGGCCATTGGTCCCCACAGACCAGTGTTTCGCCACTTCGGAGGTTATCTTTAATCCTGTGGCAAAAAGACGTAACAATTATTCAGGACTGCACAGATACCAGAAACTGAAACATACCGAGGGTCATTCCAGTCTAACCCAGCAGGACAGAGGAGCGATCCGGTGAGTTCATGGTTGAAACTGCAGTCGATCTTGGAGTTTTGATGCAACGGAGGCTGTATGGCTTCCCCCCTGGGGGAGATCCAGTCAAGGACCGCAGACTTCAACGTCTTTGTGTCGTCGCCTCTGGCGCCGGCGGCTCCTTTGCCAATCTGTAGATCAATCATAAACATGAACTCTTGCTATGTAGAAACAGATGCACAAGCTCTCCAACATGAAAGATTTCCTCCTCAGAACCATCTTTTAGTCGCTCAAGGAGGCCTGGATAAGAATCTAACAGTTGTTCAAAAACACGATGTTCCCGCCACTCTCTGTGAAGCACGTCAGCTGAATAGCGAATACAGGGATGAGTATCACTTACTCAGCAGATAGATCCTCCAATGGAGTGTCTTCCAGCTGTTCTAGTCTTAAGATACCATTAGTGAGCAAGGAAGGATAATTGCAGAGCACGAAGACCGTTCAACCAAAGTGGCATCCATGGGAGACAAGCGGATCGGATGTGGAGCTGGGAGACGGGGTAAGACTATAGAACCTGTGGTCAGGGATGGCTTACGCTTTTTTTCGAGGCCCCATTTGGAGGGCTGAGGAGCCGCTGAAGGTTCAACGATACAGCAAGGCATGAACAATGCTCCTGACTGTATCTATAAATGTTGTAAGGTCACGCATTGCCTAGTCTGCTATACTTGAGACGACAAGTGCGTTCGACCCTAAAGGGGAAGCGAGTGCAGCAAGGATCTAGTAGTAGGCGCTGAAGGTGCTACTGGTTGGCGAGTGCGAAGCGCGGGAAAGCGCAGGTGCGCGCGAGGCGCGAGAATGCGTGAAGCGCGGGAATGCACGCACGTGTATGCGGAAACAAGAGAGGGTAAGAGTGAGTTTGCTTGAGTGATGATTAGACACTAGACAAGAGGTGAGAGATGCAAGCTGAGAGATGTTATATGCGAGGTGCCAAGGAATAGATTTCAACTATACTCCGCTAGGTAGTAAATGGGTATTGTTGTGGTTTGGTCCCCTGTCGTTCGTGTGGGTGAGTAAGTTAGTAATAGTATGTACTGCTGGCGCTTAAGTATGGCGCCTAAGCGCTGTCATGCGGAGCTGAAGCGCTACCGAGTAAGGTATGTAAGGATATATGTAAGTAAGGGTCCATGATAAAAATAAAGATGGAACAATATGCAAATGTGAGAAATGGAAATATACGCACTAGGGAACTTGGTGGACAGTGGATGGATGCTTCTGGATGGCTGGCGCTATAGGGCGCTCAAGCACGGGAAAGCGCGCGCGCATATACATCGTGAAGCACGGGAAAGGCACGCGCGCGAGTTGTGTGTTGCGCGGGAAAGTTGCGCCTCATGTAGGAATAGCTGTGGGAAGCATACAGAGTGATGCTACAAGTTTGTGCTGTATACTCCTTGGTGAAAACTGCAATATTGCACAAGGAGAGGCATGAGTCTCTACACCGCGTTTGCTTGGAATGCTGGAAGCAGCGTCTTCGGTAGTCATGAAAGCCGGGGCAGAATGAATGGTTGGGGAGGAAGGGTAGATTAGACTCTGAAAATACTGCAAGCCGCTTTTATCCCTGGTGCTGCGCTACGTAATATCCCATGGAAACTGGCCAATGCAGGGGTCATGATGAATGGCACCAAAGGGATGGCCAGAGGGAGTGATGGCTAATCGGTAGCCACGGTGAATGATGGCAGCAAGTGACTATGGGGTGTGGCCAAAACAGCGTCCACCATGAATGGCGGCCAAATGGTTGGCCAGGGCAAATCTGGCTCGCCTGTTAGTTGCGTATGGAATATGTCAACCTTGTACCAAGGTTCCAAGCTTGAAATTTGATGGCTAGAAGAATGACGCCACATCAGTATATAACTCCCTAAGCCTTGCCTCCCATGACCTTGCATCTTCTCATTGCAACTCGCCGATACAGCAAACACCCGTCTAACTCAACATGCTGCAACCCTGTCACAGTGGTCAGAATTTCAAAGTGCAAGGACATAGTATCAACTTAACCCTGCAGTAAGCCTGATACACGCACCTGGCGAAAGGACATGCTGATTCCTTTACCTAGAATCGAGTTAGTGGGCAACATCGACGAAAGTGGCGAAGAACTCGCCAGTGTAAGGTCAGTCGACGTCATCAACCATTCTCATAGCTCATTGTAGACTAGCGAGGCAACTCTTGATGGCAATGGCCCCTCAGCGCTGAATGATGAGGCTCCCCTTCTGCCAGTGAACGACGATGAAAAACACAAGGTGGACTCTATCACCAGTCTCAAAGAGTGACTGCAGCTGGCGGAGATGGAGTGCTCAAGGCTAGAAAGCCTGCACCAAAAGTACAGGCTGCGCTGGTTGGAGGAAAACTATCGGGCAAGATTGTTGAAAGAATATGCACCAGACGGAATCAGCACTTGGTCACCCCATCAGATCGCATGGAACGCTCCTTCTCCCGCTCAAAGTATGTCGGATTGGCACATCCTCTTCAAACAAACTGACTGTGCTGCTTAGCGGAATACGGTACCAAAGATGACTCGGGCAGAGAATGAACGCAGAGGGCGCATGGTAGCATGCAGGACAACACTGTAGTGGTATAGAGGACGTATCAGATCATCCGAATGATAAAGCTGGACTCGCACTGCCAGGTGATTGAACAAGATCCGGATTCCGGAAATACTACTTTTGGCATGCAGTATCAAGGCTGCCATGATATCACTACAAGTAGGAAAAGTACACCATTTGATAGTGTATTACATCAGCAATACACTAACTAGCAATGGTTGATATGAACATTCATAACAGCTAGAGCCCTCCTAGGAGGGCCAAAAGTGAATAATTTAAACAAGACGATCCGAACCCAGAAACACTATCAGCGAGAGCAAACTTCGGTGTCATTGTCGTCCGTGTCATCATCGTCTGTGTCATGTTCATCACAGTCGTCCGTGCCATCGTCGTCACAGTCGGTCATGCTGTCATCAATGTCCTCGTCATGGCAATTCAATTCCTCTGAGGACAAATGCGTTGAGATAGTTTGATCCCAGAATGTCCATAAACCTGCAACTGCATTAGCTGTAATGGAGAACCCAGTTGGTCTGTGCTCACTGAGGTCAGAGGAGCTGGATTCAGAAGTGTTTTGAATGGCCAGCGTATAGAGCTTATTTTCAGCATTGGCACGGTGCATCTTGGCCTGCAGAATGAGTAAATCTAACCCAAGATTGCATAGGTAGGCGTTGCTACGCCTAGCAGCAACAGACTTCCTCATCAGCTCCACCTGCATGCGCAGTTCCATTTGGAATGCATCGTAAAATGCTTCTTGTATTTCGACAGTGATCCATGTGCTCAACAGGGGCAACGAGGGGCTGATGCACTGTAAAAATATGGTTGGACATGGCCAAACAGAAAAAAGCAGTACTACCATCAAAATGACAGATGCTGACCTTCCCCGATGGGAAACAGGGGATAGACAGGAGCTGCCAAAACGTCCCGCAGCCGTGTTGGAATGTATGCCATTCCTCTTTGACCAAGTTTCACACATGTCTCGCATACCAATCGAGCAAGCCAAAGGTGCACAGGGTAAAGGTACACATGGTAAAACTGCAGCCACATGCCTCAAGGTTGCTGAGGGAGTCCTGATCTCATGTTTGGCTGGTGCTCTGATATGTGCTATTTAATGAGAATGTGAGGACCACGTCTCTGCATCTCAAAGTTTAAGAAGCTTACACATCCGAAGTTGCTCCAACATTCCAATAGCCTGCGAGTATAAAGACACCTCCATGTCGCACCGTTTCTTCCTCTCTTCCAAGAGAAATTGCTCCACAGCCACATGCCTTCCTCCGTAGTTACCATGACAGTTGACCTGGTGCCTGCCCAAGGTTTCCTCTTGCTTCGCCTCTATACAGTGCTCCCCGACTAGGTGCCAAAGATCCTCAGAACAAACTCGATCTTTGAGCAAGTGTGACAGAATATATAATTCAGTCTGGAGCTGTATGGAAAGAAAGGAAATCAGGATATACAAAAGACGTACAATTATCGACTAACCTTCTGATTTGCTGTGAGTCCTATGTAGGCATCTATGAATTTATAGCCTAATATGCTGGACAGTTGAGAAACGCTGGTGCAATCACTTGAATAATCAAATAGTTCCGGTGAAATACAAGTTGTCATGCATGTCATGGTTGGTAGTGCGAGAGTGGGTGCTTGAACCTGACTTGTTGATATGTGGCACAACTTGGAATGGCTATAAATCATCAAAGTCGAACACTACTGCTACAAATACACCTCAGTGGGGCTCACTGCCAAATTCTGGCCATCTAAAATTTTCTGGCTGCCAGCCTTCAAAAAAAGCCAAGCTGTAGCCTCAAATGGCTATGTTTAGAGGATAATACATGTTTTTTAATCCATTTTACCCATGCTCCTGTATACTAAGCTTCCTCGAAATGAGCCAAAGAATCGATTCTTGCCATGCAAATTCCGAAACGGTCCATCATTTTCCATCGATTACTTTTAATACTCTTAAGTGGGGTTCAAGATCCAACTCACAAGGAACTCCTAATCTCGCCAAGGTCTGAATTTCTGATCTGAGCTGCATCAGTAGTACGAAGATTCAATTTTAGTTTGGTTCAGCTTACTGCGGGGGGGGCTCCGACTGCCATGGGATTCGGAATATGCCGTGAGCATGTCTTTTAAATTAAAAGGGACTCAAAGCCTTGCTGTCGGGAACGTGTTAGCTTCGCTGATCTCGATCTTAATCATTCTCTCATACAACAACGCCCAACAAAATTTTATTCAGCCATCAAATCAGCTTGTTAATCATCTGGTGAGTCAACTTTGCAGCGTGTTCTTGCTTCGCTAACAATTCGGCTTCTGATAACAGTACCAGTCTCGATTCCTCCCCAAATTATGACCTCTGATCTTCGAATTTCACCCGTTCAAGATGTGAATAACACTCCTCACACCAATGATACAGTCATATCCTACACCGTGAGTTTTTTTCTATTCTCTGCAGCATGCCACAGCCATCATTGCAGGTCCACGACCTTGCACCACACTACCTCACACCTTTATAGTGTTACATCCAGTCAGAGCTTAATGTATGCACCATGGTCTTCACCACGGACTAGGCCATGTGCAAACAGTTTACCTGAACCATTTCTCCACCTTGATACCTTACAGCCCAGCACATCGGCTCTCTCTTCTCCCTACCCAACCTACAGACAGGCCACTCTGGACCCGTGGAGCATCCCTCGGTTTGGAAGCAATGGGGGAGGGTCTGACTTTGCTGCCCCTCGGAGTGCGACGACGATCAACGACGGGGCTGCATCGAGTTTGGTGGGGTTGGGGTTGCTGGGCGAGTGGTGGAAGATGCAAGAAACTGTGGATGTGACTATCCAAGGGCAGCAGGGGTTCATCCTGAATCGGTATACGGTGTATGAAATCACCACTGAAGTGAGAGCGCACTCATCTATCCTTTCCAATACACTGATATTATATGGACCTAGCATGGCACACCTGTTCACCGTCGGTATTCAGAATTTTCGTTTTTATGGGACTGCTTGGTGTGACAATACCCCTTCCGTCTGTTACCTGCCCTTCCGCCCAAGTGTGTGCAGCGTAAGCCCAGTGTTTTATAGTCTTTGGTTTGATTCTCATGTGGGTGGGAGCTGGTCCAGCAGTGGAAGCATTAACACTCCTCCAAAATGACACTCCCGTGCGCGTCGTCGAATCTATGGGATTTCCCTCTTCGACAGAGCACGCCCACGCTAGTCTTGCGCTCAGCGTCTTGGTCCCGTCTTCATGCAGTCCTATGATAGCTGGTGATGATAGCTGGTGATGGTGGGGAGCTTGATGATGATGTTATTCGGAGGAGGGTTATGAGGCACTTTGAGAAGTCTGATCGGCTCTCACTCATGTAGCCCTGAATTTGCTGGTATATGCTACTCCAATACATCTTATTACCTAGTGGATACCTGACAGGTACACTGCAGAGAAGGTGATGTCTACCAGACAGTAAATCTGACGAACTTGTATCGTGCTGGCGCACCAATATCAAATAAATATACAGTCCAGCACTGATCACGTGGTGTCTGAGGTTGAAGCACTGAGTATGGAGTCATTACTCCAAAGCTTCGAGCATCAATATTAATGTAAATATGTATGTTATTAACTTATATCGCTAAACGCGACACTTGGGCATGGCACCAACTGATTTCTATCGATAGCTGCGGTACTTCTGCACTCCTCCTGAACAGATATGGCGGTTCATTGCCGGCCTTGCTCCGACTCGCATGCATTTTTTGCAGCATCTAAACAGAACGTGGAACTCCCTCGCTGAAATCCCATTGCCATCAACAGAGTCAAGCCTGCTTAACAATTCGGCTTGCTCTCTGCGGTCCCACTCCAGTACAATAGGCAAGATCCATTGTTCTGTATCTATTTCATCTGTCAATGAACCTGTGGTGCTGCAGCAAAGCAAGTTCAAACCTCTTCGTGGGTATTGGAAGGTGCCCACAGATGGTAGTCAGAAGTACAGGTCGATTTTTACTGTGCTATGTGAGTATGGCGCTTCTTGGGCATGGATACACTGACCTCAGTATCTGCATGTATCTGATGCACATCTTACAGTCCACTTAATCTTAGCAATCTCATTCCGCCAAGAGTACACGGCCACCTCTATGTATGCCCCTCTCCCACCGCCATCAGCGCATATACAACACGGGTATTTAAAATCATGTCCGTTGCAGTACTTTTCTAGATGGGACGGTGGAATTTTCTTTCCATCACTATCGACAGGCCTGCTTTGTTTTTGTCACGCCTAGAATTCGCACAGAATTTAAGTCTCACCAACACCATTCAATCATGGACTTTGAGGCACTGTCATAATGCAGGAGGGCAAAACAGCAGGTGATAGCCTCGGCAATCAGTTTGCCCAACTTTTGAGAGGTTTCACTACAGTCAGGTGGCGCAGTAATGGTAGAGGAGGGTGATGATGGAGGTTCCATTGGGTAATTTGGTGCAGCAAGGTGGGTATTTCCTTTGCTCATATAGTATCCAGCCGCCACTAACTTTACCATGACCTACCCAGTCCTTCTTGGTGCTATCAAGTGCGCCAGCTTCCCACTTTAGCCTACGGCCAGAACCAGGCCTGTGGGAATTTTGGACTATGATGCTGATTCAGTAATCATGTTGGCTGTCGCTAGCGCCCCAAAGTTTGTTTATGACATGCTGCTGGAATCCCAATTCCTTTCATCCGACCTTTCACCATCGAGTTCAACACACCCTGGTCCTTCCAGCTCCTCATGAACCTCGCAGATCCATTGTCGAATTCAAGTCCTTTCCGGTGCACCTGCCTACATCAGTTTACACAGGAGAGTGCTTATACCAAGCATCAATGCTCATGCATGCAAGGCAAGAAGCGGCTGTTTTCTGCCTTAGCTAAGGCAAAAGACCTTCTAGGCACCGCAAAACGGTTTCGAGTGGATGGTAGTGGCCAATCGCATGCTTGCCTTAGCATGGCGTCTTGCAATGAGGGATCCGTTATGATTTCCAACATTGGTTCAATTTCGTCAGCAGTCCCACAGGAGCTTCCACCCGCAGGTTCTTCATCGCAAGAAAATGCATCCGCAACACCATCCAACACCAATTTCAGTGCCGCGCCTATGAAGATAGACGAAGACCAAGGTCTATCACTAGCGCAGCGGAGGAGCCGGTGTGTTGATGTTCCTATGTCACTACATTATAGGCAGTATGAGGACGTCCTCCCGCAACCTCCACTGACCATCCCCTCCGGCTACCCTGCGGATCCCAACCCACCAGAAACTCCCACTGATGCGTCCATCAGTGCTCGTCCATTGTTTCGAGCCCCTCCTTTCTGTACAGCTAAGAATGTCTTCGGACTAGTATGACAGTTTTTTTCATCTAACCCCCCTTCTCACGACCCAGAAGAAGTCGTGACACTTCAAGATATAAGCTCTGTTGCTCCAGCGAAGCCAGACTCCCGCACCGCACCGCACAACCTCGCATTTCACCCATACCCCAACCGATCCTCATTCGAGCTCGGTAACTGGTACTGGAATGGTACCATGCAGAAATCCCATCAGGACTTTAAGCAGCTGATCAATATCGTTGGGTGCTCAGATTTTGATCCTGACGATGTGCAAAGTACATCATGGGACAGGATTAACTCGAAATTAGGTTCGAGTGCTCATGACGAGGGGGGCGATGAATGGGAGGACGAGGATGCAGGTTGGTGCAAAACAAAAGTGACCATCCAAGTGCCCTTTTCTCGAACCACAGCCCAGCCGGATGCTCGACCTTACCTGGTGGTAGATCTTTACCATAGATCTATTGTTTCTATCATTCGAGAAAAGCTCTTGAATGCTCATGATGATGAACATTTCCACTATGAGCCCTATAAACTATGATGGAGCACTCCCCATCTTCCCTGTGAAGTGAATATCCAAGGTGAATTGTACACTTCGCCGGCCTTCATGGACACACACTGTGAGCTTCAGGAGTCCCCTAGAGAGCTAGGATGTGATTTATTCTGTGTGGTCATCACGCTCATGTTTTGGTCGGATGCCACGCACCTGACGACATTCGGTAATGTGAGGCTATGGCCGGTGTACATGTACTTCGGAAATGAATCGAAATACCGCCATTGCAAACCATCCTGTAATTTGAGTGACCATGTCGCCTACTTTCAAAAGGTGAAGCAACCCTTATGAATCCTCTTCATCAAGCTCATTAATGCCTTTGCAGCTTCCAGATTCATTCAAGGATTTTGCAGGGACCTACACCAACGGCAAGGGGGTTGGACGCGAATGTACGACACATTGCCAACGTGAATTATTTCAAGCCCAATGGAAGGTCTTGCTCGACGATGAGTTCTTAGAGGCTTACGAGCATGGGATTGTGATACTCTGCTGTGATAGTATCAAACACAGGTTTTACCCACGAATATTTACCTACTCTGCAGACTATCCTGAGAAGTAAGTTGCGGATGTTATTCATAGAACATCGAAGCTCACCAAAATTAGGGCTCTTATCGCAACAATCAATGTTGGTGCGGTCCAATGTCTTGAGGAGTCCACTGGTTGCCACCGCATGCAACTTCATCTACAAACAGAATTACGGTGTAGATAGTACCCGAGTTGAGTCGTTACTCAAGCCTGATTCGTGGGTACCATCTTCGGTAAGCATGAGCATGAGCATCTTCGCTGCCTCGACTTACCCTTGATTAGAATGTTTTATCCGACAGCCTTGGCGCGTTTGGATTCAATGTATTTGTCACACTTGTCGTTGACCTCTTGCACGAGTTTGAACTCGGGGTTTGGCACATGCTCTTACTTCACTTACTGAGAATCCTTTTCACTTTGGATAAGGACCTGATCCATGAGCTTGATAAAAGGTGCCTAATGCTTATTTGATGATGGTCCGGCATACCCATACTCACCTCTGACAGGTATAGGCAGGTCCCGCCATTTGGATCTGCGACTATTAGGCAGTTCTCTGCAAACACCTCTGATATGTCAAAACATGGCTGCGTGCAACTTCAAGGATCTTCTACAGGTATGCCCTCAGCATGATTCTCATAAGGCCTTGTGAGCTCACTTTATACAAGTGTTCTATCCCGGTCTTCGAAGGCCTTCTCCCCGAACCTCACAACCAAATTGTCATTGATCTCCTTTTCACCATGGTGCACTGGCACGGACTTGCTAAACTTCGGATGCACTCTGACCTCACTTTAGATGTTCTCGACCTGGAAACCACCAAACTTGGCGCACAGTTCTGTCAGTTCAAGGAGAAGGTGTGCAGTGCATACCGTACCCAGGAGCTCGACCGCGAAGTCGATGCGAGAATTTGCCGGCAGACAAAGGAAGCAGGTAAACGGGTGGAGAAAGGCGGGACAAATGGCAAGGAGGGTGGGGCTACGGCTCAACAGCCTAAGGCAGGAACCAGTGCTAAAGGGAAACAAAAGGCGAGCCCAGAGCAACCGCTAGATGCACCATTACCAAGGCAGCCCAGGAGGAAGAGGTCATTCAATCTGAATACCTACAAGTTGCATGCTCTAGGCGATTATGTGACCTCCATCCATCACTTCGGCACCACAGATTCATACAGTACAGAGCCTGTAAGTCTTTATTGTCTGCCCGTTCTGTAACTAAACTATTGTCAGGGGGAATTAGAGCATCATACACCAAAAAGAAGATAGTGTCGAACTGACCGATGAGATTTTGTTCACCAGCTGATGCAGATCAAGTGCTGTCAAACACGATTACGCCGTATCAACAAACGGCAGTGGAAACGGGCCCTGTGTGGAATATAACGAAGCTGCAAGCGATCCTCACCTGCACCATCATATCAGTCAAAGTGAGAAGGTTTACGATGAGTTAGGTCATTACCTCCGCAATAATGCGAGAGACCCTGCTATCAAGGTAGTCCATTTCTTTATACAATTTACATCATTCTGAGGTGCAATTAAGGACTTCCTGCCATGCTTGAAAACACATATCCTGGATCATCTTGATGCTGGGACCCCCGGATCTCCTGCGAAGGACCCCACTCATGCTGATAATCACCACAATTCAATTCTATTTAAACATAACCGAATTTACCACCACAATCTCACACAATTCAATTTTACATCATATGATGTGCGAAGATCTCAAGACGTCATCAACCCCAAAACTCCTCATTGCAATATCATGCTTCTCCAGCATGATCCCGATGATGACAACCTCGATGGCAATTACTGCTATGCTAAGGTTCTAGGTATTCATCATGTCAATGCTATCTGAACCAGGAACGTCTATGAATCCCATTGAGTTGAATTTCTCTTTGTTAGGTGGTACCAATTGATACAACACCATAACTGGGAAACACATACTCTGGGCCGCGTTCACTTCCTACCCCTATTGAATCCTGACGCATTTGGCTTTGTGGACCCAGGAGCTGTGCTTAGGGGATGTCACATTATACCTGCTTTCTCTCGAGGCAAGTGCAATCTGGGCGGTGGAATTTCTCCTCTTGCGGGAGATAAGCATGACTGGTATGAATACTATGTGAACAGGTGAATGATCCTATACATTTTGGCTATATTTACTGATACCACAACCATTACTAGTTTTGTTGATTGCGACTCCCTTATGCAATTTCACTATGGACTTGGTGTGGGACACGTGTATTCCCATAGAGTAGGGGTCTTAGCAAACCTTAGCTCAGATGTGCACTCTGCCATCCAGACTGGAGATGAGCATGTGGAAGGTGGACAAAGTGTCCTGGAAGTTGCCGCCTGGTGACATACAGGTGACAGCAAGGCTGACAAGGAGGATGAAGACCACGTTGGCGTCGAAGAACTCATCCCCTTTGAGCAGGGACATAATGGAAGCTCGGAGACGCTCATAGATGCGCTAGACGAAATGTACACTGGCTTTACTTTGGATTATGAGAATTAAATTACATACAACAGAACAGTCTACCCCAGTGCGGATGGGCGCAGAGTCATTTCCTACCTTAATCGTGGTGATCAATAGGTCCTGGCCATCACTTAATTCAATTTGCGTCCTGGCCGTCACTACTAGGTGTTGGCCATCGCTTAGTAGTGCTGGCATTGCTGACTTTTTGGCCATCACTCTTCAACCATCACTGATTCCTGGCCATTGCTGATTTCTGGCCATTGCTGACTGCTGGCCCACTAATCGCTAAAGCTGGCCAGTCCTCGCTAATGGCGGTATTTATTGAGCTACCGCAACTTTTCTTTTTGCTGTATAACTCAATCCTAGCCAGCGCAAGGTGGGTCCTTGCCATATGACTCAATCCATCATTTGTTAATGCCACCATCAGACAACAAGTCAATGATGGTTTGCGCCTACCTCTACGACCACGAATCTAAGAAGGTCTTCATCTTGGTTAAGCTGGATGTAAGTTACAGTTAGGCTGCATACAGTGGATGGTCCTGATTTGTTTCCTCTAGCATGAGGAGGTTTGCCATTCTCCATCAGATATCACCTCAGCTAAACTCGTGCTTTCAGCATCTCTTTTTGGGGTTCCACAGCCATCGGTTCGTCGACGTCAGATACATTGCTATGCATGGTCAAGTGTTGACCTTATATGTAAGACTTCATCTCTTACATCTGTCATCTCATGGTGTTGGTTTGTAGTGTGATGAATCTGTCGTGGAACAAAGTCCTTGGCTTCAGGTACTCCATGTTGTCGGGGTGCTGAACATCCCCGACAATTTCAATGTTGGCAACAATCACCCATTATTTGCAGTGACGGTGAGATTTTCGCATGTTTTGCCGTTCATTTCTAAAAAGAACCTAGCCTAGTGACTCTAATTTTCTTTGCGAGACCCCATACGGTAGGCCCAACATCCTAGAGAAAATGGGCCCGGTGTGGTTCATAAGTATTGCTCTTACTTCAATGTTATATCTCCCTAATTTCACTGTGCTTTGGCAGCTCTCCCAGCTCTTGCATGTGTTGATCCCTTTCAACCCGCCACTACCTCCAAAGGAATTCCCGCACTCCACCAATCTCGCCTTCAAAGACACACACAAGCTATTGTGCCATGCTGCTAACGAACCTGTGGCCTCAACATCTGGGCACTCCACGCACTTCACTCATTTCACTATTACTGATCAGCTGCCTCCCCCAGCCTCCTTGACTGCCACAGACGACGCATACCTATTGGATACCCTCCTGGGCCTTGCACCACACATCCCTTTTGACATTCAATCAACAACCATGATGCACCTTCTCAACGACAACAACATGGGCTGGCCGGCTCCCAATCCCTTCATCAGCGACCTTGGAGAACCCGGCCCTTGGGAGAAGCCGAGTGAGGTTGTCACTGACAAACCGGCCCCCATAGACGCAAACCTGGAGCTTCATCCGGACTTGCAATGGAGAGATTCAGATTATCTGTGGGGGAAGCTTGAGTCGGCTGACAAGAAAAAAATACTTTGTTTGTTGGGGAAAAAGCTGTGCTGCTGGTACCGTGTTATCAAGCTCACAAAAGCCCTGATCTTGGGTAGTCTGTGGGTCGGAATGCACAGGAACCCATTCAACATATCTGATGTGAACGAGCAGCGGATCATTACCTGCAGCTTCCTAACCACCCTCCAAATCGACGGGAAGACATACACAGATCTTATGGAACAGCCATGTAAGTGCCGTATGTTTTCATGTTTTGCTTCATTATCTTACAATTCAACTAGTGATCTTGAAGAAGGGTAAAAAAAGGACCCCTATTGGATGGCAGGTTATCCACACCCATGTGCGCTGTATCTCTTCATTGCCTTTGCTCCCTCCTAACACATTTGAGCAGTTGCTTTTGCTATTCAACAACAAAAAGTCTGAGCTGAGGAAAGTCGTCAAAGGTGTCCTATTGCCAATTACAGGCTTTTGTGCATGGGATGTGATAAAGGAAATGATAAAGCAATATCTTTTGGTGTTGAATTTTGGGCATGATGAAGCTGTAAGTAATAGATTGAACACTTGGAAATCTTCACCTCAAAACTTTTCATCGTTCAGGTACAAGAAGCTCTTGCCGAACTTGTGATTCATCAACTCTTCAGAGAAGTGATCTGGGTGGCGCTTCTTATCCCAGTCAATGGGTTGGCTGACGGGAAACACTCTGCGAGAATAGTGGATTTGTTTCCTGATGAGCTCTGCGCATCAGTTGGATGTGTGTCTCAAGATACCATTGGCAACTTGCTGACATTGGTGAGTCTTTTTCTTACTTAGACCATTCTCAAGCGGTGACACCGACTCAGATTTACCATACGATGCTCCTTATTTTAAGGCAAGGGCTGAACAAAGAAAGCATCACTTCATATAAGAGACATGAAGCCATGAACGAAGTTATTAATTCCGTGCTCTCCCCCATGTACGCAAACCCGAAAGAGTTTCCCAAGTTCACAGAGACGGTGATGAGTCTGCCTTTCATAATGTCAGCGCTCTTTGTCTACTGCTCAACATTACTCACCACGACCTGTATTCAGGCATGAACACGTGCTCAATATGAACCTCAAGAAGAAACGTCCTTGAATGCTTGGGAGAACAATGGAAAATGTCATTAAAATCATTGATGTTGTGGAACCTGATGATGCCCCAAGGCAGTTTGGTTTGCCAAACAACAAACTTGGCTTCTACTGCGGCAGGGCATTCTCAGATGTGTTTTGCAATCCTGCCAACTTTGAAGCGCTTCCATCTGCATGAGATATATTGTTCCAGTCCTTCCTTTTCAAATACCTCATGCATTGTCATTGCTATCAAGCTCTACACATACATACTACACTTGAGTTTTAATGTCGTGAGATGTACAGCCCATGGCTGCCTGCCCTAGTATTTGTCTTTGTCTGCGGCAGTCATAGCAACATGTACAAATTGAATGCACGCCACAACAACGTCAACCTGTCAGATTATCATCTTCTCTGAATATAAAGTTGGATCATACTGGAAGTATCCATACAGGGCCAGATGGCCAATCTTTGAGTGTGAATATTTTAAGGCAGAGCGAGTTGATCAGCATATGAAGGACTACCGATTGTGTTTCCAGGGCACACTTAAATTTCTCACAAGCACATTGAAATTTTTGGAAGATGCAAGTATTAATCTCTGTGGAATCAACTCGATCGAGCAACTTGAATAAAGTTCAAGTTGACATTGAACAAACCTGCTTGCACAAAATGACAAACTAACCTTGTCTTTTGTTATCGTAGCTCATTGAGGTTTGGCTGTAGGCAGCATTGGTCCAACACAGCCATATAGATATTTACCCAAGGCTAACATTTGTTCAGTGATTATGAACGAAGTAAAGACAGTCCACAGTTGCATGTCACAGCCAGCGCGGGGCAGAATTATAATGTATTGCCAGTGATCTTCACATAGGTGACTGTGGTCACTCTCAACATCTTCGTCTTCCTGTCACAACATTGCCTTATCCAGCATCTTTGTGTACTATTTGTTTGTCAACCTTGGGATGTGTGGGAAGATTGGTAATTCATCATCTTATCTTTGCACTGCCAGTGGCAGGGAGAGCGAAGACTGTTTCACCGTGATCTGTGGTTGGATGCATGTGAGTTCTCCATTGTGCCCTGAGATGAACTTAATGACTATGATGTGCTCTGAGTAGAGTTCTGCAGGATGTTGACATGCCAGGTTTGCATAGTAACTTCGCCTACTCCCTAGTTTGTGATCTCTTTTGTTAGTTTGTGATGGTTCACTGATTGATATTTTCGACTGCAAAATTCTGGCGGAACGCATAGACTTCTTTGCAAGGTTGCTTGGCTATAGACACATAGCATCTTAAACACACCCCATCAAGCTTGCAAAGGATTTTGCCTTGGAAGCATTCTCGTGCTGGGATAGCTTTCTGGCGATTTCTGCACCTTCGATACACAACTTGAAGCTTGGGATGGTTTCCTTCAAGATTTTACGCAGATTATGGTATTAAATAACAGTTGCCAATGGGACTTAGGCATTCATTAGAATGTTTCATAGTGGCTCTGATATTTTTGAACTTCGAGCTTACCCGCTCTATTTATTTTCTGCTGGCAAACTCGAATGCATTCTGTTTCGTGGACCCAGGGGTTGCTCTAGGGTATGTCATATCATTTTAGCTTTATTCGAGAGGCAGGATTTCTCCTTTAAAGTGGGATAGATATAATTTGTATAACTATGTCAACAGGTGAATGATCCTATACATGTTTGACTGCTGTGTTTACTAATATTACTAGTTTTGGTGATCGCATCTCCAGGCTTTCTCTCCAGGCCAGCTTGAATTGAGTGACTGGGTATAGTAAATCCAAAGACACCTCATGGCAGTGCATGCTCCTGTGATTGGGGCAGTGATCTTACCGTTATGCTGGCAGGCGAAGGCTGATGGGGCCTTGTGGGATGACTCTAGATGCTGACTAAGCTGGTCAAAGCTGGTAGGTTGCCCTGTACGTCTGACTACATTTGGAGTTGATCTAATAGAGCTTGAATTGGTAGCTTTTCAGATACCTTCATGCAGACTTGGCTATTTGTCATATGCGAGCTGTCAGCCTCATATGGTCCATAGACCCAATGTCACGGCTCCATTGATAATAGCCCAGAGTGTGTGTTCTCCTGAGTTGAGAAACGTGTACGAGGCACACGAGGCTTTTGGAATACTCTGGTGACTGTCAGGTAAGTAAATATGTGTCATGCCACTATCATGCTGACTGAACTTTCTCAGGGGATGACTCGCTTCCTGGAGTGCGCTTGAAGGTACTGTTGACAATAGTTTTGGAAACCTTGAAGCATGAGGATCCAAGCCTGCGACACATTGGAGAAACACAGATGCAATGCAATTTGAGGGCACATATCAGGTAATGCTACTTTCTGATCTATTGGCCAGGTAGAATGCTTATACGGATATAAAAGGTCTTGGAACCTGTCCTCCGTGATCTTTTGGACCCTTCTATCCATCGAATATTCAGAGTGAGCAGAGTGAATGGCAAAGAAATCAGGGGCTGGATAGACACAACCATCAGTGATGGTCTCACACAGTCCTATATCCCCATCTCATCGATTTTTACAGGGACATGGAATAGACGCACCCTTTATATTTGTGCAATTGATGAATATGGGACTGCCACAGAGACTGTCTCTCAAGGAGGGTATAACTTCCAGAGAGCTATGCGACAAGTACTACGCCTTGCACAAAGAGACATGAATGGTTTGACATCGGGTGCATATCCTCCACAAGTACAGTCGTTCTATACCAACCTTCCTTAGTTTCGATCTTTTTGGACACACATCAACCACCAAACATACTGAGTCATCGTGATGCAGCACTGGCTAGATTTTGTGCTGATGGCGGTCCCCCAGTTCTAACCTGCCCTTCAGAGCATTATTTCTTCTATTGCCAACTGTCTTTGCTGACAACTACACTTGCTGCTCTCAGATGCACAAAAGGCGAACGAATTCACAAGAGGACAACACTCCAGTTCAGAAAAAACCTGGAGCTGAGTTGGGGGTTATCTTGGGGTGTCTCGAATGTCTTGGAGCACCAAATCTGTGATACCCTACAGAAGTGTTGGAATCAGTCATTGAATACTGGTATCATGATGCATTGCTACGCTCCAAGGATTTTTACCAGCCTACAATATGTGTCTTCAGCCTGGTTGATGTCTTGATCACTAATGCTCAAAGTGCGGTGCACATGATCTCGAGTATATCAGTTCGTATTTCCAACACCTCAGAGCACAGTAGGAGACCTGCAAATGCAAATATGTGAGCATGATGATTTATTGACTTTGTTAATATTCAGCGTCTTGAATTAGTGCTACAGCATTCGATCAACCAGCCGACATTCTGCTTGGTTTCGTTATCGATCCTACTCCTTTCAATATCGTCAGACCCGCATTACTCGATTCTATCATCGACGTACCTACGTCTCTAACTCAGCATCGACGGACCCGCGCAGGGCCTGGTAGTCCCTTGGAATTTTGCCAACCCTTGTAATGCTCAAAACGTTACAAGGACCGTTTCTATTGACGTTAGAAACAGACTTTCGCGTTGGTAAGTTGGCTATGTACCTGCGATATTCCTCTTTGCACAGCACCTGATGATTCCATCACTCTGACACTGGTCTTATGACGACGTGCAACCCACCATTGTTCTGGCCTTTGACATAGCGGCTGTATCTCTGCTCATAGGTGAGTGAGCGATCAACGATTGCTTGTGTTACTCACTGAATTCTGAGGGCCCATACTGATTGATATGCTGAAGATGCAGGAGAGCGCCAAGTTACTACTCGTCCCTTTAGGGTAGCATGACATGTCACAAAGTCGGATTCATGTCTAAGTCTTTGCTATACGTGTTTTGCTCGTTCGTTATCATTAATTAATTCAATTACAGTCCTTAGCTAGTCACCCAAGTACCTAATCCATTTGGTCCCAAACCACATCCTCCTTCATCTAAACTACCACCTGATTTGAACCCAGAACAAGCCCAGCTTGATCCCTACTCCAGCCTTGCAGAGAACACGGATCTCACTCTTCAGGAGAAGATCACCGGTACACATTCCACTTCAAGAATACCTGGTTCATCGCCCTGACGACTCGTCAGACTTGCAGTGGGTGATCAACATGAGCTTCGTGTTCGCTTGGAGATCGTGCCAAATGTCGACGATCCACTGGTGTTCTTCTGCTTAGGTATTCAACACCAACTGAATTCTGATCCTATCTGTTAATAGTATTCCTTAGTTCCGCAGGTTCAGATACCTTCCTGCAGATGCCCCCAAACTCTGAGGTATCGTTAATCCAGTACCATGTGGTTGGTGGTATCCTAGACTTTTACTTCTTCCCTGGTCCCTCGGATGCAGAAGTAATCACCCAGTATGGTTCAGTCATCGGGTACCCTATGTGGCAACCTGCGTGGGGCTTTGGGTTCCACCTTTGCAGGTAGTGTTCTTTGCATTGCAATTGATATAGGATGGACTCATTTAAGTCATACAGATGGGGATACCACAATGTTAGCGATGACATAGAAAATGTCGCGCAGATGCATGCTGCGGGCATCCCCTTGGAAGGTCTGCCCCATTTTGGACACTCATTGCTTGTGATCCTCACTTCGCGCTAGTTCAATGGAATGATATTGATTTGTACCACACTTACCGCGACTTTACTACTGACCCAGTAAGTTTCTCTGGGGACGAACTTCGTGCGTTCATTCGAGAATTGGTGAGTATTTCTCCATGTAAATTCGCTCAGCTCTCACTCCAGTGAAAGGCCGCGAATAACCAACATTGTAAATGCGCCTGTACTCTTTCCCTCCTGATTTTGATCGAACTCGTCAACAGATATCCCCATTGTGGATGTAGGTATTGCTATCACATTAAACTCAACTGACGTCGTTTGTTGACATGCTACTATGCGCATGTTTCCTGACCGTATCGTAATTCAGTATGATCCTTTCACACGAGGCATTGAAGAGTCAATTATTTGCACCCAGTAATAGACTAAAGCGCTAAATGCATTGCAGAGATGTGTGGATCAAGAATCCAGATGGGTCCCTGTACCTTGGTCAAGTCTGACCTGGATACACCGTCAGTCACTCATGATTTGTACAACACTTCATACAACTAATCATTGAACATGCTTTATTAGGTCTCTTCCCTGGCCACGGTAGTGTAATATGGCGTGACTGGCACACACACGCTGCCGTGAATGCTACGTCTGGAGGAAACACAACACTAGATGCTCCCATCAGCCACATCAATGTCCACATCCGGGACAACTCCATTCTATTGGAGCCCCTTCAGTGACAAATTCCGTATTATACGGGCCACCCGACCTACATAATATCCCGTATCAGACGGGCCAGCGGACCATGGGCCCATGTTGTGTATATCCTTGATGACGACGGATGGGCCAGGTAACATATTATTTCCGATGGAGACGGGTGGGCCCATGTATGCCAATGATATATATATCCTTGATGTTGACGGATGGGCTGGGGGAATATGATCATTCATGGAGATGGGTGGGCCCATCTGGGTAATATGTAGAGTAGGATATTATAGACAGCTGGGCTGAAGAGAGATGTAAGGCAAATATTGTTATATAGATGGGTGGGCCAACAGGGGTGTATTACATATACGGGTGGGCCGGGGTAGGGGAATATTACACATATGGGTGGGCTGATGTGGGGCATATTACATATACAGGTGGGCTGACGTGGGGAGTATTACATATACGGGTGGGCCGAGGGTGCAATAAAATATTTATTACATAGACAGGTGGGCCAAGGTGGTGGAATATCACATATACGGGTAGGCCGACATAAGGGATATTAATTAGACAGGTGGGCCAACATAGGATGTATTACATAGACGGGTGGGCCGACATGGGGGATATTACATAGATGGGTGGGCTGACGTGGGGGAATTGTACATAGATGGGTACATATATGGGTGAGCCTAGATACGTTTCATCAAGACATACAGCTGATGTAGCCACCAGCGAATCAAACACGTAGGATACATGCACACTATGAGTGCATATACCTACCATCAACCACCAAAATCTAAACCCGTAAGCACAAAAACATGAATCGACCATGTGTGGCATTGACCAATAATTGAGTACTGAAGTGGGAAAACCCCACACCTGAACCCTGGTGTGCAATATATCCTATTTCTACACACAGACACCAGAAGCACAACACTCGCAAAAATATAAATGTCAAATTTTCACAGTGCTGAACCCCGAACCCTGAGATTTTACCAACTCCTGAACCCCGAAATTGTGGACTGCCGGGTCTCGGGGGTCGGCACTCGGGACTTGGGAAATTTGGGGAGATCAATAAAATTTGATCTACAATAAATTTGATTTACAAACAAATTGATTTACAAACTTTTGAAAGATATCTGTGTCGTCTCACATATTGAGTCCCGAGTTCTGGGACCCCTGAGACCTGAGACCCGGCAGTCCACAATTTCGGGGTTCGGGGGTTGGTAAAATGTTTATGGATATACAAAAGGTTGATTCAAACATGTTTGAAAGATGTCTTTCATCTCAAAAATCGAGTCCCGTGTTCCGGGTAAGACATCTTTCAAACATGTTTGAATCAACCTTTTGTATATCCATAGACATTTTACCAACCCCCGAACCCCGAAATTGTGGACTGCCGGGTCTCGGGTTTCGGGGGTCCTGGAACTCGGGACTCAATATGTGAGATGACACAGATCTTTCAAAAGTTTGTAAATCAATTTGTTTGTAAATCAAATTTATTGTAGATCAAATTTTATTGATCTCCCCAAATTTCCCAAGTCCCGAGTGCCGACCCCCGACCCCCAAGACCCGGCAGTCCACAATTTCGGGGTTCGGGGGTTGGTAAAATGTCTATGGATATACAAAACTCGGGACTTGACATTTGATATGAGACATCTTTCAAAAATGTTTAAATCAACCTTTCATATATCCATACACATTTTACCAACCCCCGAACCCTGAAATTGTGGACTGCCGGGTTTCGGGGTTCGGGGGTCTCGGAACTCGGAACTCAGTATGTAAGACAACAAAAATATCTTTCAGGGTTCGGGGGTTAGTGAAATGTTTATAGATATACGTAGGTTAATTCAAACATGTCTGAAAAATTTCATTCATCTCAAATGTCAAATCCTGAGTTCCGGGTTTCAGGACTTGGCACCCGGCACTCGGGGTTCGGCACTGAAAATTTGACATTCGGGTGTTCGGGTTTCGGGTGATATCTAAATCACAACAGCTTCGAGTTCTGCCAAAGCGTGAAACTTGAAACCCAGTGTGCAACATGTTGATTTTTCATTTATATCACACAAATAACCAAGTGCCCAGTGCCGAGACCCGAAGCCCGAGACCCAAAAATATGTACACAACATGTCCATTTTTCACTTACTGCACAAATCACCGAGTTTCGAGTGCCAAAGCATGAAACTTGAAACCCAGTGTGCAACATGTCCATTTTTTATGTACATTACACAATTCATTGAGTTCCGAGTGCCAAGGGCCAAGACCCGAAGCCCGAGACCCGAAAATATGTATGCAACATTTCCATTTTTCACTTGTTGCACAAATCACCGAGTTTCAAGTGCCGAAACTCGAAACCTGGTGTGCAACATGTTCATTGTTCATTTACATTACACAGATCATTGAGTGCCAAGGGCCGAATATTGAAACCCGAAGCCTGAAAACATGTATGCCACATGCCCATCTACTCATTGCACAAATCACCAAGTGTCGAGTGCCGAAACCCGAAACGCGGTACTTCAAATGGACATGAATTCTGTCTTTGTATGTATTATCCATTGGTGTAGGGTTGAAATAACTTGGGAATTGTATTTGTCAGTGCTCGGTAGTTGGTAGTTGGTAGTTGGTGGTTGGTGGTTGGTAGTCAATATAGGCAAATGATAATGAAAAATGAAAGTTGTTATTACGCTTGACTTCCTTACCGAAGGTTGTAGTCTGAGTCTAGGGGAGTGTATTGGTAGTCTTTTCTTGTCCATCAGTTATCATTTAACCGAGATATAAGCTAAAGAAATCTGAAACATCGGTGATAATGAAAAATGAAAGTTATTATTATGTTTAAGTTCCTGAACAAAAGTTGTAGGCCGAGCCAAGGTGAGTGTATTGGTAGTTTTTTCTTGTCAATTGGTTATCTCGTTACTCGGTACTTGGTACAAGGGAATCAGTACTCGGTATTTGGTTCTGATACTCGATACCTGAGAATCAGTAGTCGGGTACTCGGTACTCGGTTCTGATACTTGGTACCCGAGAATCAGTAGTCAGGTACTCGGTACTTGGTTCTAATTCTCAGTACCTGGGAATCAATAGTTGGGTACTCCAGCCAATAGTCCCGAGTCCCGAGTACTGATACTTGGTATTCGGTAGTCAGGTTTGGAACTTGGGTCTTGGTTTGGTTATCATTTGACTGAGATATTGGTAGGCAATATTGGCACTCGGAGCTCGAATACTGACTATCAACTATCAAGTGTTGGGACTTGGTAATCAGTAGTTGAGACTTGGTGCTTAAATGGATATTGCATATATACATAAAAATACAAAATATGTTCCTATGTGTTCATTTCTAGGTGAATAGACTTTGAAATTATATCTCAATCATCTATTCAACAATAGAAACAATGTATCAGGAGCTCAGGACCATAGGGTAATCCTTTATTGTATAGTGTACCTCCCCCTCTTCTGGTGGTTCACCTGCTGGGGTTTTTTCCCTGTAGGACTGGACCTCAAGGACTGTAGGGAGTCTATTCCTGAGCATATTCGGAGTAGATATATCATATAACCAGCCCAGGACACACAGGATCCTTCTCCAGGAACAAAGCATAGACAATTGCACTTTTGACTTTTTTCATGATTTTCAGTATCTTGCCCTTGCATCCATGATCCAACCTTTTGATATGTAATGAGCATAGCTTATATTCTTGCTTCTTATGACCAAGATCAGCTCACAATAGGCTGGAGTTTGTGAGCTAGTGTGTATACTTGCCATTTTGCCTGATAAGGGGCCCATGCCTTCAAAACATTGAATCTTCGTAATCAGAAACCTGGGGTACATTTCAAATATCTTAAGTATCATAGACATAAATTTACAGACAAATCAACCAAGAATTGAGTACTGAGGAAGTGAAATGGGTAAGAAATTGAGTGTGGGAAACTTCAAAGACCCAAAGCATCGAAAATGGTTAGTTGAGCAGTGGTAGGACTTTAATGCTGGGTCAACTCATATTTTCACTATATCCCTTCTACCCACCCCCTACCCTCAGGGCAGTAGGCAGTATGGGTTCCTTGGGTAGTTTACGATCTATCCTACATATTTGTAATGATATTTTCAGCCTGAATCATATATAAATGTGACTTTGTATAAAAGATGTCTATTGTCACTCTCCACACATATGTCATTTTGCCTATCATTACATCAATCCTTCATGAATCTTTCTAGGCTTTTAAGCTATTATAATGGATGTATATGGGTGTTATTCCAGGTCTCTCATCACATCACAGGCTTGTTATGTTGGATATCTCGACATAATGTGCAAGTCTCGCTATTAATATTCATTCTTTTATCTTTACACTCACTTACTGCACACATGTATTTCATTTGTCATTATTGATGTTTCGGATTTCTTTAGCTTATATCTCGGTCACATGGTAACCAATGGATGAGAAAAGACTACAAATAAACTCACCTAGACTCGGACTACAACCTTCATTAAGCTGACTACTGATTCCCGGGTACTGAGTATCAAAACCAAATACTGAGTACCAATTACCATGTACTGAGTACTGCATAATGAGTAACAAGATAACCAATTGACAAGAAAAGACTACCACTACACTCACCTGGACTTGGACTACAACCTTCGGTAAGGAAGTTAAGCATAATAACAACTTTCATTTTTTCATTATTGCTGATGTTTTGCTGAATGACAAGGAAAGACTACCAAGACACTCACCTTGACGTGGACTACAGCTGTCATTTTTCATTATCATTTGCCTATATTGACTACTGAGTCTCGAGTACCGACCACTGACCACCGATCACCGAGTACCAAGTACCGAGTACTGACAAATACAATTACCAAGTTATTTGAACCCTACACCAATGGATAATACATACAAATACAATTCGTGTCCATGTGAAGTACTGGGTTTCAGGTTTCGACACTCGACACTTGGTGATTTGTGCAACAAGTGAAAAATGGACATGTTGTGTACATGATTTTGGGTTTCGGGCTTCAGGTCTCGGCCCTCAGCACTCGGAACTTGATGATCCGTGTAATGTAAATGAAAAATGGACATGTTGCACACTGGGGATTGAGTTTCTGGTTTTGGCACTCGAAACTTGGTGATTTGTGCAGTGAGTGAAAAATGGACATGTTGTGCACATATTTTCAGGGTTCGGGGTTCGGCCCTCGGAACTCGGAACTTGATGACTTGTGTAATATAATTGAACAATGGACATGTTGCATACCCGGTTTTGAGTTTCAGGTTTCGGCACTTGAAACTCGGTGATTTGTGCAACAAGTGAAAAATGGAAATGTTGCATACATATTTTCGGGTCTCGGGCTTCGGGTCTCGGCCCCTGGCACTCGGAGCTCGATGATTTGTGTAATATAAATGAAAAATGGACATGTTGCATGCCGGGTTTCGAGTTTCAGGTTTTGGCACTCAAAACTCGGTGATTTGTGCAACAAGTGAAAAATGGACATGTTGCGCACATATTTTCGGGGTTCGAGGTTCGGGTCTCGGCCCTCGGCACTCAGAACTCGATGATCTGTGTAATGTAAATAAAAATGGACATGTTGCATGCCGGGTTTCGAGTTTCAGGTTTTGGCACTCAAAACTCGGTGATTTGTGCAATGAGTGAAAAATGGACATATTGTGCACATATTTTCGGGGTTCAGGGTTCGGCCCTCGGAACTCAGAACTCGATGACTTGTGTAATATAATTGAACAATGGACATGTTGCACACCTGGTTTTGAGTTTCAGGTTTCGGCACTTGAAACTCGGTGATTTGTGCAACAAGTGAAAAATGGAAATGTTGCATACATATTTTCGGGTCTCAGGCTTCGGGTTTTGGCACTTGGCACTTGGCACTTGGTTATTTGTGTGATATAAATGAAAAATCAACATGTTGCACACTGGGTTTCAAGTTTCATGCTTTGGCACTCGAAACTCGGTGATTTGTGCAGTGAGTGAAAAATGGACATGTTGTGCACATATTTTCGGGGTTCGGGGTTCGGATTTTGGCTCTCGGAACTCGGAACTCGATGACTTGTGTAATATAATTGAACAATGGACATGATGCACACTGGGTTTCGAGTTTCGGGTTTCAGCACTCGAAACTCAGTGATATGTGCAATGAGTAAGAAATGGACATGTTCCATACATATTTTCGGGTTTTGGGCTTCGGGTTTCAGCACTCAGCACTCGGAACTCGATGATCTGTGTAATGTAAATGAACAATCAACGTGTTGCACACTGGGTTTCGAGTTTTGGGTTTTGGCACTTGAAACTCGGTGATTTGTGCAGTGAGTGAAAAATGGACATGTTGAACAATGGGTTTCAGGGTCTCGGGTTTGAAAAATAGCATAATAACAACTTTCATGTTTTCATTATCATTTGCCTATATTGACTACCGAGTCCGATAAGGGACCCCTTGGATGATCCATTGCTCAATGAAATACTACCTGATTGGAAGTGTGCTGGTTATCAGATATTCATTTGTCAACTCCCGGGTCCCGGAACTCGGAAGTCGGTATGGTTGACCCAAATTTGGGTGGTTGGAACTTGGCATCTCATAGGGCAACACAAGCTTTGCACCCCGGATTCCAAATTTTGCAAGACAACCTGTGCACCATCAAAGGCCATGTCAGGAGATCACCTGCTGCTCTGGGAACTTGGTAACTTTGATTTATTACCTCCTCTGATTTGGTTGATGTACAACTACCTCAGCTCCATCATGTCTACAATTATGATACACATGGGCCCACCCATCTATATTTTATACCACCCTCGGCCCACCTGTCTAATACAACATCCCATACAACACCCTCAGCCCACCCGTCTAATTAATATGTGTCTGGGCCCACCCGTCTAATACAATATTTTATAATACCCTCGGCCCACCCATCTAATTTAATATGTGTCTGGGCCCACCCGTGAATGTGATAACAAGTACCTACCCATCTATCTCATACACATCTACCTTAATACACCCATCTGCATAATATCCAACTACCTCGGCCCACCCGTCTACCTAATATTCATGTACATCGGCCCACTCATCTACTCTATATATTCCCTGCATGGGCCCACCCGCCTCCATCGGGAATAATTTGCCTCCCGGCCCATCCGTCATAGTTGAGGATATTTTTATCATGGGCCCATGGTCCGCTGGCCCGTATCATACAGGATATTATGCATGTCCATTCCCTTGTATTATACGGAGATAGGTCACTGTAATATGTGTCTATTGCTCCACCAAGAGCACGGGTACACCATTTACGAGACTCGCAAAGGTCCCTATTTGCTGCTCGTATCTCTCAATGCAAACGATTCATCGAAGGAATACTTAGGTAAGCGATGAGCTCTAATGCAATGCAGGTGGGGTTCTCGATGGCTCGACGTCATACTGTATCTTATGGTAAATTGTCGCAGGCACAGCTAAAGAGATGCTCGTCGAGGCACGACAAAGATCCATTTCAGTACAACTTCATGCGACCCATGACGTCCTTGCCTTGAGAGTGTCCGGAGCATCAGACCATCTCACACTTTGTCCGTTGACAGACTGACCCATCATGTCCGCAGACTACAACAACTTAAACCCAAAAAATTTGTACAGCTCCCGACAGCTAACCAGATCGTCCTTTACTATTGGGATAGAGTCGTGCAAGCCACCAATGGTCCACCAGAGCTAATTCAGGGTTTCTGAGTTTAATTCTGCCCTGATGCTGGCTTTGCTCATCATACTACATAGACGCTCCAACGGCGGTTTTCCCGGTGCGTTTTCTCCTCCAGGCCATGGTCCTGTTCAAGGAAAATCTCTCGAGATGGATGCCGTTTCGCAAAGGTGGCTTAAAAACTGAGACTAGTATTGACTGTCTTTGGGAGTTGTGGCCCTATGCTGATGAGAGTCGCCCAGCTCTTTCACAAGAGTTTGTCGAGGATGCCGTCCGGCTTCTCGTGACACGTTTCATCCCCTTGAACCTGGCAGATCTCGAGGGTTGGATGTCTGATCCAGAAGAGTGGGTCAATCTAGAAGACAAAGAAGACGATCAATGGGAGTATGAATTGTGAGTGCGTTTCACACATAGATCCAGCTTGTCACGAGACTTGTCTTTTCAGCCATGTGGTGAATGCATCTTGATGACCCTTTCATCCCAATACAAGGTTTATGTCACACCACTACTTGAGACAACCTTCAAGCAGATAATTAGTCAATATACTGTTCACGTGTGCTTCTATACTGACGAGCCCATTTCCAGCGCAACCAACGGTTGATTTGGCAATGCTCACCAATACTCGCTCATGAAAGGATCGACATCACCCAACAACAATGTCACCGTCGGAATGAAGAGAAGACGCATTTCATAGAGGACCCATACATGACGACCAAACAAATCGCAATGACAAACTCCGAAAGAACAGATGCAAACCATCAACTAACTCCCTCACCTCTACTCAGAATCGCTCCACCTCTCGAGATCATTGTTGGCGGGTGTTGTGTTGTTACCGTGGAAATCGAGAGGTATGTCCTATGCAAGTCAATTTAAACTGACTCCGGGATAATAGTGATAATAGAATGCCCACCATCAATTCGATCTCATGCTCTTCAACCCAAACACCTTCAACAACAACCACCCGCACCATCGCCCGCACCTCAACATTATTCCGATGTTCTTCACCTCTTGCACGGGTCTCTGTATGACTTCCACTCTCTTCTTGGCGACCGCCATTCTCTCCACCCTCCTCTCTGGCGCCCTTCTCCCTGTGTCAATCTGCATCCAGATCATAGTAGCACTTACCATCAACTTGGGCGTCAACACGCATAATCGGATTGCTCGATGAATCACTCACCATATTCTTTGATTCCAATGCATAAGGTGAGTATTCTGATTATTACTTGACATTTCATTGCTGATATCTTCGAGGTAGAAATTGATGGTGTTGATTACCTTTTTCAGTGCAGGTAAGCACTCCAGATCATTACATAAGCTTCACTGAGTGCGATCAAGATTATGTCGAGTCGTTCCATGGCAAATTCTCATCGCCAGTGTATGGTGGATTTTTGGTTACAGTTCGATTTGCCGCTATGCCGGAAGACTTTTCAATGTCCGATCGTTGTTTGTTTCAAGTATTGTACTTTATTTTATTTTATTCAATGTATACCTAGTTTGATTCTACCACTGGTTTGACTGCATATTCGACGAAGCCTGCATTCATATCGGATCCCAGCAAGGACGACCTGATGTTCGCAGGTAGTATAATAAAGGCGATGCAAATTCCTTTACAGTCAAGAAGAGTTGCAAGTGGTGCCACATTGTAAGCCTCAGTGCAATGGGTCTCTTGTGCTCCGTTATAAACTTGTACTACCGTTAATGCAGAAACATCTTCTCGTGCCAGAGCACCATTTTTTTGGAAGTGCTGGAGCCCAGTAATGACACGTCTTTCTAATGCCCGACCTACAAGGCAAAAAGGTTCGGTTCATAAGTGCAATGAGAGTTTAAACTGGAATTGAGTTGAACTAATGAGTTCCTACTGATATCATTTGCACCACAGCTCCAGATGCAATCATAAGACCACTAGTAGAGCGATATGTTGCTAGCGGGTACGGCAATCCAGAGATTATATCACATCTTCTAACACAAGAAGACCAGTAATTTCAAGATATTGTAGGTCATCTACTTAAACACCTTCAAGTGGCATCTGATACTCAAATGGATTAGACTTAGCCTCCTGAAAAAGTGCCGCTCACAACGGGGACTCAAGTCTACCCGTGGTCAAGCACACAATCAAGAGCATCGGACCTGCAATTGGACATGTTTGCCAATGATTCCCCAAACAAGGTTCTCATGACATGAAGCAAACACTGCTGCAGGAGGAGCAGCTTATGGTTCCGAGGTTGTATATATCATTTTCTTTCAATGAGTTTACAATCATCACACAATTTCAGAACCAGTACATGAACGTTCATTGCGCCATCATCGTTCCAATGTCAGGAGACCCCCATCATGTTCCTTTACCGACCATCGCTCTTGCAGATATGAAGATTCTCAAGGATTGCTTCACCAGGACAATACGAGATTCATCTCGGATGAACCAAGGGGAGTCAAGGACGGATCTCATAGTGCTCTTGCAGATAATATGGGACCAGATCATACTACCCATTGTCAATGTACTCGAGCATGTCCTCAAACTAAAGTGTTCCTCTCGAATCTGGTTGTGTCCGACTGCAGCTTTCATGTCCATTCCTCTCCATGCAGCTCACCCATTTCAAACAAAGCCGGATTATTCTGGGAAGGAGCTATGCCTGGAAGGTCTCTACATTTGGTCTTACATGCTGACACTTTCGGCTCTGATCAGATCTAGACAGTTGATGAAGAAGCGCGTGCCTTTGTCCTTTGTGGCGATCAGACAGGGTCAACCAGGTGCAGGGAAAGACAAGGTGCTCTTGGCTGTCGACAGCGAGCTCGTGTTACGACTAGGATAAGTCTTCTCAACACTGGTCCAAATGGACCGTCGCACAAAGCATGTCAAGGTCTTCTTACAGGTCGACGGAACGTCGAGAGGTCTCTCCATCTATCTCGGTAAGGGCAGCGCCTCGTCGAGATGAAGGTCTAGCGAGAATATGGCTAAGGTGCGGGAGTGACTTAGAAGTGCAGCGAGGTGTTCAAGGAAGTGAGTTGATTAGACAAGCTAAAGACCAAGTTCTGGGGATCTACCTAGTAGATTAAAGTAAAGAACTAATACAATAATATATCAGCTTATATACTGTCTGTACATAAGAGTTCAAGCTCAGTCTGTATCTATGGATCTATGGTATCATGATAAGAGAACATGAGGTCAACCATGAGGGTCAGATAGGATACATGAGGCTTATCCTCTGATCAAGCATGAGGCGCCAAGAGGCACTCCAGATCTTCATGAGGTGGCAACAATCAACATGTGCCGATCTAGGGTGACCATGAGGCGTACAGCCTCAGAGGATCAGGTACAAGGCCTTCTAGGCCAGGGGCGGTGTCACGGCGGTCTGGACCGCTGTCTTTCTAAGTGCTGGTGGCATGCAGCCGCATTGGGAGTCTGGCAGAGCGGGGGCTCCTGTAGATGTTGCAGTAGATTGTAACAGCTCAAGCTTGCTCATAAGCTCGTCCCTTCTGGTCACAAAGCCGCATGAGCAGGTGCACCAGGTATGTTCAACACACGGCAAGTGCATCCCTTTGTTTAAACCCTTTGAATATATTTCTGTTCATCCCCTGACCTATACTGACTTTTACTCGATATTGAAAGGAGATCTGCTATTGGATAGCGGTTGAGCATCACTATCTGCCCTTATTGCTGGCAAAGTCCCCCAAGGGACTTTAGAACTCACACTATGACGAGCCACACTCAATGTTCACACACGGTCAACTGTGCGCTGTCCAGGGTGCGCAATTGTCAGGACATTTGAACATCATTCTCACGCACAAGCAAAGAAAGGCGGATGGGGAACATAGTTATTCGTCATTACTGCTGTACATGCTTGGAGAAATAGTTTGTGGTTGTATTTGGTTGGTAGCTATTAGGATTTAGGGCTCTGCACACCACTTACTGGGTAGGAGTCTGTGAAAAATGATAGCTATAGATGATGTTGATTACCGACAGTGCATGGCTTCGATGTCGAGCCCAATACATTATAACTCATGGACATTGTGTGTCGAAGTGCTACTGTATGGCTACATCTTCCAACACTGCCACCAAAAAGTGAACACAAGACAATTGGAGATAAGTAAAGGTGAAAAATGGTAGCCCCAAGCCAGAACATCACCTAGGAGACCTGTAGTGACAGGAGAATCCCAAGGGACAATCAATATTGAGCCCGTATCACAACTCATGGACCTTGAATATCTAGGTGCTATCACATAGTCAAGAATTAACATGGTTGATCCTTATCTACCTTGTTTGGTTACATTGATCACATCTAACAAACATCTAACTAGAAAAACCTAGGCCTCGGTGATTTCCTGATGAATTTACAAGACATTACCCTGGACGTGTCACAACTGCCAGCAATGACTATTTTGTATCAATATTACAAAAATATTATGTAGCTTTGCAAACAACCATCGCAAGGTGAACCCAATGCAGCAGGTGACCGTTTTTGTGGAGTGATGCTGGAATCCCTTCAATAGTTTATCTACAAAGTATCATATTTGCGAGATATACATGACTTCATCAATATTAGAGGTTTCTTGCAATCGCTTGTCATTCAGCATCATTATGCTGGTGTTTAGATAATACTATGTATTTGGATATAATATGTCGATAGTTGATTTCATTTTGCCAGAAATATCTATTAAAATCACCTCATGGCCGATTTCCTGATGTATGCATGCTTAGCTCGCTTAACCTCTTTTTGGAAATCTCACATGGTTTCATCATGTGTTTTCGAGCACCGACACAAACAGCATCGCCTGTTGGGAACTTAGCATGATGTTGGTAACTGTATGTGTACATGACATTAAATAATGAAAAATGATGTGTTTGAGCAGGGCAAGGCAGATATGTGATTAGATTTGAGTGTTTTCCCTACTGTGATTGTTATGGTAGTATTTTTTGTATACATACAGCAAATAATGGAACAACATATAATACAATTACAGACAGGGGGAAATCAAATATGAGATAAAAGAGACTGGGAGATGGATGGCAGAAGATTATGAAAAAATAACAAAAGGGAGAAAAAGACCACTTAGAGACTCAAAAACTGGAGAATGGGAAACTGGGAGAACTGGGAGACGGGAGACGGGAGACGGGAGACGGGAGACGGGAGACGGGAGACGGGAGACGGGAGACGGGAGACGGGAGACGGGAGACGGGAGACGGGAGACGGGAGACGGGAGACGGGAGACGGGAGACGGGAGATGGGAGACGGGAGACGGGAGACGGGAGATGGGAGACGGGAGACGGGAGACGGGAGACGGGAGACGGGAGACGGGAGGCAGGGAAAAATAGGAAAATAAATACAATCCATGATACTGTTACATATTTTGTGATTTTATGTAGTGTAGCAGATTGTATTTTTACTTTTGTCCAAATCTTGCTCAAAGAATGTAGAACTGACTGATCTTATGTACTATGAACTTTTACTTGGTGTAGTAGATTGTACTTTTAGTTTTTTGAAATGCTGCTCATAAAGTATTTTCAAAATCCACTATTGAGGCATGATCTTATTCAAAATACACAATTTATTAGGATGCAGCCTGAGGCCAGGAAAGCCAAAGGAGGGCGCAGCCCTCCTTGGCTTCCTGTGACGAAGGAACAATGCTCATCAGGAGCCTTCAGAATTATTGGGATGAAGCTGAGGCCAGGAAGCTAAAAAAAGAGTGCGAAGCACTTTTTTTCGCTTTCTGTGCCGAAGGCAGAACAGGTGTGGACTAGTTCCCGCTATGGCAGTAGTGGGTTTTGTTGTGTCATCATCGAAAAACCTCATCTTTCAATTTTTGGCAGAGAAATCAATTTCGGTATATATTCATGGCATTTTATTCGCACATTTCTGATATTCCGGTCTGTTTGTGGTGTTTGGTTCGCACAGTTATGAAGTGCTGCTTGTTGTCTGCACATATCGATAAATTTCGTTCTTATAATCTTCGACGCTCTATGTCTCCTTACAAAGTCCTCGGATCTTTATTCCTGCTGTTATTCATATCAATGATGCAAATCTTGATTTGACCATGTTGTTGTCCTTCTTGCATGATTGCAATGTCCCTCGAACTGTCATCAATCATCATGGGAGAGCTATAGAGTCCACTCTTGGCCCAGTTTGCGTGCCTACTGTCGATGGTTGGTACAACTCATGGCAGATCTTTCGTCCTGCCTATCTGAGTGGATGTGATGTCGAACTTGGTTGTGATTGGCTATCATTTGTGAATGTGAAGTTTGATGGATCTCGGTTTGCAAGGCCTTTGGAAACGGACGTCAGTCGACTTTCTGGTTGTCATACTTGGAATGGTATGTGTATTGCTTTGAATTGTTTTTGTATATCTGATTTTTTCTTTGTGGAATCATTCCTCTCCGCCGTCTGTTGTTACGGACAGTGAAAAAAATACAGCTACCCAAGTGGGATCTTGTTCAGCCACCCAATGTTACGACTAGGATAAGTCTTCTCAACACTGGTCCGAATGGACCGTCGCACGAAGCGTGTTGAGGGTATCTTACAGGTCGACGAATGTTGACAGGTCTCTCCGTCGATGTCAGTAAGGTTGGCTGACCTCGTTGAGATGAAGGGCTAGCGAGAATACAGCTAAGGTGCGGGGAGTGACTTAGAAGTGCAGTCAAGGTGTTCAAGGAAGCAAGTTGATTAGACAAGCTAAAGACCTAGTTCTGGGGATCTACCTAGTAGATTAAAGTCAAGAACTAATACAATAATCTGTCTACTTATATATGTCTGTATACAAGGGTTCAAGCTCAGTCTGTATCTATGGATCTATGTGAGTCATGGTGAGTCAGAGATAACACTACATGAGGTCAACCATGAGGCATGATAGGATACATGAGGCTTAACCTCTGATCAAGGGTGAGGTGCCAAGAGGCGCTCCAGATCTACATGAGGTGGCATGAGGCAACATGCGCCGATCTAGGGTGACCATGAGGCATACAGCCACAGAGGATCAGGTACAAGGCCTTCTAGGCCAGGGGTGGTGTCACAGCGGTCCAGACCACTGTCTTTCTAGGTGTTGGCGGCATACCGCCACGTCGGGAGTCTGGCAGAGTGGGGGCTCTTGTAGATGTTGCAGTAGACTGTAACACCCAAGCGGGTTCTTCTTTGTCATGTTTGTCTGTACATCCGCAAAATGAACATGCTTTGGATAATTTTTTTGGTGGTTATGAAAGTTCATCGAGATCTGCTCTGAGTGAATTGGCAGTTGCCCATGGTCTTCAGGTAACCGCTGACTTGTCTGTGGAAGATTTGCGACAGGCCATATCCCAACATGTTGGCATGGGACTCTGTGGATCTCGTTAATTGCAAACTTTCAAAGGTTGTGAATCTGTGTGTCAAAGCTTCGATACATCTTGTGGTGATGAAGAGGCCGTGCTTTCTATGAAGATAGCCTTCTTGACAACTATATTGACAACTACAAAACAACGACCTTTAGAATGGCTGTTAAGAGCAAATGGTGTCAGTTTCGAACTCGGTTCGAAAACGGGACAGCTTCATCGTACATTAAAGAAGATATCAAATCACTGCAAAAAGCTAAGTCGAAATCTTCTGATCAAAATCAGACCCAAGCTCATGAAAATCATTGTCATCAGCTTTCTCACGAATGGCCTCAGCTTCCGTCTTCGCAATTGAAGTGTCGTTTGGTGCAGATGTTCAAAGATGAGACCTCTTCAGAAAGATTGGCCACATTTACCTGCGCATCCTGTGCTGAAAGTGTTCCATGTTCTGAACAGACAACAATATCTGTAGTGAATCTTACAAATTCCTCTCTTTTGCACAGACCTGATTGACAAGAAGATCAGCACATGTCGAACAATTATTTCGATGAAGACTGTCCTCTCCCTCCATTACCATTTGCATGTTCTGACGGTCCTCTTCATGATTTGATGCTTGATCCTTCTGGGGTAAGACAATGTGGTGAAGACGATTTTGAACTATCTTTGTGCAATGTCTGTGATAAGAAGCTCAAGAAAGGCAAACATCCGACACTCAGTCTTGCGAACCGCACATTTCTGGGAGAAGTACCTGCCGAATTGAAGGATCTGACCATTGTTGAGGAGGCGATGATTGCTCGTTGTCGTGCAAAGTGTTGGATCATTCAGTTGAAGGAGGAAAATCAGGATCTGCAACTTTCTACTAATCAATGTGGAATCAAAGGCCACATAATTGTCTATCCTCAGCACCCAGAAGGGATCGCAAACATCTTACCTCTGTCAGTGGACGACATCATTATGCTGATTTGCATCATTTTTGTGGGCTCATGTCCTCCAACTCGTGCATGGCTTGAAGAGAAGGCCAAACCTTTGATAGCTCGGAGAGAAAAAGTTCATGCTGCATTAGTTTGGCTGAAGGAACACAATCATCTGTATAAAGATATCACCATTGATTTCGATGTTTTGAATTCTATGGAAGATAAAATGTTGATGCCCTTTCACATTGATCATGTTCTTCCGAATGATGCATGTGATTTCTTGACATTGAAGTATGATGCAACCAAGTCAGTGCAGTCAGAAGATTCGTCCAATGTGGATAATAATTCCTTGCCATTTAATGAACAATTGCATGCTGCTGAGCTGGAGGCTACTTTTGAGAATGTTGTAGTCACTGATGTTGACGGAAATGCATCTGCAAACGAATTGCGTGCAGCAGCAGTCCATCATATCAAGAACAAAGGAGGTGGATATGTCCAGGTCCCTCACAATCCTCAACCTGTCAATGAATTCTTCAATCTGAACCTCTTTCCAATGATTTATCCTACTTTGTTTCCATATGGATTGGGAGGATTTGAAGACCATCTACGTCCTGAACCTTTGTTGATAAAGAGACATGTCAAACACCTTTTTAACCTCGCAGATTGTCGTTTTCAGGAACATTACTCATTTCTATTCATGGCATTCAACATTTTACAGCGACAGAAGATTTTGTTACACACATCTTTGAAAGTCAATCGGGACTCCTTTCCGACTGTAGCTACCAATCTCACTGCTAAATGGGCTGTTCACTGTGTGACAGAGTGCGTAGCCTGAGGTGACACTGTTTCTGCAAACAATGAAGATGAACAATGTGTGCTACATTTGATGAAAGAAGTGAAAATGATAACCTTGCAAGTCCCAGGGTCGGCACATGCAAGAGCAAATATGCGAAATGAAATCTGTGGCCTGATGTGTGAATGAGGGTGACTGAGTTTTTATGTTACTATTAATCCTGCTGATGTATACAATCCGCTTGTTAAGTTTCTTGCTGGTGCTGAAATAGATGTTAACGATCTTCTGCCAGAGGAAGTGCCAAAATTCTATGATCAATCTATCCTTGTAGCTCAAAATCCAGCCATTGCAGCCAAAATTTTTAATATCTACATTAAAGCTTTCATTAAATGTCTTCTGCAATTTGAAGGCAAGGGTACAGACCTTCATGAGGGCATACTCGGCACTGTTAGTGCATATTATGGATGTGTTGAAGCTCAAGGAAGGGGGACTTTACACTGTCATATGTTGATATGGCTGGAAGGTGGCCTCAATCCCAATGAGAGGCCCACCAGAACCAAAAGAATGTTGGTTTGATCTAGACGAAAAAAATATACATCTGATAAGCCTGACTGATCCGATCACTGGTGAGATTACCTTCAAGTGTTTAGATGGTCTAGTGAATCATTTTAACACAAGCATATTGGAAGCCATGAGATGTAATATGGATATAAAATTCATCAGATCAGGACCAGCTGCAAAAGCGATACTGTATTATATAACTGACTACATCACAAAGTCTCAGTTAAAAACTCATGTTGCATTAGCTGCAATGGAAACAGCAATACACAAGTTAGAAATATATGATTCAAACCATGATGATTGCACATTGCAAGCAAAAAAGATGCTGCAAAAATGTGCTCACTCAATGATCTCTCACCAGGAATTATCGGCTCAGCAAGTCTGTTCATATCTCATGGACTTTGAGGACCAGTTTACAAGTCACAAGTACCATGGATTGTATTGGACCAATTTTGAATCCTTCATTGAAGAATGCAATCCAAGTTCCGAGTGTCATCAGTCATCAACAGATGATGAATCTGCACCAAAAATCAGTCACAGTCATAATAATGATACTGAAAGAACTCTTGATGAACCCGATGAGGAATTTGAGCATAGACCAGTCAAAGGAACTTTGGATGATGATGGAGTTTACATTGAACGGCTTCAAAACGATGAAATCAGAATTGGCAGTGACAATTTCGGGAATCTGGTGCCCAAAGCCACACAAGTTATGGACTACTTGCATCAAGATGAGAAGTTCAGCAACATATGCATATGGGATTTTATTGCCCAAGTAGACAAAGTGAAAAGGAGCAAAAAAAAATAAGAAAACAGAATCAGAGAACATGGACGATGATGAAACATGCTATGATGATGACATTGAAGATGATGAGGATGAGCTTACCAATGATACCATGCTAGAAGATGATACTGATAACCTAGAAAACTTAAATGAGATGGACATAGATGAAAAATCATTAGCAGAGGATCCACTTCCATCTCCTTCAGCAGAAGATATTCTTCATTCTTCAGCCAAAATACAGCCTTCTGGAGAATTACAGACAGGACATTATGAATTGTGTACACATTCTCTATGTGTGAGACAACAAAAAATCGATCTGTGCCCGTCCCAATGGGTCTTAGGATGCCTTGCAGAGACCAGGAGTACATCTATCCCAAGTACTGTTGTTTGATGCTCATCCTCTTCAAACCATGGAGGTTGGTATTTGATCTCAAACAAACAACACAGTCATGGACTGAAAGCTTCGAAACATTTAGACGCACATGTAACAAGAAGATTATTGCCATCTTGAATAACATGCAGATATTGCATGAATGCAAGGACAGCTGGGATGACCATTTTGCGAACCGCCGGCTTTGACACAAACTTGCAGGAATCTTGACCAAAATATCTAGTTACAGTCATGATAACAATGAGGATGACATATTCACAGATAATACTGATGAAGATATACTCACTCATCTAGAATTGATGGACTCTTGTCATTCTATGCGACAGTCTACGATTAATGACGACCTGATCAGTTGCCTTCAACGTATGGAATCATGTAAGTTTTTTGACAATCTGTTGTGTGTCTTGAGTGCTACAGAACCTTCTAATACAGACCATGATGTCAGTAAAACTAATAATAAACTTTCCGAACAAATGATTGAAAATGTCAAGCAAGAGAATGAATGGCCAGACTGCTATGAAAGATGGCAGACAAAATGGAAGCAAAATCAAACTGCAAATGATTCCTCAGAGTCACACTTACCTGCCAATCATGACATACAATCCACAACAATTGAGACAATGCAAAGAGGCCGTTAGAAACACACAAGACCCTCATGCCAAATATTCAACAACAGTCCCATGCTGTTGATGAATTCTGTGATGTAAATAGTGACTGTGTTACCCAAGAATGGTCATTAAACGATGAATAAGCTAGGGCCTTTAAAACAATAGCAGAGCACAGTCGAACAAACAACCCCGAACCTTTGAGGATGTTTATTGGAGGTCCTGCTGGTACCAGGAAGTCGAGGGTCATTAATGCTCTGAAGGACTTTTTCATCAAATGAAATCAAGCACGATGATTCAGACTTGCCTCATACATGGGAGTAGCTGCACGAAACATCTCGGACATGACTCTACATGCATCACTGTTGTTAAACCAAAGACATACATCAGCCGCAAATACCAAAATAAAACAAGATCTCACTGTGATGTGGGAAGGGATTGACTACCTGTTCATAAATGAAGTGTCAATGATAAGCTGCGATTTTCTCACAAAAATTCACAATGCGCTAGTGGATGCTAAAGGAAACACAGCACCATTTGGAGGAATGAACATTATCTTCACAGGAGATTTTGCTCAGCTATCACCTGTGAATGGCAAACAATTATATGCCCACCTCAACCTCAGGCGCTGTGCAACAACACAAGGACAAAAGAGTATATTTGGCAGGCTCCTCTGGCTATCAACATACACTGTGGTATTATTAATGAAAATAATGTGTCAGTCAGGTTCAGAGAACGAACGATTTGTCGACTGTCTCACACGCCTGCGTCAAGGAAAATGTACTTTAGATGATTATCAACTCCTGCAAACAAGAGTCATTACCACCAATGCAGGACATACAGATGACTGTGAATGGAAAGATGCACCAATCATTATCTGTGACAATGAGAGCAAAGATGAACTAAACATTAGAATGATGACAGCATTTGCACAAAGAACAGGATGCACTCTTCACTGGTACCATTGCATGGACAAGCATCGAGGCAAGTGACTGCATGATGACGATCTGATCAACAAACTACAGCATTTGGATTCAGGAAAAATGAACATGCGACTAGGCAAAATCCCATTAGTCATCGGCATGCTGGTCCTTGTATTCCAAAACTTTGACGTCAATGGCAGAATCGTCAACAGTAGCACAGGAATATTGAGAGGAGTGAGATACTCGCTCAATAATGAGAAACAATGTGTTCTGAGATCCTGTATTGTAGAAATCAGTCAATCATCTGATGAGGCACTCCCAAATAGTGCTGTCCAATTATGATTATAATACTTTGAGAGTCGTAATATAATATAATCATAATATTACGGACCAGCAAGCGAGAGTATCTAATGATATAGATATAGATATTGTAATGAAATGTAATGGTAATGTAATGATATCTAATAGTATCTAATGGATGCTCACACCGTCGAGGAAATTGACATCGTTCATGAAATTGTGTTTCAACCATTCCTTCACAATGATAGTGATTGACACGGATTCAGCGCTGAGAGACGAGCGGCTATTGGAGAGTGTGTGTTTGCTGCTTGAAAACAAATGTTCGATGGAGACGCTAACAGCAGGGATCGCGAGAATGTCACAAGCAATGTGGGACAGCACAGGAAACATTGTCTTGTGTTGCTAAGTAGAATACAATATGAGTCAGTTATTGGAGAATAAACAGCAATTAAAACAAACGAACCTTCCACCAGAGTAAAGGATTATCCTCCTGTTCCGTCGTGCATGGATAAAGGCCACTGAGGTAAATGTCGACCTTTTTCTGAGATGCGCTAGGGCCAGTCTTCTGCATGTGCATCTTGACTGCTGACTTGAAAGCAGAACATTTGACGGGTGAGACAGGATCCATGGTACTAGTAGTGGGAGTGATGGAGGAGTTGTCTGCACTGTCCTCAGAGTATACCTGGTACATACGATCAAGAAGAACTCACATGCGAGCTGCAAGATTGGTGTGTGACCACAAGGTCTCATCATCGAAATATGAGACTCGCATTCTTGGATGTAGAACTAGACACATCAATATGAATATAATATACTTCTGACACCGTAAAAACACACTCACCAGCACCTAACAAAGGGTAATCAGATACCAGAGCTTTCTCCATGTGAATCCGAAGTTTGTTGAGGCCAGCTGTGAGTGCATCTTCGAGTCCATGAATGTCATTTTCCTCTGAGGCTTGACGGCAATAAGTGTCCATGTGTAACTCCAGCTGTTTGTACAATGGAAGAGTGTAGCATATGGTAGGGACATGTTTGCAGGAGAGGTCGAGTGTTGAAGTGTAAAAAAGCTGCGCATCATTAGCACTGCAAGTTATACACAAGTAAAACAATTAAAAATGCACAACAAGAATCGAAGAAAGATGCTTGAGAAATTCCCAGTCGCTGACACTCAATGCCAATTTCTTCTTCTTGCAGATTGCAGCACGCTTCTTTACCCCAGTGAGACATGCATCGAGTTGATCAACCCATTGGTTGATTGCCTGTATGTTTAATGTAAGGTGCATCAAGTTAGCGGATGGTAAAACTAGTACATACTGGCTTGAGCTTCATAGCTCGGTCAATTTCTGCGAGTGTTGTATTCCACCGAATGGGTATGCTGCGAATGGGAACAAGACCCTTGTAACGTGCATCACATAGTTGACGGATAAGTCGGCGCATCCATTTCCAACAAATCTCTGAAGCAAGAATATCAACTACAATTGCATGAAGCTGAAAGCAGCATCAGAATTGACTTAGTATGCAAAATACAACAACTCGCCTTCTCGACTGCAGTGAGATGTTGACTTTTCTTTGCTTTTCTCGCACTCTTCCCCATAGGCACAGCATTTTCATCATCACTAGAAACATATGCATCTGATTCGGCATTCAAGGGATCATCCTCATCATTGTTCTTTGCTGCCTCTTTTCGCATCTCTTCCATTTCTTGCTGGACTTCGGGGTCATCTTCAGGTGAGTATGTAATCAGGAACTGTCGAGCACTCTCATAGAGATCTTCCTCCTCAGGGTCTGGAGCACAGTGAAGACCATGCAATATTGCCCTCCCAGTATTATACTTCGTCAGTACTAGGAAGAGGTGAATTTCAGGCTACGTACTGCACCACAAGATTGATAACATGAGCTGTGCAGCCAATTTGCATATTCGCACGATGCAAGTGGGTACCTTCATCAGCAATCCACTTCGTGAGCCTTGTTCATAGTTGTGTTACTTGCTGTGTTATCTGTAGCATGTGCGACTATCAAGAGATGAGTGATAAAGTCTTGGTGAGCTGATCATGAACTCACTGATCTTGCTTGTCAATTTCCAATGCTTCAGCACCTTGAAAAGTAGCTTTCCAGACACTTTCCCTGAATGATCTCCGTCAAGTGGAATAAGCTCCAGGGGAGTTTGCATGAGCTCCCACTCATCATTGATCCAGGAGACCACAGAACCGAGAAAAGCATAGACTGAGTTTTTGCTGGTCTAGATATCACTCAAGAAGGCAAGCTGGGACATGTTTGACTACAAAATTTGTTTGTTTACACCAGTTTCAATCTGAGCACGATAATTCTCACCTGAAGAGTGGTGTTGACTTTTTTGTTCATACCTTCATAGAGCCGATCAATGTCACGACGAACCGTCTGACGTGAAGGTAATGAATAACCTGTTGGCAGAATCAGTGTGAATGTTCGTTTCATGCCTCGTTTCTCAACCAGTGAGTATGGAAGGTCATCTTCAACAATACCCTTCACCAGGGTTTCATGCCAGGTCTTTCTTGTAAGCTGCTTGGCTGGATGCTCGATTCCTCGCTGCACAAAATCTTGCATAATCTGCCTTTGAGGACCAGGACCTGGAGTTTCCACAGAGACTTGCACTCCATTTGATTTCTGGGCACACCACGAGTTGAAGGAATGTTCTCGTGGCAACCTAGAACATTTTGGCAAGTGCGAGATGAAATTACTTGAAGGGGGTGCCTTGATAGTTTCAGCATCATAAGATGTGCATTGTGGTGTGCAAGGTGATGTCCGAAATGTGCTGGGTAGGATATATGAGTTTCTAGCAACATGCTCGCAGTGAGATACTTACTCGCACCAGTTACACTTCCATTTCCACACGGGATCTCCTTTTTTATTGGTAGCAAGTGATGGAACAAACTGTAGCATTGCCCATTGTCCTTTCAAAGGATTCTGTCCAGCATGTACCTCAACCTCTTCGACATCAATCTCACTTTCAGACTTCTCACTTCGAGCCTTGGCGATGGAGTTAGCACAGAAAACCATGATTTTCATAGGAGTGAAGTCACCCAAGTCTTTTGCTTCTTCTTCTTAGGCATACCACTCTTGCCGTTTGCTGGAATTGCCTCAATGTCACTTATACTACCGTTGTCGGAAACAGGGTCTTTGTGTGGTGGAACATAATCATGATCATCCAGGTCGCTCTCGGCATCTTTGAATTATGTCAGTGAAATACACATATATGACTTGAACAGGACCTTCACCTTTAGCTAATGTTCGTTTAATGCGGAGGAAAAGCCCACTAGCAGCCTTTTTTGAAGTCCCTGTAGGAGCACTGACATGTAATATCAAGTAACATTAGAATTCCTCATGACACAAAGTCTACAGAAAATTACATACACATCATGAAGCAATTTGATAAGCACTTCAATGCGTTCATTCATCAAGTTGAGTCCATCATGCTGCTCAATTTTCGGTAATGCAGCAAAGTGAGCAGCAAAATTATGTGCAAGGATGATACCATGCTTTCCTCGCACAACCAGTTTCTGCTGTTCTTCCTCGGAGCATTGAAAGACCCGTTCCCAGGCACGATTGAATGAGTAAAATGGACCTTCATCTTCATCAACGCTGAGATCATGTAAGTGATGACTGATTGGACCATCTTCGGCTGCTTCTGGCAATGAGCCGGGGAGTCCAGTTATAGCAGACTGAAGATCGGCAAGTGATTGGGCCAGCTGTTTTTGCTCCTCACTCAATTGAGCCATTGAGTTATGCTGCCCTGACGCAAAGATATCAAATTCCTCGATCCTGAATGCTGCGCTGACCCACTGAGTATGGCCGCTATGTGTGGAAACTACTCCTGTTTCAGCTGTACAGTTTTTGCTTCAACCAAGTCACTCTGAATCCTGATTGCTGCATCCATAGTCAAAATAATATTATGATTAAATACTCAAGTCATAATATAATGTACTGGATTGTATGGTGTATGCAGAGCCCCTCTGTAAGCCCATATTATAATCAAGATAATGATTAATAATAATATTATATTAAAATATAACCTGTAATGTGGACAGCGCTACTCCCAAATTTAAGTCCTCACCAAATACCCATCATTGAGGACTCTGTAGAACTTAGATTCACGCATCTGTTACGACAAGCGGTCGTGTGCGACTAGGATGATCTAAACAGCGACAACCACGACAGTGGTACCAAGTGCTGAGAGTCGTCGGCCTTTACAGACAAGCAAAGGTTGCGTACTCGAACGTAGCTCGTGGTGTTTAACGAGGGGTTACGCTGAGATGATAGCAGGTTTACAGACAGTGAGAAGCGTCACTGAAGGTACGAGTCGATGTCGAGCAGGTAGCTTTAGCGGGACAAGGAGTTCAAGGATAAACCTAGTTGATTAGACTAGTTTCTGGGTAGTACCTAGTAAGATTAAAGTAAGGAACATCTACTTTAATCTTCGACCTTATATAAGGCTACTCTATCGTATCTAAGCTCAGCTCGAAGCTGGGTTCTAATCTGCTTATCTACATGAGTCAGAGATAGCGTCCATGAGGCGGGCTTCTATCATAGATAGCGTCCATGCGGTACGCTTCTATCAGAGATAGGATCCACATGGTATCCTTCTATCAGTACATGAGGCAACACGAGGCTTGCCTTCTATCTTGATAACATAAATAGGTCTTCTAGACCTATGTCGTCATGTCCATGTCACGTGCGGTCCAGACCGCTTATCTAAGCCGGCAGTTGCCGCTTATCGTCTTTCGTCATCTATCATCTATAGAGCTGGTGAGGCTCCGGTGTCGTCTATCATCTATAGCCGTGCGGGTGGCAGAGGGCTGTCTGCTGGCGGGGGACTCGTGCCATGTTACTGTAACATTACCCCTCTACTAGCGTCAAAGTCACCGACTTTGAGTATCCTGTGTTCTTCGTCAGCTTCCATCGCCGGAGGTGTCGTAGGCGTGGAGACGGCTGGTACGGGGGGAGTTTCTGGTTCGGGCGAAGGCGGTGCTGGGTGTCTAAGCGTGAGGTCCGCGAGCGCTTTATGGTTATGCTCCCAATCTAAGAGAGCTTCGAAAAACTTCTCTTCATCTCTAAACTCTTGGAGTACGATGCGTCCATTGAGCTGAGGGCAGTGGACCGACAGGTGGTCGGGTCCTAGTTCGTCGCAGACGCAACAAACATAATCTGGACACTTTCTGAATGAGTGTCCGTATCCTCCGCAACGCTTGCAGAGCGTGGTACGGGTACGATCTATGGTGGCCGCCTTTCTTCTTAGCGTGCGCACCGGTCTGGATCTTTCTTCAACATGAGGCCTTGCCTCGACTGTTCTGACAGCTTGGTTCGCGATGTCTGGGAAGTCGAGCGGAAGGAGGTGAAGCGCGAGTACGCGAATCCTTTTCTGTAAATGAAGCACGGCAAGTTTCTTCGTGCTTTCATCGAGGTCATCACGATTGGCTACGTCTTCTAGTAGCTTCGTGGTACGGATAATGCAGACAGCAAGGGATGTCCCTGCACCGAGTCTGGCGTCTTGCTCACCAAGGATGTCGTCGATCACTTGGGAGTACATGGGGGTGAGAATAGCGGTTTCGCTGAACGCGTTGTTCTCAATCGTTCTGAGGATGCGTCCGTAGTCGGAGTCCTTCAGTGCAATGCGGATAGTTTCTTCTTCAATAGAGGTCGTCATGATAGTGGGAGGTTCTAGGGAAGGATGTTCTTGGGAGAGGCCTTATATGGTTTCCAGATCGTTTCCAAGCTCCGCTTGATTTCTAGACTTATCTTTTGTTGATATCTTCTATCGTTATCTATCTAGCCATGAGGCTAAGATCTTCTCGTTATCGGGAACGAGGTGTGGTTCTTCACTATCAGAGGGGAGGTGCCGTGATAGGTACGATCTTTGTTAACCCTTTGTTTTATACTTGGGATCAAGGTTCGTCTTCATCAGAGGGTGGTAATCATTGCCATGATGGTATCTGCTTCGATCTTTTGTTGATCAGAGTCGAAGTCGTTCTAGAGGGTTCTCAGGGCTTGCAGGAGTTTCCTAAGAGTTCGTCTCGTGATAGTTTTACCTCATTCCGGAGGATCGTCTTCATCTTTTGTTTAATCAAGGTAGAAGTCGTTCTAGAGGATTCCGTTGGATAGGGAGTTCGCCTCGTGATAGTTTAGCCTCGTTCTGGAGGATCGTCTTCTTCATCTTTTGTTGAGGTCTTTCGGATCTATCTGGATGTTGAAGGGGGTTCTGTGGATAAGAGATCCGCGGGCTTGCAGGAGTTTCCGAGGGTTCGTTCTGTCTCCGGTTCTTCTTCGTTATCTTTCGTTTCGATCTATTTTTTCAAGATCTATCTAGATATGGAAGGTCATCTTCTTTTAACCTTTTGTTGATATAATCTTCATTGGGTGAGAAGGTACGGGGTCCAGGCGTAGGTGCCAAGGCTTGCAGGAGTTTCTTGGGGTCGTCTCGCGAGGAAGGGTCTTCTTAATCTTTGTTGAGTAAATCTTCATTGATTGTCGAAGGATCGTGGATAAGGGGTTCCAGGGCTGTGGGGACCGTTCGGGGAGTTCGTCCTTTTTCCTAGTTTTACGTCTTCTCGGACGATCATAGTTTTAGGTCGTTACGGACCGTTGCGCAGTTTAAAGCCGTGCCGGGCTGTCGTGCAGTTTAGGGCCGTGCCGGGCCGTCGTAGTTTAGTCTCTTTGCGGAGATTTCGTCGAAGTCGTCATCTGGGGTCATAGAGAAGTAGTCGGGAAATGGTATTCGTGGTGGGGGGTGTCGTGCGTGAAACGAGAATAAATCAGGGATTTTACCCCCTCAATAAGCCGTTTAGTCTACCATGACTAATCTTCGGTCTAAAAATCGAGGCCGTCGTCAGGGCCTTCGTACTCGATGTCGTTTCCTTCTTCATCAACCATGCGCCAGTTGTGCGTCGAGGTTCTTCTAAATCCAATCATATATTTTTCAAAGGGATTGGAAGCAGGGTGTGGCGCGTGTAGCGCCCGAGGTTCGGAAGCGAGCGTTTTTATTGCTTCGCTTCGATCATCTTCAGATTCCATAATTCTTCTTCCTTCTGTTAGATGCGGGTTTTCGTTTGTCAGCGGGGATCTCCGCGGAAGGTAAGGAGGGTTTTCGAGGAATTCGGGATGGGGTCGTCTGAGTTGTCTCTGGTTCAGAGGCCAGTCTAGGCGCCTTCGGGATAGGCGGTTCCTTTTTTCATTACTGCTCGTCCTTTTCCGAGGACTGATGCGGGCTCCGTCGAGAACCGATAAGGTTCAGGAGTCTTCTTCTTCCATCGGCTAGGAAAGCCGATTCAATTCTTCTTTATAGGCTCCACCGAGGACCGATAAGGTGCAGGAGTCTTCTTCTTCCATCGGCTAGGAAAGCCGGTCCAATTCTTCTTTATATGCTCCGCCGAGGACCGATAAGGTGCAGGAGCTTCTTCTTCGTCAATCTTCCTCCGAGAACCGTCGTAAGGTTCAGGAATGTCTTCTTTATATGCTCCGCCGAGGACCTGATAAGGTACAGGAGTTTCTTCTTTCATCGGCTGAACAGCCGGTCCGATCTTCTTCGCAGGTGCATCCGGGATGATATAGTCCGTGATTACCGCTGGTCTTACGACCTTCTTCTGAGTTGTCTCCGGATCAGTGGCCGGTGGAGGTCTTCAATCATGCGCCTAGTTCTGGCGTTTAATGATTCTTCTGAATCCGACTATATGTTAGTAAGTGGGAAACAGGGTGTGGCGCGTATAGCGCCCCAAGTTCGGAGTCGAGCGTTTTTATTGCTCTTCGGCTAGAAGAGCCGGTCCAATTCTTCTTTATATGCTCCGCCGAGGACCTAGATATAAGGTGCAGGAGTCTTCTTCTTCTTTCGGCTAGGAAGCCGGTTCGATTTTCTTTCTAGGCTCCACCGAGGATTGATAGTGGTGCAGGAGCTTCTTCTTCGTCAATCTTCCTCCGAGAACCGTCGTAAGGTTCAGGAATTTCTTCTTTATTGAGTTCCGCCGAGAACCGTCGTAAGGTTCAGGAATTTCTTCTTCGTCAGGCTAAGTAGCCGGTCCGATGTCTTCGCGGGTAGTGTACCGCAGGTTGGTTAATACGACCTTCTTCTTGGGTGTCTTCGCGGGTAGTGTACCGCAGGTTGGTTAATACAACCTTCTTCTTGGAAGTTACCGTGTTGGAGACGGTTGTCTTCGATCTTCGTAGTGTTCCGTGAGCAGGAAGTCTTCTACTGTGACTCGGTTCTTTTCTTGCGGCTGGTCAGGCCGGGACGGTTCGGGCTTTATTTCTTCTACAAATCTTCGGTGGCTTTGAAGATAGGTCCGATCAGTGATCTGGCGTCACAGATAGGTGACGTGCGAAGAAAGACTTTAATCTTTTGTCACGACAAGCGGTCGTGTGCGACTAGGATGATCTAAACAGCGACAACCACGACAGTGGTACCAAGTGCTGAGAGTCGTCGGCCTTTACAGACAAGCAAAGGTTGCGTACTCGAACGTAGCTCGTGGTGTTTAACGAGGGGTTACGCTGAGATGATAGCAGGTTTACAGACAGTGAGAAGCGTCACTGAAGGTACGAGTCGATGTCGAGCAGGTAGCTTTAGCGGGACAAGGAGTTCAAGGATAAACCTAGTTGATTAGACTAGTTTCTGGGTAGTACCTAGTAAGATTAAAGTAAGGAACATCTACTTTAATCTTCGACCTTATATAAGGCTACTCTATCGTATCTAAGCTCAGCTCGAAGCTGGGTTCTAATCTGCTTATCTACATGAGTCAGAGATAGCGTCCATGAGGCGGGCTTCTATCATAGATAGCGTCCATGCGGTACGCTTCTATCAGAGATAGGATCCACATGGTATCCTTCTATCAGTACATGAGGCAACACGAGGCTTGCCTTCTATCTTGATAACATAAATAGGTCTTCTAGACCTATGTCGTCATGTCCATGTCACGTGCGGTCCAGACCGCTTATCTAAGCCGGCAGTTGCCGCTTATCGTCTTTCGTCATCTATCATCTATAGAGCTGGTGAGGCTCCGGTGTCATCTATCATCTATAGCCGTGCGGGTGGCAGAGGGCTGTCTGCTGGCGGGGGACTCGTGCCATGTTACTGTAACAGCATCCAAACTCAAGAAAGACATGCTGCATTACACGCACCCAAGTTCCCATCCTTCCAGGTTTCATTATCACCACACACAAATTGCAGGGCCAAACACTGAAGAAGGTTATCATTGATCTTGGCTCGAAGTGGTGCTGAGGTGCTGAGAAACCATATGTGATGATATCACGTGCGACCTCTCTACAAAGCCTGTTCATCTTGCGTCCGTTTAATTACAACAAAATTTGCTCTCACCTGTCTCAAGACATTCACCAAGAAACACTTCAATTAGACATACTGAACCTCAAGACATTAATGGACTCACCATATACAAGCAATGACAAACAAGAGGAAGCAGGACAACGGTTACCGTCAATTATCAGCAACCTGATCGCACATAATAAAATGTTAGCATATACCAAAGAAGACCAAGTGAGTGAACTTAACAATGTTCAACAGACCATCCTCAACTTAGATGAACCTATTGTATCTGGCACCCAATCCGGGTTAACACAACAACCACCTTGTCAAAAGAAGGGAAAGCTCGGAGATTCAGTCTGTGAAGATGGATTGGATGCCATACCTCGGTCACCAAATGATGTTCTGCAAGTACCTCCACAGCATACCAAACACCAGAGAGCAAAGGCCTAGGTACGAAGTCCACAACTCAATTTCTCCAGAGGCTGGTCAAGAATACATGAGTCCTACCACTAACACCTTTTGCAGATACCTCAAGTCCGCTACCATTTCAGCTGACTATAACATCAAGTAAGAAGATGGTTCAAAATCCACACATTCAACCACTAATACCTTTAACAGATAATACCTCAAGTCTCCTACCAAATATCCCTTTGTCCCTCCTCCCAAATGCTGATGAAATCGAAATTTGTCAGTGACGACATGAGCATTTGTCAATGACCGATCTTACTGTGCATCATCCCCTTGTAATCCTAATTTCAATTGATTTAAAGACAGGTCCGATGCTCTTTGCATCCCTAATTCTATCACTTGACCCACCACTATGGCCACACCTGATATCAAAGTCAAGTGTTTCTCACAACATGTTGCCAATGGTATATATGATTGCGTCTCTGAAGCCATTACAAACCTGGGCAAAGACGGCTTAGGCGAAGCTGATTTTGGCATCGATTGGACCATGACTGTCCAAGATAACTACAGCGGGACAAATTGGTCATATGTAAACATGAAAGACAGCTGCCCCTTCAGGACCAACATTGTGGGCCAAATTGCGACCTCAGCATATGGCACAAAGCACTCAGCAAAAGGAACGCACTTCACAAAAAAGGTGTGCATGTCCCCTACTAATTGATGATCATAATCTGACAGACAACTCAAGAACATACCACTGGCTGACTCAGACACTGTCAAATGGAAATGGGCGCTTTCCAAACCCATGCTGTGTTCACCTAACCTTGCAGACATCTGGGAGAATCAACTAATGTCCATCGAAGACTGGATCACCAAAGAGAAGAAGAGAGCAGCAATGGTCAGTTCCAATCAATACACTATGTGAAAACTAACAGTCTCCACAGGGCTCAAAGATAAACCCATGCATTGCTAAGAGTGCCAATGACCTCCAATATGTGGACCTGATCATGCTAACATTGCAACACATCTATGAGGTAAGTGACGAACCGATTCATGCCACTTTAATGCCCACCAACCATCTCTCACAGAAGCCAGAAGGGAAAAACGCCAGCCATGACACCACTCCTCAACGAACAAAGCGCAAAATCACGAGTGAGGACAGCATGGTAGGGCAACAGAGCATGGCTGTGTCCAGGAGCTCTATGACAAGCTTGAGCGCCAATGTAAATGTGCCGACACCTGCAGCAGACAAAGGTATTCATAATCCTTGCTCTCTCTCTAGAATCACACTCAGGCTGTAAATAGTCAGTCCAGGAGCATTATATGATCCAAGGATCCTCCCGGACTACTGGGGAACATATTTTCAGCTACAACAAAACAAACTTAAGCAGCTGAACCTCTACAACACTATCAAAAACGGACTCAAGCTCATCCTGATGCACGAGACATACTTGAAGTTAAGACCCAGGACGCTTGTTCTCGCCGTCTGCAATGCTCATGTTTACAATATGGTACAAAACAGGCAGCCTACCAGCGTGCATACCTGACATTTTGGTTGGAAACATTCTCTAATAGAGATTTCCAGACTTTTCAGCTCAGTGTGCAGGCCATGAAGGTCCTGGATCCTTCAGATGAACCTGTGGAAGAACATTTTATCCCCATCCTCTCCACAACCTCCATTGACTTGTCGAAAGACAACTTAGCCATTGCGGGTTTCTCCACATTCGACGTGGCGATGAACCCTGCCAAAAAAAGCAAGCATGCAGACGGACAGAGGCACAAAGGAGGGAAAGGAAAAGAGAAAGAGGGTGAGAGCCCAACTTCTGTTGTGGTTTTGCATGGACACTGTCCAAGGTTACATGTCCCTTGTGTTACAGACTTGGATAGTTCTAATGGTATAGACACAAATGTGTTGATTAGGATACCAAGCATGTCGTAGCCTTGATGGAATGTCAAGGTTCCCTCCGGTTATCTTGGTGAGGCGCACCTCATCAAGATACAGGGCTAGTGGGATCGACTAAGATAGCAGGTAGCTCTCTTAGAAGTGCGGTCTAAGACAACTAAGTTGGGGACTTAGTTGAACAGGAGTTTCAAGGAAAACCAAGTAGATCAAAGTGAAGAAATACAACAGTGATCTGTCTACTTATATATGTCTGTACATAAGAGTTCAGGCTCAGCTTGTATCTGGGGATCTATGCGAGTCATAGTGAGTAAGAGATAAGTGTATATGAGTCAGTTCATGAGGTCAGATAAGATACATGAGGTTTAACCTCTGATCAAGCATGGGGCAACATGCACCGGTCTAGGTGTACATGAGGCGGACAGCCTCTGGGTATCAGAAACAGGCTTTCTAGGCCATGGGAATGTCATAGCAGGTCCAGACCGCTGTCATTCTAGGTTCTGGCGGTGTCCTGCTGTGTTGGTGAGTTTAGCAGAGTGGGGACTCATGTGGATGTTATAGTTGACTGTAACACCTTGCCATCAGTATCAATGGAGCACCACTTGATCTTATGAAAGACAGGCAGACTGTGGAATGGAAAATGAATGTTGGCTGCCAAAATATCAAGTGCTTGATCTCGGAGAGGCACAGGACGGTTGCCTTGACTGTGGCATGTAATATAGTGTGTGAGCCTGTGAGAGCTTTGTGAAAATGAGTTGCACCATAATCTTCAACAATGCCGACAGCCTTCGCACTAGGGTGTTTCATCACAACTAATTCACGACTGAAAGTCATGTCAGGTGGACACAAATGGTAGGGCTCAGACTGGTGGCAACCAGTGAGATGCCAACTAACATACCATACTTCAGATGCCATAAAATCTTCTGCTTCCATTCAAGCCAGTGGGTCATTTGAATCAACTTATCCTTGTGATTGGTAGTGCAGTAGGCATCTTTCGCTAAATCAATGTGGAGGCATTCAGTATATTTGGTGTTGTAATTGTTGGTTGTACCAAACAGTGTGATCATGAGATGGTAGTGGCATGCAGCATGCAACTTTGGTAATTTGAAATTGTTTCAAATACTGAACTGAATAAAAATGGCCTTGTTTTCGTGGAAAAGATCTAATGCCTTGTCGAGTGAGTGAAGTGTCTCTGAGCTGTAACAAGGGTATTACACAAGATATAGGAAGTCGAGTAGCCCCCGCACGGCTTGAAGAAGATGACTTACATTAAGATTGTTGGGCAAGTGGACATCAATTATGATGCCAAAGATGAAGCAGCACATCTGTGCATGTTCAGCGCTGCTTACATGTGACAAGCAAGTGATGCCCTTGGTGAATAGGCAGATATGATGGTTTAGAGAAAGCTGCCGACAACGAGCATCAATTTCTGCAGCTCCACAAGCTGCGGACAACCATCCCAGGAGATGCTTGAGCAAGCCTTGATATAGCTGGTGCAGCACATCTGGTGTAATAGCCCAGAAAATGTTGGTGAAAGGAAGATCCTCCAAGAAAGGATGAATGATGGGCTTGATGCCTGCTGTGGTACATGCATGAACAAACACTAAATTTCCATGGTTGAGTGTGGCAAGTGCATCTAGTACTTCTCTAAGTTTTTGCAAGTGAAATGGTGCTGTGTTGCTTCCCATGTCCTTGGCCTCAATGTCGCACTTTGGGCACTCTCCGAACTTGACACCTGTAGCCAGAAGCTGTTCTGGATAGTCACTAATAAAAGTTGCAAACAGCAGATGACAACGACGAAGAGCACCATCTCTGCTATGCATGGGAATACCTTCCAATCCAGCAGGTTTCAGCAGAGCGAGCACACGGCATAAACATGCATAGTACAAGTTTGCAATAGCATGATGGTGAGATGCTTGGTTTATAATGTATTCAAGGCAGGTTGTTGGCAAATAAGCAAGAAGGATATGGCTGCCATATGAAAGTTTATGGCAAATTTCCTTTGGTATATTGCCAATTGTAAGATATACAGGGTAGGCAGTCTTGATGCGAAACATCGTCACTTGTGTTTTGTCCAAGGAAATAATTATTGGAACTATGGTTCCACCAGAACAATGTTCATCGAGTTTTTTCTAGACAGCCATTATAAGTTACAAAGTCTGATAAGTGTTGTGTTGAGCTGTCCATACCTGCATTTCCCACCACCATTTCCCAGTATGCATGTTGTGAAACAGACGAACTGTTTGGTCTTTGTCAGTGTAATGTCACTCTGGGGTAAATGTGAGATATTTTGTGAAGTTGGGATCACTATATAGAGATTTGACACATTCAATGATATCACAATAATAAATATCAAACAATTCTCCAGCAACAATAACTTGTTCACATTTGAATTTTGGTTGTCCCATTGGAAGCTCATAGTCGATCATCTTGTTCAGTTCATTTGCATTCTTGAATGTCAGTCCTAAGCATTCACTGACCTAGTATTATGGGTTGTTAATTAGACACTCATGAAACAAAGAAAAATTCTCACTCCGTCAATGGAGAGCAAGTCCGAAAATGCGGTAGAACTTAATCCACAAAGTTTTGCCCATCTGGCAACCTCCCATTCAATCTTTAAAGAAAACAGGTGGTACATATTGTCATTGTCAGCGAGCTGTGCCCCATACATGACATTGGCAGAGTGATCAGCTGAATCTTGCAACATCCTTTGGTTGGCACATGGGTCTGAATAAGGCACAGCTACAAATCCACACTGTCCTTGTGCACGTGCCTCAATGTCCTGACAAGCATTGTGAATATTATCATCATTTTGGGCATTGTCAGCCTCATCAAAGGCAAATGCATTGTCACTGTAAGTCTCCTCAGATAGCAATGGTATTGGTGCCTCCCATTCAGGTTCGAAGAGAGAATCATCAACATCCAACTCAGAGTCAGAGTTGCTGTAGGTGAGGAATGTAAGAAGATGGAAAGTGGGTGGTGTAAGATATACTTAGATGGTCCTCTGTGCACAAGCTAATGTCAGCACAAGGGGATTGCTACTGAGAAGGTTCCTCTATGTAAAATAGTGGAGGGAAACACTGAACCGGGCTGTCAGATAAGCTTGGTAAGGCGTGCAACGATGAGCGAAGCATGGAAAGCGAGAGCACTATGAAGTGCTACTGAGTGATAAGGTGTGGTAACGCACGCTGAGTGATTGCAAGGTGCACATGCAGGTGGTGGAGCACAGCAACTCTAAATGAGTTGGAGAACGAATAGGACAATGGTCTATTGAGAATAGGAAGGTTGGTGCTTGTGTGCATTCGGGTGCTTAGTGTCGGTCAGTGACTACAATGGAGATTCAGACTTAGAGTCCAATGATGTGCGAGAAGATGGTGGTCAATTGTTAAGAGAGAAAGAGATACATCAAAACTATCTAAGTACCACTAAGCGCTGAGGCAAACCAGGAAGCAAAGGAAGTACATGATGATATATAGTAAGGGTTCATGATGAAACATATGGAATGTGTGTGCAAGCACCAGAGATATTGTCAGAATACATGAGAATAAGATAGGAATATGCACTGACAAACTGAACAGACATAGAATGGATGGACAGAGGACAAGCAATGGAACTGAGGATGTATGCACTGATGTGCAACTGAAGCACTTGCACACATGATTGGCCGATGAAGTGCCAAGTGCATGGAAATGAGATATGAGTCACACTGTGTTTGGAAGGTAATTAGAGTGTCGGAGAATTAGCCCTCTATGAGGCCACAGAGATGTCAGTCTCTACATTGCTATCGGCCTGCTTATCCCCTTCATTCTTCCTGTACAAAACCTACAATAACTCAGCAACATCACCCACAGTTCAACCATCCAACTTACCTTTTCCCTTACAGCAATGAAGTCTGCTTTCATCACCCACATCCATCAGGAAAACAACAAGTTCCTTAATTCAACTTATTGTCACTTTTTCACACACAATAAGGCAAAATAAGCAAAGGCTAAAATAAGTGGAAAAAGGCCACTTGTTGTCTGAATTCTTACTTATTTCTGATTTATTTTACTTTTCCCATCACAAATAAGCAGAAAAATGGTATTGTCTATTCAGAAAGCATGATACAAAAGTAATTAAGGAAACTAGTAGCCTATCAAAAAGCAACTCAAAAGACAAGAACACATACCAACAACTGAGAGTAAGACGCAGCCAGAGCACCATCAGTGTCAGGTGTCTGACTTGAAAAACAACACTCACTTAGTGATGTTCTGATCCGGCTTGGCTTGAAAACCGCAGGGTATGTGCAGAGTTGAAAAGGACTGAAGAAGTTCAAAGCATTTGAGTTGATAGTTGAAGTTGAAGTGCTCAAGAGACTTGAAGTCCATTAGCTAGGGCAAGAGGGACACTAGGATGGCGGTAGATGGCAGCAGTTGTGAACCTGCAAAATTTCTCAGAGGGCTATATGGCCTTTAGCACTGTGATGTTGAGACCCTCAGGAAACTCACTCACTGGAGGATCCTGTGGTGGCCATTTCTGAGCTGAGGGATTTGGGCATCTTGATGCTGAGATGATGCTGGAAGAATGAAATGTACAAGTAGGCAAAGGCAAATCAGCATCAGGCAAGTGACCAAAAAGATAAGAACACATACTGCATGTAAGAGCAGGACACAGCCATGGGAGCACTATCAGTATCGGAGAAGTGAGGAGAGACGAGGACGATGTACAGTACTTACAGAAAACTTGCACAATATTTCAACCAACTGTCACATGGGAAAGGCCACAGTCACTGCCAGTCGGTGTCTGTTTTACTTGAACTCTAAAACTGTGCAGCCGCTGTAGCGCATCACTTATATCCAGCATCATCTACTTGCATAGATCTGATTTGTTAAGACCATGCACAAAGGGTAGGACTGATTCTGAAGGGCTTGGCTTCAGCTCGTGCGCTGCGCCCCTTACCCGAGTATGTGCCCTTAATTCAGATGATATCCAGAGGAAGTCCAAGGAAGTCCGTAGGACTTTTGAAGGAGCATGGGAAAGTCCAGAAGGACTGTCCGGATCTGGATGAGTGCGAGAAACTTCCGGAGGAACTTCTGGAAATTACTATGAGGTTTTGTCCTGGTACAGATATGTATAATGGCTACTCAGGATGAATCCTGAATAGAATGGAGACAGAGGAAAGGCTGCAGGGACAAAGTCCGAAGCAGAATAGGTCCGGAGGACCATGGGAAAGTTCCAGAGGAACTTCCGGAAACTCGGAGGAATGGAGGAGCGGAGGAGCGGAGCTCTGGCCTAGGGAATTCCTCCCTAGGCCTGAGATGGATATTGACTAAGTCGGAGGACTAGAACTAGTATGAGAACTTAGTGTGAGGTCTAGTGCGAGGACTAATATGTGTCATATTCAGACTAAGGAAATACAGGAGTTTCTACAGGGTTTATATACTAGGGAGGACATAATGGAGAATCAGTCAGTGCAGTGCAAGGCTATGTGAGGCTATGGACGGAGCATGTGGAATGCCTAACACTAGTGCATTGGAACTTAATAAAATGAAGATGGAAATGAAGCAGGTACAGAAAATAAAGCACAGTTGGTTATAGGGATAACCAGATGTCCGGAAACAGGTAATTGCCATAAGGGGATGAGTGCTGATTTAAGGTTTGGGTTCAGATATGAAGCATAGGTCGGATCCGGAGATCCTGAGAAGTGGATATGAGATCAGCTGTCCGGATATCGGATCTGGATGTGTGGATATGCAAAGGCACAGGGATTTGGGTGTATAGACATCTGGACAGATAAAGGACATGGACAGGGGGTCCGGAGGTCCAGATGAGGCGTGGGAACTTTGTCGGATGTAGGTCCGGAATACAGGATATGACACAGAGTCAAAATCTGTTTCTCTTGGACTGTGCAGGTTTAAAACCTGTCAAGGATAATTTTCATTTTCTATAAAAATGCACCTTGATATATTCTCATGGTTGGTTTGCTTAAAAGCTCATCAGAGTTGTGTTTGGCCAAGTGGTTGTCATAACAGAATCAAGATCTGTTTCCACTGGAACATAACAGGTTTGAAACCTGTTGAATGTCGCATTTTTTTTCTATTAGAACATGCCAAAGCCTCAACATGGACTCATGTGTACTTTCCTGAGAGCACCATCTCACTGGTGGTGTGATTTCATAAAATAAAAATATTATCATTGGCAGGTTTCAAACCTGCGCTGTCCAAGAGAAACAGATTTTGACTCTGATGTTCACTTGCAATTTCATCTTTAGCAGGTTTTGAACATCAGGAAAATGTGCTATGGCTATATAGCACTCTATAGCACTACATGGTACTATATAGGGGCCATAGGGCTATAGCTTGTATAACCAAGTGCCCAATTGTATAGGCTATTTACAGCAATATATAGTGCACTATAGTGTTATACAGTAGTATGGTAACTATATTCTGCTATCATAGATGACCAACATGAATCTCATTTCAAGCCATACCTGACTATATAATGCTCATATCATCATATAGTTTTTTAAATATATATCTATCATGTGCTTTATAGCTATCTATAGGATTTTAAATCATGATACATTCATTAAAATCTTTCAAATTTGAACATAATCAAATGCAATTATGCGACCATGACATCAGAAACTATAGTGTTGGTTTGTAATCTACCATACGCCTCCATAGCCTCAAAATCTAATTCAGAACCAGAATCATCGACCTCATTGCTCATTACAAAGCCACATGCCTCCCTATCATATCATTTATTAGCATAGAAAAATAATGAATATGATGACACTTTTACCCTATCTCAGCCCACAAATCTTGCTTCAGTTTTTCCATATACATGGGTGAACATTTGTGATATTCAGCCAGCTTCAACATATAGTACTGGTGTCTAAAGAAACATAATATTAGATGAAGTTGAATATAACCATGACATCGCACTTACCTTGGTTGAAAGACAGGCTCCTTGAATTCTATGACAACCGGAGATCCAGAGAGCATACCTTTGAAAGTGCATTCAGCCTGGTAAAAAAGGTGTTAGCTATAGCTGAATTTGAAAACAAAAACTGGGTGCCCTTACAGCTGTAGCCAGTAGAGCAAGAAGATTGTCAGGGAGTTTCTGAAACAAATCCTTGTACAGTAGACCTTCTGATCCAGCTCCTTGAAAGAATTGACTTATGAGCAGTTGACGCAAGAGAACAGCACGGAAAGGGAGATTCTTGTTGAAGGTCTTAGTCTAAGTTGTAATTTAGTTTCGTTTCATACACATTAATATAACAACAGTACCTTCAGATCCAATTCTCCACACAGAAAAGGATCCTTTTTGGTGGAAATGAGCCATGTAGCTACCTCTCCTATCTCTTGATCAGTAGTATTTAAAAAATAAAAGATGTACTTACGCACCAATGTCCTTAGGTTTCATTTGCTGCAATAGAAATGCTACATTCTCTCTTGCCTTTCTAACCAGCTCCCCTCTCAGCTGACTTGCACCAGACCACACCTAAAAAAATGTAAGCATGAATCATATAAAAAAATAAAACACTCACATAAGCCATGGCACGATTTTTCAAAGCGTCATCTTGACTAATGACATCAAACATTAACTTCAAGGGAGAGCCAGGATTCTTGACCGCTTCCTTGATACAGTCCCAAGAAAAGGAATCCTGCACATCCACTGAAGGTCCTGGAAAGGCGGTCTCTAAAGCAATCTTGATACGGAGTAGCTGGTGAGCAAGATCCACTAAAGGACTGCAGCCATCCTTCTTCAAGGAAGCTAAAGTGGTAGGCGGTTTCCTGTCACCTTTGCTGATTCTTCTCCTACATTTACATTCTACGTTATCTTCCTTGGGCTTATCCTTGACCTGAATAAGCTATGTATACAAAGTCAGTGTTGAAGTCTATTAAATAAAAGTTACACACCCCATTGGTTCTCCTTCTAACACCTGTGCTCTCTAGAGATTCGTCTTCTTCCCCAACATCACCACCTTCATCATTACCATCACCATCTGCCTCATTTTTGGCATCCTCATCACTAGAATCTAATATATAATGAGCATATAACATAGTTACATTAAATAAAGAAATGACGCCATACCAAGACTAGCTGTAGATACTTTCTTTTTGGGAGGAACAACCACGGGTAAAATGTCTGCAGGATTGGTGTCATCTATATGGTCCATGTCACTGTCATCTGGAACAACAGATGTTGTTTGCAACCCTATTATGACAATTAGCTGTGTTATAGATGTTGAAGGAACACTTGCCTCTTTTACGCTTTGTCCCTGTGCTGGTAAATGCCGGTTCCAAGTTACTTTCTTCATCCAACAAAGCGTCCACTTTCTTTTGGACATCTAATATATAATATTTTCTTAGTACATTTCCTGTCACATCAAGCTTCAGTATTGCTTACTTTCTTTGTGATTTAACTCAGCTTCCTTTTTCTTCTGTGCTTGAAACTTGAGGAATTCTTCATATTGGTCATCTGAAACCTGCACCTTGGACCCAGATGCTTTCTTTCGCCCTCTGGTCTTGGCTACAGGAGGTGTGGGTGTAAGTGACCTTGCTCCCTTCTCTTTAGGCTTGCTGGACTTGCGAGACATTTGATACAGAAGTAAGATTTGAGCAATGATTAAGGGTGTAAAAGTGAAGGTTGAAAGGATGGAACTGAATTGAAGCTAATTGAAGCTGACTTAAAACTATAATTGGAAGCATCATAACCAATACAGACACTATGCATACCAAACATATAGTATTAGTTATACGTCATATGAAAGAATGCATGGTCTCATTATCTACCCAGCCATTTTGATTTTTAACCCAAGCTGCAAACTCTCTGTCAGTCTAAAAGACAAGAGATGCCCTTGCTCCCTTATAGTCAAGGTTGAAATGGGTGACCTCACTTGACCTAAAGAGCGCAATATCGCCAGAATGCAACTCCAGGACAAGTCCATTCTCTAGTAGGCACAATGCTCCGCCTTGGAAGTGTCCAATAGGTATGACTAGACATAAATGGCGATCCTGGCAATCTCAATGGGCTTTGGTCCTCACATTGATGTTGATGACCAAAGATATGAAGGGCGCGAAAGGCGTAGAGTGATTGCCAGGCAAGACAGACGCAACCTCCATCAGCATCTCAAACTCATCTTGCAGAAAAGTCTCCATCTGCCAATGTCAATGTCAACCTGTGAGCAAGAACAAATCTTTACAACTACATACCAAGTTTTGTACCCACTCAAAGAGCTCTGCATATACGCGTGAGATTGTAGAGTAGATGTGTTGGTGTTCACACAGATCCTTTGATATGTAAGGAATCACCTGCTGGTGGTTAGTGCATATGGCTTCTTTCTCTAGAAGCCACAGTTGAACCTCCTTAGGGGCCTCATTACCCTGGTACATCAATGTTATTTAGCGACCTTACAATGTAGAAATAAAACAGCTTACTGAGGTATAATGCCTATTGTACCAAGACAAGTGCATCACCACTTTGATCATCTTGCGAGCAAACCAACTATGAGCAAATTTCAAGGTGTGTTTTGATAGAAAATAAATGTTATCACTGGCAGGTTTCAAACCTACACATTCCAAGAGAAACAGATTTTGACTCTGATGATCACTTGACAATTTCTTCTTTAGTAAGTTTTGAACCCATACAGACAGATGTAGATTCTGTTGCATCGACTGGTTGACTAAGACCAGTTGAATGCACTTCCAATGAATCCATTCAAAAGTGAATCCTCAAGGCAGTTCTTTCAATAGTATGGTCACCATGATTGATTCTTTTATTCTACTCTTATTGCAAAAGACATCAGAATTCTTCTGGAGCTCTTGACTTCAAGACCTATTTATTTAGCAATTACTCTGAAAAAGTGCTGATGACAGACCACCATGGTGGGCCGATGATGTTTGTGATGTCTTGGGATTAACAGCTATGTCATGAGTGAGAACCAACAATGGAAGGATCACATATGATTGGACTCAAGGGGGATGTTAGAAAATTAATGTTAGAACTGATAAAATGCAGATAAATGTACCTTGAGGATTTGCTTCTGAATGGGCTCATTGGGAGTGCATTTAACTGGTCTTAGCTAAGCAGTTGATATGACAGAATTTAAATCTGTCTGCATGGGTTCATCTGGAAAAACTGTTTCTCTATATAGAAGGCCCCCTGCTATATAGCTCCCATAGCACTTTATAGCATTATATAGTCTATGGCCAGCTATCACAGGATATAGACCACTATGGACATTATGTAATTCTATATATTACCATAAAGTTTGGTAAGCGTATTTAGAGGTAAAACAATTAAGTAAGAAGAAATCACATTTATCTAATACATTATCTAAAGTCCAATCTATAGGAACTGTTCTTCCAAAGTTTGGAACAAGCTGACAAGTTTGCCTAATGGATGATAGTAGAATAACTCTACTTGGCAATGAACCGTCTAAGGAAAGGGAGAGTTTCTTAACTGTATACAACTCATAATAGTCTTCTGCTACAGGTTTTAATAGAGCATACCACTCAATATATGCCAAAGGGTCTTTGGTCCAAGCAGGTTAAACAGAACCATATACTTGTTGTGGTAGCTGAAATATAACTTTCAACCTTCTAATACGTGTACCTATAGTATTGAAATTTTCATACACTGAATGACCATATATATGAAAGCTACTCACTTTTTAAACCAGTGTATTCACAGTCAGGATCAACCATTACTACAACTGTATCAAAGTGTCCAGCTTTATGAGAAATAGGTGGTTGTGCTTTGACAATATCTGCCTCCTCCATTTGATTGAAGTCGACATCATTGCCTAATGAGTCTAGGCAAAATTTGAATCCATGATAAATATCAATATGACTGAAAGGAAGATTCATATATCTGAGCTGTCCATGTGAATGAGGTTGAGGCAACTGAGTGTTAAAATAGATGATGAGATCTTTCTTGAAGCCTTTGCAAGCATGATCTTGCATAACGTCCAGGATATTGTGGTGAAGCTGATGAGGTCTTTTAGTAAGGATAACTCTGTGATCTCTAAACCTTGAGTTTTATCTATCTTGCTCAATATCCCACTCATGATGAAGACACTCTGATATACATGCAACAGGCCTTATACGATTTTCACCTTTATAAGGAAGTTATTATTAATCTGGGTATCAGAGAAGATCTTGATATCCTGAAATTCCATTCCTTACAACACTACTTGGAAAACATATGAAACTTCAGGACTATGGATAACTATAACACAGAGATGTTTGAAAGGTTTCATATTGATTTTTGTAAAGAGAGGTGGTATGCTTCCAATGGACTCCATAGACATCTTGAGATAGCTTTGAAATGAAATGACCTTCTCTCGTCTAGTTAGCCAAGAGATCATTTGAGGTCTTTCATTTCTTCCATTGGAAGCATACCACCTCTCTTTACAAAAATCAATATGAAACCTTTCAAACATCTCTGTGTTATAGTTATCCATAATCCTGAAGTTTCATATGTTTTCCAAGTAGTGTTGTAAGGAATGGAATTTCAGGATATCAAGATCTTCTCTGATACCCATATTAATAATAACTTCCTTATAAAGGTGAAAATCGTATAAGGCCTGTTGCATGTACATCAGAGTGTCTTCATCATGAGTGGGATATTGAGCAAGATAGATAAAATCCAGGAGGGCATGATATGCTAGGATGACGCCTCTTGGAACCTTGCCAACCAAACAAGCCAATAGTACTCTAGCCATATGTTTTCTCTCTTTTCTACCGACCTGACCCAAAGCAGACCAGCCCTTATGGAAGCTTCTGATATCACTTGACCATATGCTTAAATATGCCTTGATAGAGTTGATGAAGTATGTCAGATGTGATAGCTATGTGAATATCGCAATGAGGGAAATCAAGCCAAAAAGGCTCAAATACCCCTCCAGCTACATCTTGAGACATGCACTGTGTATGGAAGGCAGAGTTGGTATTTGTGAAGATATTGGCTTGGTCAATGACTGATGAAGTCCAATGTTATGTATGTCTGGCAAAACTTTGTATTTTAGCCAATTCATTGGCTCTAACCCCACACTTGGGACAAGTACCATACTTGGTACAGGTAACCAAGCATTGCTCAAGATAATTGGCCATGTAGCAAGCCAGAATGAGAAACACCAGGTGTACAAGATCATCTCCACCCACAACCTCTATTCCTCTTTCTCCTGCATCTTTGAGAGATTTCAAAATGATTCAAAGGGAGGTATGGAAGAGATGTTGTACCCTGGAAGATACTTCTCTAGCAGATAGTTCCTCCTTTATGATCTTATCCACCAATAAATACCCTATCAGGATACAGACATGCTGACTGGATTTGCGACGGATAGCTCTAGATATATTGCCGAGTGTAAGATAGACTGGATATGCTGATTTGGATGCAGAAAATCTTGTAAGCTGGGTTTTGTTAGTAGCAATAATCACAGGAGCTACAGATGCTCCCTGAGGAAGTCTGTCCTACAAAAACATACATTAGTTATTAAAGAAACGTAGTTAATACCATGTTGCTCACCTGGACTGCATGCTACCAATGATCTGTCCACATCTCATTATATATGCGGGTAGAACATGATGTATCAGTGAATACTTTTGAAGGCTTGTATACAATATCTTCAGCATGAGCTGGGTTTCTCAGCAATGTTTGAATGGCTTCCAATGGATTACAGTAGTGTAGTGTATGCTTATAGTCCGGTGTATCGTTAAAGGCCAAGTGAGTTGATTGCCATTTTGCATGGGGAGGGATGCTGTCTACGGTTTGATGGAGTCCTCTGATATTATGATATGCAAGCCCTAAACATTCTCTAACCTATTTGTAAACTATCAGCTAAGTGATATCACTTGGAAAAATATAAGTTGACCTACGCCTGGTATAGCTAACAACCTGTCAAATGCTTTATGTCCTATACCCTCTTGCACAGCCCAACATGCTACCTGCCAGTCCAGGTGTAATGAAAATAGGTAGAATAAAGTATCATCTTCATCGTCAGAACTCTCTGATCCCCCTCTTCTCCTCCATCACCTAATCTAAATTGTGTCTGCCATTTAGCATGCACCGTCTCCTCCATTCTTATGACCCTCCCAGTAGTAGGATGAGTCTCTGTGACCCAGGAATCTTCCTCCTCTGCCAAAGCTCCTCTATGCCTAGATGGTCTGGCTACTGGCTTTTCCTGCTCCTGGTCTATGTCCATCATGTCCTGGTTATCATAGTTTATTTCATGAACTAGAAATAATGTAAGCTCTTGATGAGAAACTGACATTGCAACTCACAATCGGAGCCCAGAGGTATCAACTAAAATAAATTGTCATCCACCTCATCAGCTATCTCATCTGGTAGTCCCTCCATCTCCATCTCCATCTCCAATCCATTCATACCTTTATCATCGACCATATCCAGCTCTCTTCCCTTCCCTAGCTTATACCATTTGCAGCTCGAAGCATTGAGTAGGTGAGAATTGAGCCCTTGTGTAGTATGGAAAAGTGCATGTGTAGCCTGTAGCAGGGCATTTATAAGACATTGAAGTCTCAGTAAGAATACACCTGCTAAACACCATTTTATGAATTAGTAAAACAAGAGGATGTGGAAAGAGTCTAGGGGGAGCATCTAGTAGTGTCTAGGAGGAGTGTCTGTTAAAATGTTGCACCAAAAATACAATTCATATTGTGTTACATACAGTATGAATCTTATGCAAAGGCTAAACAACTGTAAAATATACAACATATAAAAAGAGAGAGTAGGGTAACGCATGAAGGGTTGTTCTTAGAAATCATAAAAATAAACTGTAATCAAAGTCTGAGTCTATACACACTTCAAGCAAATCATGAAATTTAAGATACCCATTCTTTCTGAAGTTCCTTGAGTACCACCTTTGCAGCCATAACATTAATGCGATCAGTGGTCTTTCCATCAGTGCCTTTGAGGTACTGTGACGAGTTACCAGGCGTGAGCTTGCATTCTTGCACGGGGGGACAGGGCATGCGAGCAAAGAGATTGTGATCTGCATCTTGATGATCCTTGTGGTACAACAAGTTTATCTGCAAGGCAGGGAGCATTGGTGAGCTTTTGGCAAATCCACTGCCACCCACTGCCCTGGCCCACTCATTGGTCATCTGTTGAGGCTGGCAGAGATGGGCTAGTGTATGATCAGTATGGATCTTGAAAAGCGCAGCATTGATAATGTTGAGCATGCGGGAGTGGCTTGGTGCACTTTCAACGAAGAGGACCGTCCTCATCTCCCTCAACATCATCCTGATAGGCTCATTTGTCCAGTCGTTCCCCAACACTCTGTCCACCATAGAAAACCCTATGTCAGTAGCCAGATAGTGTTGTTTCTCTACAGCCTCATGCCAGATCTCCTTCTCAATCATGTTCTCAAGCCAACAATGGACCCACATCTCCCCTCCGCTTGCTGTATCTGGGTGTGGAACTTTCTTCAACATATATGGTGCATCAAACATGAATGCAAGGGTGAGGATCCCAGTCTGACATTGCTGGATGAACAAGTCCCATGTTCCACATGGATGTGTCAGCTTGCATAAAGGAGATAGGAAATAGCTCGTCGGTTTCATTGCCACCATCTGAGATGAGGTAGGGTGAAAATGCCTGGCCATGAGCTGCGATTATATTCAGTAAGGAACTCAAACATAACACAAAAGTAAATCTCACATCGGATGCAATCCGCAATAGCAACCAGTGCCTCGTAGACACAGCTGAATTTGTATATGGGTGCACAGAATGGATATAACTAAGATTGAGTGAGCATGCGCTCCTGGTAAACTTCGCGTGTCACAGGTTTCAGCTTTGGTAAGGTAAAGCCTTCAGGCACAGGATGGTGGCAATCATATTGGTTGACGCTCCTAGCCATGCTCTTGTGTGCCAAGGCCAGTGTCGGAACACCCCAAAAAGATCAGTTGTAGACAGTGCTACTCCAGACATTAATGTCACCAGTCTGAGAGATCGCACCAATATCCTTGAGTGAACTGATGCCTGGATGATTGCAAAGTTGAACAAGTGGAGGTGGCGAAGCAGGACCAGTCCCTCAAAGAGCAAACACGTAACGCCCTGTACGCCTTTCAGCCAAAGGTAGTTGAGAATTATCCCTTCCGTGTGTGGTGCGGTGAGATCAACCCAGGTATCTTTCACCACCACATCCACCTCATTCTCCATTCCCTTGAGCCATTTCTCCATGGCATCCCAAGACCCGCCCAATTGCAATGCCTGAGCAATGCACTCATGTGATAGCATGACGTGACGTGCAACAGTGCCACAACCATGAATATTATTGCTGATAAACAGCACCATATTGATTGGCACCTCCAGACCAAAAACTCTTGATCTTATGAATCGCCAGACTTCATTCTGCCCAATGGATGTCTCCAGACCCACCATACCTATTGCACGCCATTGTGAGCTGATTACTTTATGAGTGTAACTGAACGACATACCAGGATCAGCCAGGGATAAGTATAAGACAAGCTGAAGGTATTCTTCCTTATCCTCTATGATGTTTAGCATATCAAGGCAAACAGCGCCTCCACGATCGAAAAATGCAAACATAAATGCTTCGCCCAGGAACATCAAGACAACGACAAAGTTGCGAGCATCCTGACAACCCCAGATCGTGTTCACTCGCTTCGCGATCTCATCAAACCACTCCTGTTTATCAACATCAGCCCCATGCTGCTTTATTTCAGTGAGCGTGAAGATGCGACACCAGTCCTGAACAAGAGGGTCACTGGGAACAAGGATGATATCAGGTTTGCATTCTTCAGCAGATCCAGGAAGAGGCTTCTGACAATAGTCCGAACTCCAAATTCGCTTAATCTTTGAATTGCCTGCTAGTAAAAGTGCCTCCTTCACCAAACAATTCATAAATCTAGTCATATGATCTTTCATGCTGGATCCACCCCTGTGTTGGCGATTAAAGTGAGGTGCTTTCAAGTCAGGACAATCTATCTCATTTGTCCAGCCTAGGTAATAAATGAGAATAGACACGCATCAAAGCATCAAGTCTCTTACCTTGATCATTCAAATACCTCTTTTCTTTGAACCTCTGCAGAATACCCTTCACGCTGCGGAGCTTGGTAGGATCATCCAGATTTTCGAGGTGTTGAAAAATAACCTCATCATGACAGAGCCAGTTGATGACATGGCACATGATTGCCTTGTTATCTTCCATTTGCATCGCAACAAATCCCTCAGAGGCCCAATTGGGATCTAAGGGCAGCAAGTGTTGTGAGGACTGAGGGTGTTGCAAGGGATGTAGGTGCTGCGAGGGCTCTAGAAATGCCCTGAGATTGCGAGCTTGTTCGACTACTGCTCTTTGATATACTTTGTCGGTCTTTGCAATAAGACCTCTAGATTGAACCTCCAAATAAACAAATCAGCCATTGAGTCACATAGAAAACAAAGTCTCTCACTGTGTTATAACTCCTGCGTTCCAGATGGAAAAAGTCTGGCATAGCGGTTGTTGAAGTCATTGGAATGGAAATGGGACAGGAAGTCAAAGACGGTTGGGGATAAAGTTGTGGACAAGGGTTGGCAGTAAAGACGTGTTATCGATCAAAGAAATCAAAGGCAAGGTGAATACAAGGGGATACAATAGAAGCACTGACTTACCTTGATATTTTCTCCGAACTAGCTCTAGACCGCTGCCATTGATGGGCCACCATGTACATCCATCTGCCCTTATTTATGTCTGCAGCAAAAACTTGTGACGTGGAGAGCCCTCTGATTGCAGGGAACTTGCAATCATAACCCTAGACTGGGGGCATCATTTTGGCGTCCTTGTGAATTAACAGTATACACGTTCTCAAGATCAACTTCTAGGTATTCATAGCTACAGGGAAACGTACCGTGTAATGTCACACCAATTGAATTGATGAGTATTGAAGGCAAACATGTTTGTATTGCTCCTTAAAAGTAAACCTTGAGGATGTTGAGTGGGAAGTTCACGATAAGTTCAAAAATGTTAAGTCAAGTTGTCAACAAAGATTTATCACATGACTGATACAAACAACATGTCAACAAAAGACTTTGACCAAGTTCTTCAACCGCGCACCCCATGCCCTCAATAATCACCGAAATTGCTCATTTGGTCTAAAGCACAAGTAAGTCGTATTGAATGATGACTAGCATATAGCTCACTGTCACGCATGCCAGCTCGTGCACCTCACCTTGCAGTACCACCTGAGCAAGTACAACCAGTATAAAGTATGGTCACCAAGGTGCATCATCTGTTGCCATCATTTGAACTATTTTGACTGACCGCCATTCAGAACGCACCAGATATTCACACCCTTGACTCCAGTGCATTCAAAAAACTCCTCACTGCCTTCCCAAACTCCACCAAATCCAACAACCATGTTGTATGCACAAAGCCACATGGGGCTTTCCAAGGTCTTGATCTCCGATGATGTCGATTCTATTTAACATCTTAGCATTGAGAAGAAGGAGGCTGGCCGGTAGTTAAATTTTGTAATTGCCAAGTGAAAGGTGATGAGTGCTGATTGGTGGAGCGCCCTCTGATTGCAAGCAACCTGCAATCTTAACCCTAGTCTAGGTGCAAAAATCTGTAACTTATATACATAATCATGACACAAGCCTGATCTAATAATAATCCTTTTTGCTCAACCAACCAGCGCCTTCTTGGTTCCAATAAGTTATGTCGCCTCCTTTCAGATTTAGTATGCCGGTAGTTCTCTCTCCCTGATGCAGCAGATCATCTGCTACAGATATTGGCAGACATTGGACATCTCCTGCCCCGCATTGCATGACCTTTATCAACATTTGACTGATCAAGCTCATAGCCAAGGAGATGTCACTCATCAATGCTCACAGCAGAGTGTTGTAGGCAATAATCGTGCATATCTATTACCTGGGTATGTTTGTATTACTTATGTGACTTGAAAAACATTCTAGTAGCAAATCAGCAGGCCCAGCCATGGACACCAGAGCCCACTCCATCATTGTCTGATACTCTCTCCCCCTCACACATGTCTGTTGATCCTTTGTCCTCAACAACTGCTGGCGAAGTCCTGTCTGTGTTGCCTGCTGTCCGTCACAGGGCACATGATGAGGACTCTGGTTATACAGATTCATCCCACCCTACTAAACGAGCATGCAACTCTACAATACACACACGCTGTGGACCGCCCAGGGAGCCACCTGAGCCTGGGTATGATCCACCTCAATTTGCACTTGTTCCTAATCCTAGTGATAACTGTAACCATGGTGCTTGAAGATTATGGTTACATTGGTGGCACGCTGCTGCAACTGGTGATGATCCTCTGCGCCTCGAAGATGGAGATGGAGAGGAGGAGGAGGAGGAGGAGGAGGAGGAGGCAGAAGTGTATGTGGCAGAAGGTGATGTAGGGGAAGTGGATGAGGCAGAGGTGGCTGAAGCAAATGCCAGGCGAGGTTCATGGTGTCACCGCCGCCCAGATGACCCCAAGATCACATGTAGTGACGAAGCTGCTACCATCATCGCAGAACTTGCATCCGCTCACTACAACTCCACCATCCACAGTCCCCTAAGCTGGCTGCAGGATATTGCAAATCATGTGCAGACTCCATGCGTGGAGCACGAGTCACTGATTTCTGTTGTGGTCCAATGTCGAGGAATCATAAGTAAGGACATT